TCAACTCCATGTTCTTGAGTATAACCAAGAGCAACGTGTTTTGTTGTGTTCAATAGACTCGTAGGGAAGGACCTTGATTGCATACACCCAACGACAGCCGATGGTAGGGGGACATGGTACAAGTCTATCGACTATTGTCCATGTGTGGTTTGCTTCCAAAGCACTGAACTCCACCTGCATAGCTCGATCCCATATCGGATTCCCACGAGCCTATTTAAGAGCAGTTATAACAATGAGAGTGTCAAAGCCATGAGCAACATAGTCACCAAAACTAGCAGGAGTCACTCCTTTAGTGGAACGCAATGATCGCCGAGAAAGATGTTGTTCTGCTGGTGATGATGGTTCAGAAGGAAGAGACGTGAAGCTGCTGGAAGCTGAAGATGACGATGGTGGCAAACTGGATGTGTCGGTCGTGTGGGAGGACAGATTCGGAAAGGAGGGAGTAGCAGCAGGATCATTGGGTATAGAAGGTTCATCATCCAAGTCGTCATAAAAAATGGGCAGCGAATTTGATCCACCAGGGAACTCGAGATATGAGACAAATTTTGAAGGATAGAACCTATTGTTTTCAAAGAAGACAACTGAAATAGCTATTCTCATACGTTGTCTCGAAGGATCATAGCAGAGGTACCCTTTGCGTACACTACTATAACCAAGAAAGACACAACAGACAGTTTCGACATGCTCAATCTTTTTATAACGAGCTTTCTACAAATGGCAATGGTGCATATGATCTGCCCAAAATTAAAGATGTACTTATTCAATATCTACCACATATTTCCATCAAATCATAGCTAGTTTGTAAAAATAATTTTATTTCAATTAGGGGTAGGGAGAGTGTAACGGGTGGCTCCTAAGAAAAGAGTAAATTAGTATAATAGTTCGTTGAGAATGAAATTTAGCCATTTAGGGCATTTCTAATTGAAAATGGTTGACCGCGAGATCATGTGTTCGAATCTTAACGACCCCATTTGTTCAGCACTTGATATTCAAATTTGCAAAAACTTTAACCACGTATAAATTGGTTTTTGTTAGTAGGAAGTGTTAGTAAATATTAAATAGTTTAAGATTCATAATTAAATCTTTTCCAACAACTCGAGTTGTTGATACTAAACGTTCTTGACAAAGAGCACCATTCAAAAGCAAATATCTAACTAAATTATGATTTATGAATATTTTTTTCAGTAATTAATTATGAATAATTTTTCGATACATACAGAGTGATATTTTTTATAGTCATATATTTAATTTAACAAATTTTTGTAAATAAATAATTATATCATGAATGATTTAATCATTTAACAAAATTATTTTATCATATATATATTTTTTCTAAATAGACCCACCCTCCAGAAAATCCTGGCTACGGCCTGCCTGGAGCTCCTCTAAGTGGAATATCCTCCCCTCTTTACTCCCTCTTCCTTTCTGCCTCCCCGTCTTCTAGTCTTGTATAACACAACCAGTAGGGGCAAACATAACAAAACAACCTTGCTTAGCAAGTTGTCCGACTGAAACCAAGTTAGAAACCAAAGCAGGCACATGCAAAGTACGGGCCGGGACAAGGATATATTTGGACTATCTAGTTTACCCACTCCTGTCACTACCATTCTATCACCATTAGCAACTGTTAATCCAAATGACCATTAGCATCCTGAATCAAGCAAGCAAGGTTTGTTTTTTTACTTTACCTTGAAAAGTAGACAAGGCCAAACCTATAGAAGTAGAAAGGGAATTTTGCAATGTTGCCATAGCTTGAACAAGTTGCTCCAGTTGAGTTGTCGTGACACCCCCTGTCGCCGATCACTTGATTCCCCAGCTTCAATAGTATATGCAGGCCGATTGAATCTTCCATGTGACCCTCGGTCACTTCCTGTCGGCAGTGGGTTGCCAACAAATCCTTCTGCATTGCGTTCGCGGGTGCGACACTCCAAATTAATATGCCTCATTCTCTTGCAATATACACAATAATTCCTTCGACGACAATGCTTCACCAAATGCCCTTACTCATGGCAATGATGGCACTCAAGCTCGGCATTAGGTACTCTACTATTGAATGGAGGACGAGAAACAACATGGACTTGTGAGCCAGGCCCCATACCTGATCTTGTCGAGTGAGCAGAAGCAGCGGTGAACGTCTCGCCTTCACCTGGGCGCACATCAAACTGAGCTTGAGTTCTCGAGCATGTCTCTTCGCGAACTAGGCTACTGATCACTTCGTTGAATGTAAGCCTCTCCTTGTTCAGAATAGTGGCCCGAATATTCTTATATTCAGGTCATAGTCTCATGAGGAATTGCATAACTCTTGTTTGTTGGTGTTCAACAATCGTATCATCAAACATAGCTTGCGGCCTCCGTGCTAAATGAAGCATATCTTGCTTCGTCCATAATTCCTGTGCAGCATTGAAATACACTATGACTGATCGATCTCCTTGTGTCAATCGAGCAAGGTTAGTCTCCACCTCAAATTGTCTAGCAGCGCTGGTGGTGGAATATAGACCCAAGAGATGCTGCCACATCCGATTGGCTGTAGGAAACAGACAGAGGCTTAGGTAGGCTGATGGATTGTCCGATCCTAGAAGCCAAGAGCAAATGCGGGCGCCACTTTGGATCCATGTTGCCTTAACCTGGGGCGTGGCCGACGCAGCAATCAGTTGTGGAACCGTATCATCCAAAATCCCAGCAATCCCCTTCCTTCAACAAAAATTTGAAATTGGAATTCCCATAGTTCGTAGTTTGTCGATGTGAGGTGCGTCGTTGGCCTCTCCGAATCAGTCGCGGTCGGCCCTGATACCATGTTGACAGATGCAGAAACAGTGTAATACGATACGGAAAGGAAATCAAATACAGACACCGGAGTTTACGTGGTATCCCTAGATATTATCCAGAACTAATTCACGGTAGAGTTTTGAACGCTCTTCAGGCTACTGATTTTACTATGATGAGTGATGAATGACAAGATACAGTCGGTCAATCTCCTTCACCCCCCCCCCCCCCTATACATCAAAACGTGCCCTAGGTTTAGACCAGTGGCGGATACATGGTGCTTTAGGGGTGTCCTGGGACACCCCTAAATTTTGGGAACACGATTATTCAATCTCCCGTTAGTAGTTTCGTATGGATAAACAAAATATAATTAGTAATCTGGGACACCCCTAAAATTGTAATAAATGATTATCTTACCCTCGATAGTAGTTTGCGTGATTAAAAAAATATAAGTGGTACTCTGTGTTATTCAAATCTAGGACACTCTTATTATTTAACATCTTCTCCATTAGGTTATAACTCATTTGTTGTTCTATTTTAAACACTATGTAATGTTGAAAACACGATTTCTTATCCCCAGGGTTACCCTAATTTGAATTGTTTTTATGGTTACACTGCATGTGTTAAAACAGTCTTTTCAACTTTGAATTACATCATGAACAAGGTAGAAGTTGAATATGCAATCTAGTAGGATATACCGATTTGTTGAGCAGTGTACACACTATACCAAATCTATCTTATATTTTTTTCGAAATTGAAAACACATCGTGGCTTTTTGTGAACATTTATACTAATTGGATATTTTATTATTTATGTACTATTTAATTTAATTATTAATTTAATTTAATTTTTGAAAGAGGACACCCCTACAAAAAATTTCTGGATCCGCCACTGGTTTAGACGCTACCCACGTCTAACCGTGCATGGGCTTGCATGAGGTCTACGTATGAGCTTAGTAAAATGGGCCCCAACTATAACTCGACTACAACACCAATAAACCGTAGCCATCGAATCCTTAACGCTCTAACAATTGTCGTTAAATCCTTAAATGTTGTATTAAAATACAAAGGTTTTTCATTTTGTTTGGAATGTTGTATTTTATTTAATTATGAATCTACTTTTAGAGAGATTGTCTTGAAATATGTTTTTTAATGTGTCTAAATTCATTTAGCGTTAATCATTTCCCACTTCTCTATATGATATAAACCAGTTGTACCACTGATTGGACCATACTACTCGCCAAATTGAATAACGGTATAAACATGTTTGTGTATAATCCCCCTCAACTCTAAAAATCATGTAAATTTATAATAAATTTTAAAAATATTGCAATTGATCTTGCTTTTGATCCCATTCGTTCAGATTTCTAACTCCGGCACGCAGTGTGCTGACCTAAGCAAACGCTTCATTTTCTCCCCCCAACGGATTAGGATGTAGGCTGATTTGGCGAGTCAAATTAGCTCACGCTACCTACACTACAAAACTCAACGTGTTACGTACCCAGGCTTAATTAATTCCTCACGTCTCTCTGTGGCTGACTGTTAATACATTTTTTGTTGTCGCTGTGCCTGCCTTTGGCTTGCTTTGCTTGCAAATATATTACAGCATGCAACTTGCCAATTTGCTGAGCTGCATGCGTTCTTCTCCTTACCAAGTTACCACCAAAATTCCTTCCCCAGTCATTATCATATATACCAATCATGTATCTCCCTCCTCATACGTTAACGTATGTTCGTCCACTTGTGTTCCTCACGTGAACCTTGCAGTGCGACTACTTCTCACTTGTGTTCGTATTTGTATAAGGGGCGGAGCTAGGATTTAGTTTTCGGGGAGGGCCGGAATCCGGTTAACGTAAAGGACGAAAAATACTAATAAACAAATATTTGAAAAAATTAATTATACACACAATATTTTTCATATTAAATTCAATATAAATTAGAATAATATGAAGAAATTAACAACGATAGCCGCGGAGGTAAAAGAATTGATAATTTTAATTTATATAATATTAAAATTGCTTTCAAAAGGGATCGAACCCTCGCTCAGGCACCCAGTAAAGCACAACTATAGTTTCCTTCCCTGGACTTCATCTGTTTTCCTTGTATAATTAATTCCTCATGTCAGTGGTTATTTGTACATTGCTTTTAATTTATACGTATAGTCTCGAACTTTTTACACGTAACTTTCAAAATTCTCGGGGGGACCGGGGCCCCCCGAGGACTAAGCTAGCTCCGCCCCTGATTTGTATACATTAATTAGCGTTACCACAATCCTTTTTATTTTTCACTAACACATGTTTTTTTGTTGTTGTTGTGATGATATGACATCGTAATAGGAGTTTCCTTGTCGTAAGTCTCAACCAGGAAAGAGAGAGTATTGGATGACTTAGCTTCCATATTACGGAAGAGAGAAGTCACTATCAGCGTCGACGATGATCACGACCATCGAGCTTCTCGAGACGTAGTGGTTGATTGTCACGAAGAATGCCCCATTCGTGTGGCAAACAGGTGGCGGGATGATCTCGTAAGTGGCAATTAAGTGAGGAAGTAGGAATGAGTTAGTTCATAATCTCGTGAAATTTTTAGTCGCGGAGGAGAATCGCACAGTGTGGTCGAGAACAAAGGAAGACTTAAGACTCTTTGATGAAGAAAAAGAAACTATAATTGGGTCTCGCATGTAGGTAATTTGATCCCTCCTAGGGTGTGCAACGGTTTGGTCCGGTCCGGACTAGACCAAACTCATGAGAACCGTGGTCCATTATTAAAAGACATTGTAGAACCAAGGACAGGGTCATCATTGCATTCGGTCCATTTGGTTCGGTTCGGTCCAAATATCAGCTCGATCCATCATTTCTTTAGTAATTGTAAAATTCATATGGACCAAGGACCGGACCGCATTATACTCGATCCGATGCGATCCAGTACAAACTTCGATTTGATTCGATGTGGTCCGGTAAGTACAGGACCATTGCACACCCCCTCCATCAAGAGTCATATATCACTTCTTCCACCCTCCCTTTGAAAAAGGACCATTGCACAGGACCATTGGCTTTTTTTTTTTTTTTGGGGTTGATATTGTTTTTCTTATTTGCTTTCCCACCTGAATATCTAGCGTTCAAGGAGTGGAAAAAGGCAAAGACAAAGCAATTCGATCCAAACTGTATATTTTAATAATTCATCACCCGCTGCTGCTACTTCTTCACGGATCACGCTCCCACGCTCTCCATTATTATTACAATAATCATTCACCGGACGGCCCACACCACCGGCACTGAACGGAGGAAAGGGGACCAGACACACTTGACGACTTTCCCAGTGTCTCACAGCCTGTTGCCACCATTGGTACGGGTGATGAAATAGCCGTCTTCTTACCTCCTGCTGACAACCAAATTTGCTACTGACTCGGATTCGTCATCATCAACAACTCAGAACTCAGAAGGCATACCACTTATAGATCAGAGCACCAAACTTCAGCAAAATCCAAGATTGTATCGACTGACTGACATCGAAGTAAAGTTCAAAAATTCAACCAAAGCAGCTCTTACCCTTTTGTGGATGGAGTTCCTTTCTGGTGATGTGAATGAATGCATATGCAGATGGGGGATGCTGACGATGCAGGGACAGAAGAGGAGAGGGCGGCATTCAATGACCGACAGTGAAGCTTTTTCATAGGGAAGGGAGGAATGCAAGCCCTTACAAAATCTGTGGAGAACCACTGAACTGCCTCAAGTAAGTTCCTGTATCAGATAATGTTTCCTTGTGCAGCACTTGGGAGGTGTTCTCTATTTGGTGCTTACCTGATTTCTCCATATGTTTGTCCAACTGAACCAGGCTATGGACAGCTGATATCAAGCTGGGAGGCTAGGTTCGCTTACGGTTGGAGCATGACGTAAATGGATAGTCTACAATTTCAGCTTTACAGAAATAGCCCAACGCTCAGAGAGACATAAACATTGAGCACATTCAACTTGTGAAACTGCTCTCTAGATTTCAAGATTGCCTTCTTCCCACCACAGAACAGTATCAAACAAACATAAGGAACTGAGGCTCTGCTAAGGCAATCAGCATCCAAAGACAAAATCTAGTTTGCTGCTAGCAGCAAAAGAAGCAACTAGGTATACATCAACAGATTGAGATATAAGCAACTCGTGAATTCGCTGCTATCCTCAAAACAACTTGCACAACTTGCACAACTTACTACTGACAGCAATCTCCTCAGGCTATGAAGGAAACCACATAAAAGAGTACGATTCAAATCTTTTTTCCTGATCAGGTGGAAAAGAGTATTATTCAAATCTTTGCCTAGAACCCACCAAACTAGTAGCATACCCACAAAGTAACAGTACATGATCAACCAATGCTTTTCCCAAATATAGGGCCATGCTCTTCTGTAAACACATACATACATATGGAATACAAAACCTCAAATAATCTTTCCAGGAGAACCATGGATTTCATAATCAGCAGTATAAAGAATGTGCATTACAAACAAAAAGATATAACTCGAGTCACATAATGTTAGGCAGATGATCCTTCCAACTGGTTTTGCTTCAGTCCTGCTACGTGTACACGAATCTGCAAGTTCTGAAATTTACAAGAACGAAACATTATGAGAAGCAAGGCTGCATCTTTACGGGCAAAAAAAGTAAACCAGAAAGGGAATTCGACCCAATTCAATTCTACTAGGTAGCTAGCTCAACTCTGCAACTAAAGCAGTAAACCTAATTATTATCCGGCAATTGATATCACAATTGCTGAAAAGAACCAAAAAGAAAGAATTACGCAGTGAAGCAGGCATCAGTAGCTTGCGATTCAGGATTGATCTCTGGATTTCTCTAGAGCGACCCTTTCCTGCTGCTGACGGCGGAGGTCGTGGGAAGGCTTCACCCAGAGATAGTAGGCAATGGATCCGGCGACAATCCAGGAAGCGACACTGGTTCCGCCTCTAAGCCCTCCCATACAGTTCCCCACGAACGACCTCACGTTGCCCGTCGCTCTTCCCCATGCACCTCTCGACGACATCCCGTCAGACTCTCTCCACTCACCGGTGTGTTTTCTCACCCTCCGTCGACGATAACTATGAATCGGAATCCCCCACCGTCTCCCAAGATCCCAAACTTGTTTAGATTTACACAAAATTCGTGACATGAACCGCCACAGGGAATATTAAATGGGCCTTTTGAGTTTTGATGGCGGGTTTTGGTAAATTGCAATTGGGCCACAGCAAACAAAGAGTTTGCCGCGGTGGGCCCAATTCTTTCGATCTTTCATTCTAGCCCCGCTCGTATGTTCTCAACTATTATATATGGAATTCAAACATATAGATTTTAAATTATAACACTTGACCTAATCTATCTAGGGGTGAACAAACACACCCGCAAACCAACCCACCCGTCCAACCCGACCCAACCTATCCGTATTTATCGCTAAATCGAAGGTTTTGGGTTGGGTGAGGGTTTTCTTTTGTACAACCCGCCTCTTTTGGGTTGGGTTTGGATTTTGGATTACACAACCCGTAGAACCCGACCCAACCCGTGTTCCAATTATTGGTATGAGTTTGTATCCAAAAAATATTTATGTCGTATACTCGTATATAGTCATACTTATCAGAAAATTAAGATATTTCGCCATGTTTTTCTCTTAAAGTCTCACTAATCTAATGCATTCTTCGACTTAAAGTTTAGACATATATTTAATATAGCTATGATTCACGTAATGTTTTTTTCTTGCGTACAATTTTAAAAGAATATCATATTATGGATGCGTTCATTTGTAACCTTTTTAGCCTATTTCAACAAATGTCGTGAAAAAAACTAGACCTAAGTTGAAGTAAATCAAGTTTTATTAAAAATTCAAACAATATTTGTGAATTTTGATACCTTTCACCTCGGTTTATTCGTTTGAATTTTTAATTTGTTATAAAATATTTTTATGATGTAGAATAATTACATATTTTGTGTTGGGTTGGGTTTTTACTTAAAAATATCGCCAACCCGACCCAACCCAACCCAATTAGAAACAAACCGTAGGGTTTCGATTTTTTTGGGTGGGTTTGGGTTGAATATTTACCAAACCGCAGTGCATGGGTCGGGTGATTAAAATGTCTAAACCCGGACCACCCGACCCATGTACACCCCTAAATCTATCTGCTAAAGGTCGCCCTTAAAATTGCTAAAAGTCGCACTAAAAAGTATTAAAGTTATACTTATAACCCCCTAACTTCTTTACCTTCCCTTTATCAAACAAACACCACTTGGACTAAAAAAACACTATCTAAGGAGAGAAAAATCCATCATCGTCATTTTGAAGCCGATATCGTCGGTAGGATGTCTGAATCATGAGTAGAGAATCCGACGAGGTAAATACATTAACTGAAAAACTAAAAAAAACACAAAAAATGGGAACCGCGGGTCACTTGCGGTTCCGCCATGGTCCAACCGCAGGTCACTTGCGGTTCAGCCATGGTCCAACCGCAGGTCACTTGCGGTTCAGCATTTTATGGTTTTTTTTTCAAATCAGTATTTTCTATTTTTTATATGATTTATGATTTGTTCCATGAGATAATTTGTTGGGTTTTGATTTATATAATTTTTTAGATTTATTTGCATAATTATTTTTGTAATTGAAGGATTTAGCATTAGAAATTAAGATTAGATTTGGCCTTAAATTAAGATTAGATTTAATTTGGTCTTAATCTAGAAAATTAAGATTAGATTTTGCATAAATAATAGATTCGCATATGAAGTTATGATGATTATTAAATTTAATATAGTTATGAAATTTTAAATTTATCATATGGTACTCATTAAATTGACGATATAGAATGTTAATTTTTTTTTTAATTTGTGGGGTATCACTTATAAATTCTGATAACATTGCAGGATATTGGAAGTTACAATCCGAATGGCCATGATTACACCTCGGATTTCATTGATGGCGTGAAATACACTACGGAGTTGCAAGCATATGAAGCAACTACTGAGATTGCCAAGGGTTTTGGGTTTTATTTGGTGAGGGCATCGAACAAAAAAAAAAAAAGAATGAAGGTACTTGGCGACATTACTTACATTGCACTCATGGTAGGAAGAAGAAGTCGAAGGAACCTGATCCGAGTAAGGAAAGGAGGCCTCTTACATCTACTGAAAAGTTGGGGTGCGAGTTTCAGATCAAGCTTGAGCGGTCCGGTGATGGATATTGGTTGATCCTAGGGGTGGCAAATACAAAGAATCCTGGTGCTAATTTGGGTATCCACAATCATCAGTTGAAGCTATTTCCGGAGGGATCAAAGGGAAGGAATGTTTTGACTACAGAGGATAAGCAATACATCAGAGAGCTGAGATCAGACGGTGTCCCACCAAGGAATATCCACAAGGCAGTGAATGAGAGAAAAGGTGAAAATGGAACACACAACAGAAAGCAAATTTATAACGAGTTGCAAAAGATAAGGAAAGAAGAGCTTGGTCAGATGACAGCCTTACAGTATACTTTCCGCGTGGCGCAGGAGAAGGGTTACTATGTGCAGTATATGGACGATCGTAACGTGCTTACACACTTGTTCCTAGCCAACCTCGAGTCAATAGTGATGTTGCGAGCTTGGCACCATGTGATCGTGATAGATGCAACATACAAGACCAATAAGTATGATATGCCTTGGGTTGAGATTGTCGGCATGACACCAGTGGGATTGAACTTTGTCATTGCATCTGCAATAGTGTACGACGAGACGAAGGAGTCGTACTAGTGGCTTCTGACGCATTTGCAACATATTCTTGGCCCCATTGTTTCATATGTGTTTGTCAGTGACAAGGAAGGAGGATTGGTTGAGACCGTGGGGGTAATGTTTCCATCATCGACTCATATATTATATCTTTGGCATATAGATAGGAATGTGAGAGCAAAGTGTCTAACGGAGGTGCGAAGGACAACTCATTGTGGTATAAATGCAGCCAAACTGACAGTGGATCATATCATGGCGTCTTGGCAATGTGCTGTATATGCATTGACAGTGGAAGACATGGATACTGCCTTAGACAATTTCAGACGTAGTTGGGGAGTACAGTACCGACGTCTTTGGGGGTATATGCGAGCTGAGTGGTTACCAGTTAGACACATGTGGGCTAAATGTTATACCAATCAAGTGCGGCATTGGGTAACACAAGCTCTAATAGGGTTGAAGCCTCTACACCTTCAAATCAGGAAGCTTCTAGAGGATTCCCGACAAAAGAAGCTGCTCCGAGCGGATGGAAAACCATTTCGAGAGTTGAATAAGAAAGTCACTCTAGAAGCTCTGAGGTTGATGTTGTTCGAGGTAGCAGTGGAAGGGGAACCTTGTACATGTACGTTTCCTCCTACCTATGGTCTCCCATGTAGATGTTCCATTCAGTTAGCACGACGTGAAAATCGGGATTTCGCCTTGTATGATGTGTTGCCATTCTGGACCGTTATCAACTATCGTGAACCTCCTACTCGGCCGGAGTGGGATGACCATAGTGATTACCACCGTGGTGTGTTCCAAGGTCTAGTACAGGAGGTTCTTGATAGAGGCGACGAGACCATTCGAGGTGCAATCGGTCTACTCCGGAGCCATCTTCCTCCTGAAAACGATGGCATTGATGAACCGCATGGGGGACAGCCCCGCCCCGGTCTCCCAAGGACGTCCACCACTCGAAACCTATCTCACTTCGAGCATGTGGAGAGGAGATGAGGGAGGAAAAGTTCAAGACTTCCGACTGCAACTCCGGACAATGATGGAAATACAGGTAGATTAACTTTTTCTATTAGTTGTGTTCAATTGTCCTCAATATGGTGTACAACTAATCTATTTTTTTAAATGAGATAGGTGGTGCCCCGAATGTGAATGCACAAACCAACTTCGAGAATGGGACGGAGCCGGTGATCCATAATGATACAGGTTAGAAATTATATTCCTAATTTCTGGTAAACATATTGTATAACTCTTTGTATTAATTTATTGTGTTATGCTCTTTGGCTAGATGGTGCCCCGTGGAGGGTTGCTCGGATTCCCAATACTAGTTGGAAGAATTACCCATGGCTACATTGTTTAGAATCCTACGTGCAACGACTAGTTCGTGGTTGGTTCAACCCTATTCCAGATGGACACTGTGGATTTCGAGCTATATCACAAGCAGTTACTGGGGACCAAAGGAATTGGCCACAAATGAGACGCGTTGTTGTAGAGGAGCTTGAATCCCGTCCTGAGCTTTATAGAGAGTACTATGATGGAATAGCAAATGGAATAGAAAATGGCATTCGACGTTGCAGGTGGGCATCAACAAGTGGCTGTGGACCTCCCAACTGGATGGATAATGTGAAACTTTTCGTCTTCGCCACCTTGCATTCATGGGCTATCGCTGTATACAGTCAAGGCGGTCGTTATACCGTGCTACCTGTGACGGCCCATGCCTCCAATTAATGCCCTTTGGCCTATTTTTCATGACCCTAGTGTCAATGGGTGGGATCAATTCTTCTTACATGAGCGTGCGCTTTATGATAGTTTGAACCCACGGGGATGACAATTGGAAGTATATTTACGAATTGTATAACTCTCTATTGTTGAAACATTTAGTAATCTACCATGTTGATTAACTATTTTAGCAATGCATTGAATGTAACTAAAGTAAAAAAAAACACAACCGTCTCAATTCAACTACAAACAATGACAAATAAAAAACACAATAGTCTCAGTTCAACTACAAACGATGACAAATAAAAAGCAGAATTGTCTCAATTCAACTACAAAACGATGACAAATAAAAAGCACAATAGTCTCAGTTCAACTACAAACGATGACAAATAAAAAACACAATCGTCTACTGAGGCGGCTGCCCTACCAACTGGTCGTACAACTCGTGAACCCCAGCTACCATATCATAGAACTTACCACCATCCTCCTCCCACTTACTCCGGTCCCTCGTCAGGAACACGGGACCTAAATGATCCACAATCTGCTCTCTCAACTGTAAATAGAAAACAATGTTAGAATAAATAACAAATGTCCTTTGTATTTGGAAAAGCAAAAGAAAGTCATAACTAACCTGATGAACTAGTAGTGGTCGAGGCTGAGGCACCCCATCAGAGCTGGGGTGGGTGATCTGTGGGTGCGATCTAGTTAGAAACCAGTCAACGTACTCCTCCACGATCTCCGATGGGTGCTCGCACGGCCGAGAAGCAAAATTCAAATCTAGACGATGGGCTGCCACGTTATCCCACAACTGATTCACCCACGGATCCCAAAAGACTATGTAACTGCTGCCGGAAGCCGGACGGTACTGGTCATGTGGTACCATCATAGCACGGGGGATAATCTGTCGGTATCCAAACTGGCACAAACAACGTGCATGATCGTATCCCTCAGCAATGTCAGAAAAAGCGAATTAGGCCAGTAAACAAGGAGCTAGGTATATCTGTGTGGCCATCTCGTCCGTACGGAGTCCAGGTCACATCATCAGCTGAAAGCTCATCCAACAGCTCCCCAAGCGTAATCAGTCAATTGTCGATGATCCTTCAGAAATAAGTTGATCGCAGGACGAAGGCGATCACGACTCTTACCCACAAAAAGCGTGGATCCCAGTAACACAAATAGGTAACACTGAACCTCCATCTCCTTAATCTTCAGCTCTCCCCCATGCACCAACAATCCCTCTGCATGTATAGAACCATTATCGTACCACTTAGACTTCCACTTACCATCAACATGAGCATCCACCGAAAGTCTAACTAGACCACCCATGTCTGACTTAAGAATATCCGGCGACGCCTCATCTACCATCAGCTCTCCATCAACCGGAATACGAAGAATGTGATGCACATCGTGTAGAAGGATCGAAATCTCTCCAAACGGCATGTGGAAGGTGTTTGTGTCCGGCTGCCACCTCTCCACAAATGCCAACAGTAGAGCCATGTCTAAATGCTGCATCATGCACCCTGTCAAGTGAGACAATCCTGTGGCTTCAACCATCTCCTTGGAACCCTCTGCACTCCACTTATATCGCCTCAAAGTCTCTACAGCTTTCGGCCTATGGAAGTCGTCCAACACTCCACGGTCCTGCTCAGGGGAAGTCCACAGTACAAAGCCAATGTGACCTCCAAAGCTAGGGATCACATCGGGAATCACCGGTCCACCTGAACACATTGGAGACTCGGATGTAAGAAGCCACGACATATCTTTCCTCGTGGTCTTCCTCTTCCTATTTCCATCTCCGCCTTCCTCGCTACTTGGTCTGGACGCATAGCGTCCATCAGGCCCACAGAAGTGTGAGGAGGCAGTAGAAGATATCCCGACCCGCGTCGTCTTCCCCACGCCTAAATCAGCTTGAGGTGGGGCATCCCCAACCTCAGCATCACCAGCAGCATCACCCATCTGGGGCATTCCCAACCTCAGCATCACTGTCATCATCATCATTCTCGTCAATGGAATCACTCCAATTAGCCTGCCGGTAGGGTGGCCGTCAGGATGCACTACATCCGCCTTCTTCTTCTTCCTTCTAACCTTAGGTGGATTTTTTCTTCATTTTCTTTCCTACCAGTCGCCGTAAGTCTACACTGACGAACTTCCATTCTCTCCTTATTTCTCGCCTTAATCATATCCGGTTTACCCAATCCATGTCCAGACATCTTCAAAAAAAAGTTTGAATTATTAATACTGGATTATTAATAATTGAGTACATAAAGTAATTAATTTAAGATTTTCATAATTAAAATTATAAAACTAATAGTTTGAACATTTATGTTACGTTTTATGTAATAATTATTTACTTTTAAGTACATAATTAATCAAGGTAAAATTATTAATAATTAAGTAGATAAACGAATTACTTTGAAATTTTGATTATTAAAATGATAAAAATACATTTTTAATTTTTTTCTAATGTTCTAAATTTGTTATCATTAATTAACATTTATCGAATACGTTTTTAAAATTTTTATATCATATAACTAAATTATAACTAAATTAACATTATCGAATACGTTATCACTAATTATCATTATAACTAAATTAACATTTATCAATAATATAACTAAATTATTTTTATTAAGTATATTTATTATTATTATTATTATTAACATTTAACGAATAATAAAAACACTGAATATTAAAAAACATAATTAAAAAAAAAACGGTTTGACCGACGGTCAACGTGCGGTTGATGGTCAAACCGCGCTTTGACCGCGGTCAGCCGTTGGTTCAACCGCACGTTGACCGCGGTTGACCGCCGGTCTAACCGCGCGTTGACCGTCGGTCTAACCGCGCGTTGACCGCGGTCGGCCGTTGTTCAAACCGCGGTTTGACTGCGGTTTACCTTCTCTGGCGATTTGTCTACCGTGGGCGGCGAGACTGGCGCGGGCAAGGACGGCGGCGACGAGGCTGGCGCGCGATTCCTTCTTCTCCGGCGGCGAGGCTGGCGCGGGCAAGGCGGCGACGGTCACTGGCGCGCGACTCCTTCTTCTCCGGCGCGCGACACCTTCTTCGGCGACGGGAACAGCGCGCGACGGTTGGATCAAGAGGGAGAGCAGGTCGCCGGCGACGGGAGCGAGACGGCGGCAACGACGGGAGCAGGAGGCCGGCGGGAAGGAGTTGCAGAGGGGGACGGGTTTGCCTGCGGCGATGAGTTGCAGAGGGTGGAAGGGGAGAGGGATTCGGCTGCTGCCTCTGGGAAGGAGAGTAAAGGGTTGTTTGGTTGTCCTATTTTTTCAATTTTCATTAAGGGTATATAGGTAATTTGACATTTAAGTTAGGGCGACGTTTAGCAATTCTTAGGGCGACATTTAGCGATTCAATAAATAAAAGTCAAATGAGAAAACTTGAATTCCCTTTTCAAATTTCATGCATCCAGAGTGAAAGTAGGAAGGACATTTTGGTCTTCACAATTACCATTTTTTTTATTCATTAGAAAGACACTTACTAGGATTTGAACAATGACCACTTTAAAAAAAAGCAAAGATCATAACCAATTACACTAAGTACATTTGTTGTATCTTTTTAAATTAAAAATATATAATCGCAGAGAGAAAAAAACCCTTCCCCCATTTCAAATCCCCTGCTCCAGGAGCGTTTGTAGGAAGGGTAGAATAGGAAGTGTCAATTTTTTTCTTTTTCGTCTGTGGAACGAGCCAACTTACCATACACATGCGGATTTAAAACGGGTCAAGGAGTGTCAGTTTTTTTATTTAAGTCCTTTTATTTCTCCATGGTGGTAAAATATATATGAAAAGGCAAAAACAATACTCCTTTTTATTGCTAAAAAGAAAAAAATTAACAATAAACTAATGCATGGATTCTAATGGGATAACCGCTAACCACTAATCATAAAATAAAAGAGTTGAATGGGCCTGACCTACATGGGATTTGCCCATCAAGTAAAACAAATGAACATCATGGGTTTGTCATTCTAAAACAAGCTATTTTCTCTAGCATAATATATATTATGCTATTATTTCATATCTTAGTGGCTAAAATATAATGTATTTTAAAGTTATTCAATGGTTCAACCTCCACCAATCCAATTAGTCCAATTTTTATCATTTCAAATATATATTATGTAATTATTTGATATCATAATGATTAAATTATAGTGTATATTATAGAGAATCGTTTGGTATTTGTTAGTAAAAAACTAAACAGAAAGATCTATTTGGTTATTTTTAACATTAAAACGATCCTAAACATTTTCAGTTTCCTTTCAAAATTCTATAGTTTTATTCCCGAATCAGTGATGTGCAAATGGCGAATTGCAGTCATCTCTTTATTTTTTATTTTTTATTTTCAAATAGAAAGTTTAAAAGTAAAGAATAATTAGAGTTTGGCATGGGTCGGTTAAACAGACTGAATTTCAAGTTTAGGCCCGTTTTGATCAAGTCTAATTTATGATCACATGATTGCCTGATACCCGATAAAAATCTCAATCCAAACCAATTTGGCAGGTGAGTCTGTGTTTACCACCATTTTCTAGGGATACAGGAACGGTGGTTCCTATCCCAAATCGTGTTGTTCATTCTTGATTTATGTAGATTTTATCATGGCTTGACAAAAAAAAAAAAAACAGAAAACACAATGATGACAAGATGAAAGTTTTATAAAACAAATTAATCAGCCAACGGGCCGAGTAAAAGCTAGCAACGATTGTGAGATACTCATTTCCCAAAAACCGGCAGGAGAAGCGATTTTTTATTCGATTTTCTAGAATTCGGTTTCTATAAAACTTACTCCACCTCATCATATTCCAGAAACAATATTGTTTCACAAGGTAACAGGTACTTGATTTTGGTTCATAAGGCTGATTTTTGATTCGTTGCATCATTCATGTCTCTTTCCTACTAAAATTCACTATTTTTATCACGTATTTCCCAAAATAACTATACGACAATAAGCGATACACCCATTACATTATCAAATTTCATTGCTCACCTTTCTCCGGCCAAATGGCCGGGTCCCACACCAGTACATTATGAAACCAAAAAACATATTCATTTTCAATATGAATTTAAGACATTCACTGCAAAAATATATAGCATCCGGTAGTTTCAAATTTGTAAGACAAATTACATTACGATTCGAATCACCAATTATTAACTAGCACATCTACTAAACAATAAACAACTAACATAATATTACTTAATATATTAATATCTAATATTGGAGTTACTATTCATTAGTGGCTCTCAAACTCCTCCAAATGCAAGTAGGGAAGTTTCAAGTTCTTCTTTTACCTCACTCTCTCATTTTATAACATATGTGTTCATCTATTTGTCCGTCGAGTCTACATATATTAGTCATTAGATTTCCCATATTAATTGTCTACTTAAGTTTTCATTTATTGTTCATTATTTTCCCTGTTGTAGCAATTATCAATCAGGTTTTCGTCTATGATATTTTACCCAAATTAATTAATTATTAATATATAAAAGCCTAGCATTGAAGTTACTATTCATTTGTGGCTCTCAAACTCCTCCAAGTGCAAGTAGGGAAGTTTCAAGTTTTTCTTTTACCTCACTCTATCATTCTATAACATATGTGTTCATCTATTGTCCGTCGGGTCTACATCTATTAGCCATTAGGTTTCCCACATTAATTGTCTACTTAAGTTTTCATCTATTGTTCATTGTTTTCCCTGTTGTAGCAATTATCAATTAGGTTTTTGTTTATGATATTTTACCCAAATCATCACCTTGCCCCACCAATTCGCAACTCATCTCGAAACCCTATCGATGAAATCAATGAAAAATAGACATCACGACAGCTACCGAATATCCATAACATATATAATTCACAACCCTTCTCATACATTGTTGGTGGAATCCTAAGTTGTACCCATCCACCATGTCTCAAGACAACTACCGAAAATCCGTACTAAATCTACTATATGTTCCCGAGTTTTGTATTGGGATCGAGTTTCATATTCTTTAGTGTTTTCTTATTTCTCTTAGCATGACAATTGAACTCAAACTCATGGGTATCCAACCTAATTTGACCAAGTTAAAGAGACTCGAACCCAACATTAGTATTTGTGAATTTCTATTTTTCCCCTTTCGTTTAGAATGACAATTGAACCCAAAACCATGCTATTGACGAGAGTTTTATCCACTTTTGTAGTTGGCAAGTTGGGCCGAGTGTGATTTTGTTAAGAACTCGATTCGACCGGGTCAAACCAAGCTGAATGAGTTTTGGATCGAGAGTGAGTTTTGTCCGCTTTAATGATTTTTATTTCCCCTTTTCCTTTTGGCTAAGAATGAAAATTGAACCTAGACCCATTCTAACGAGTTTTTTTTATCGAGAGTGCGTTTTATCTGCTTATAGAATTAGCATGTTGAGTCGAGTGTGAATTGTTAAAAACTAGGTTCGAACCAGTCAAGGTGACTTGAGCTCGGTGTGTAAAGTTTTGGGTATGGAGCGAGTTTTATCCGCTTTAATGTTTTCATTTATCTTTTACCTTTTGGTTGAGCACCCAAGCCTATGGGTATCCAACCTATTCAATATGATCAAAACAACTTGAACCCGATATTTACAACTTAAACATAGGAATCATTTGGTCAACGACTCTTCTCCCTTATTAAAGTCCATCGTTGCGTCGACTACATGGAGTTGTAGATGATGAGCCCTTTGCTTTTGGGTCAAAATTCAAACTATTAATTTTAAAATATCAATACACTGAGACGCGAAGCGATAGCGAACGAACTTATACTAGTTATTAACAAATGGGAATGAAATGAGAAAGTAAAGAGAGAATTGAGGGAAACAAATTAGTGTTTGATTGGTTAATTAGTAATTTCCCTTTCAATTATTGAGAGGTTACAATATTATTCCTTTATTTTTAATCTAGTAAGAAATAATTTTGATTGTATGGATATGTGTATGGTCGTAGTAGATTAAAATCGAATATGCCCCATCTTCAACAAACCTTTTATAAGTTTACTCATATCCAATCAATACAAAAATTCCTCTCATTAACTAGATTGAGAACAATCTGAGTACACAAAATTACCGGTTTGATTGTCATCCGACTCATCCCTAACCAACCCCTCATTTTGTATTGCAACTTGTTAGCCAGGAAAACAGGACAACAAAATGCTTCGGCCTAGCCGAAGGGAAAAGAAACAAACGAGAAGGGAATGAAATCAAGAAGACAACGATAAGATAGCAACACATTAATCTGCCGCAATCGGGATGCTTTTTTTTGGTCCTTACTTCACCACTAAACCATATATCTGAACTCGACGCCTGACAGAGCCAAACAGATCACAGAGTACATAATCTGATTACAGAGAGATCAATCAATCAACCGTTTGAGGAAAGATGCAATCGAACGAGATCACCACCGCAGAAGCAATCAAAGACAAGGTCTTCCTAGTCACCGGCGGATTGGGCTACGTGGGTTCCGCCCTCTGCCTCGAGCTACTCCGCCGAGGAGCTCGCCAAGTCCGCGCCTTCGACCTCCGACCAACTTCTCCATGGTCCAAATCTCTCACCAACGCCGGCGTCCAATTTATCCAAGGTCCGCCTCCCACTACGTTAACCTTACTTCTTCTGCTTCTCAGTACACAAAAGCTTCCGACTCAATTTGATTGTTTCTTCAGGGGACCTTACCGAAAAGGAAGATGTAGGCAATGCGATCCGCGGCGCCGACTGCGTCTTCCACTTGGCCTCATACGGCATGTCCGGCAAAGAAATGCTCCGATTCGCGCGTGTCGACCAGATCAACATTAATGGAACCCGCCACGTTTTGGAAGCTTGCCTCCAGTTCGACGTCGGCCGGCTTGTTTACGTCAGCACAACCAATGTCGTCTTTGGAGGGAAGGAGATCGTCAATGGGAATGAAGCCTTGCCTTACTTCCCTCTCGATGATCACGTCGACCCTTATAGCCGCAGCAAGTCCATTGCCGAGCAATTGGTGCTAAGTCACAGCGGCCGCCCTTTTAAGTAAGCAATTATTCTTTTTCTCTAATATATAACAGGGGAATACTCTGTTTTTTCCTCTGTTTTGGATATGTGATACTTTGTTTTTTCCTCTGTTTTTCCCCCTGTTAAATACGCAGGACGAATAACAGGGGAAAGCTACACACTTGTGCAGTCCGTCCAGCCGGCATCTACGGACCAGGAGAAGAGAGGCATCTTCCTAGAATCATATCCCATGCTAAATGGGGTTTGCTGCCAATCAGAATCGGCGATATGAGCGTCATGACCGACTGGGTCTACGTCGAAAACCTCGTCCTCGCGTTGATTCTGGCAAGCATCGGACTTTCTGATGGCAGAGGAGATCTAGAAGGGAAATCCCCTGTGGCTTCTGGCCAAGCATACTTCATATCCGATGGTAAATTAAAAAAATTGATCGTGTGTGATGAAAAGCTTTTCTTCAGATCTGATATGGATCGATTAATACAATCCACCGGTTGTAACTTGTTCAATCTGTTTGCTTGTCATCAGGTTCTCCGATCAACAGCTACAAGTTCATGCAACCACTGCTGAGAAGCCTAGGTTACGACATACCAAAGGTGTCCGTGCCGGTCTCTCATGTGATTGCTACAGCTAGAGCTTCCTGGACCATCTACAAATTCTTGTACACATGGTTGAACCACGCCTGGCTTCCTCCGCCGTTGATCCTCCCCGCGGAGATTTACAAAGTAGGGGTGACGCATTACTTCTCGTCGCTCAAGGCTGAGGAGGAGCTAGGGTATGTGCCTCCTGTTACACCTCGGGAAGCGATGGACGCGACGATTTCGTACTGGCAGGAGAGGAAGAGGGAGACGTTGGACGGACCGACGATATGGCCGTGGTTGATTGTTGGGTTTGGATTGGGTATGCTGTTCTGTGCCGCGTTTTTGCCGAATGCAGGACCGGTTGTGCCGTTGTTGAGAGGTTTCAGCCTCTTGTTCCTGAGGTCGATGTGGATGGTCAGGGCGGTGGCTGTGGCGGCTGCCGTCGCGCATGTGGCTGAGGCTGTGTATGCGTTGAAGCTGGCCAAGAAGGTGGATCCTGTCAACGCCAAGGGATGGTTTTGGCAGACTCTTGCTCTCGGCTTCTTTTCCTTGCGTTTGCTGCTGAAGAGAAGAGAGCTAGGTAGGTAGACAACTAGAGTTAAGGTCCGAGGCATTGTCCGATTGTATTGCTCAAGCCTCAATGCCACTATTTTTTTCCTTCAAAATACAAGACCTGTTAAAAAAATTCGTACAATGCTACCTGCATAAAAAAAATCCCAAAATACACAAATTTGGTGTGGTTCGTTTAATTGTTTAGTCATTTAGAAAGCAGATTGTGTTCAGAGAACAGCTATCTGCACGTTGATCGTGTCGGGAGTGTAAAATCAAAGGGGTGATTTGGTTGTTTTTGGAGTGAGTGTTGGTCAGCTTTGGCTCTTTACTTTTGCAGTTTTTTGGAAAATGATATGCTCCCTTTTATTGACTCTTAGCCTCTTTAAATAGAGGGCTGAAATCCTAAATCGAAAGTGGGATTTACATCATGGATATCCCGAATCATGATCCTATCAGCTACTAGGGAGAGAAGATTTCCTGTATTTTTCAAAACGATCAAATCCTAACGAGCTAATGGTACCAGCTACAGTCAATGAATAGAACAAATCAATCGCTAACCGAAGCACTTCCTAAGCAAGCAGCAGAAGCCTATAATGTGCATGGGTTTCATCCTAACCACATGATGGCTAGTTGGTCCTTACATGGGTCGATTCGTATCCTTCTGGCCTTCCTTCTTTTGATCTTTCTCTCGATTCATAAGCCCATCATTGCCCGCCCCAAAAAGTATGGCCTTTTTGATAGAAACCTAAAATTAGGTTCTATCGGATTAAGGGATTGGTGAGAGGAATGGAATCACCAAGGTGGTGATTATGGTTGATTTGGGTAAAGGGAAGTGGAAATTGGGAATTGGAATTGAAGGGAGGGAGGGGAAAAGGGTGCTGCTGGCGCAACAGTTGAGGGGAGGAAGAAGAAGTTGGCTGCTCGGCAGCCTTGGGGAAAGAGAGAGGGAGGTCGGCAGAGGGAATTGGGGGGAGAGAGAGAGGAGTCTTAGGTTTTAGGTTTAATTCTTGCTATTATCAGAACCGGGCTCTGATACCAGATGATAGAAACCTGTAGTTGAGAAAAGAGAGTTGGGAATTGAAGAAGAAAGGGAATTAGGGATTTAGAAGAATTGGGGAAGAATTGTGAGGAGAGAAGATTAGGGAGTTGATTCTTTCTTATTGCTTAATCTCAAAAATACTGTTCTGAACTCTTATATATGGGTATCGAAATAAACAACAACCCGGGCCAATAGGCCGGCCTCCCTAACCCGCGGGCAGATTTCTATCATCCCCTCTCCCTTCAGAATCGACCTTGCTGCTTCAGCAGGGAAGTCTCTTCCCATGTCGAGTCTTCTGGCTCCACATGCTGCCACTCTACTAGGCTCTCCTCCACAATGCGACCCCCCCCTTCTCGTCCACCTCATCTCAAGCACCCTCAACGGCTTCAACTCCAAGTCTCCGTCTGTAGTGACAGGATGGGCCGTAGTCTCCACCTGGTTCGCCGTTCCCCTATACTTCTTCAGTAATGACACATGAAAAGTGGGGTGAATGCGAGCACCTGCAGGAATCTGCAACCTGTACGCCACCGAATTAACCTTCTCCAACACCTCATACGGCCCAAAGAACTTCGCAGCCAGCTTCTGATAGGCCCGCCGGAAGACTGAAGCCTGGCGGTAGGGGTGTAAGCAAAGCAACACCCAATCTCCCACCTCGAACTCTTCCTCCCGTCTTCCCGCGTCCGCCAACTAGGGGTGGGCAAACGGTTCGATAAAACCGAACTGAACTGAATTAAACCGAACCAAAACCGAATTAATGCTATTCGGTTCGGAATTCGGAAGGAAAATATGGATAGTTCGGAAATCAGGGTTCTTTCAACCGAACCGAATTTCCGACCGAAAAACCGAAATACTATAATTGCAAGCTCCAAATGGTGGATTTTTATGTTTGTAGTTGTTTTTAGACTTAAATATTTGAAATGTTTTATGACTTATGTGTTGAAAAGTTTGATTTTATCATTGATGATGCATATAATTGATATTTATTGTTTATATTAGGGGTGAAAAATAATTTAAAAGTGAGAAAATACAAGTAGCTTCACAAATTTGGTTTTGGGTGAAAAATCGAACCAAACCGAATTATAATTCGGTTCGAATTTGGTTTGAGGTTTGAGAGAATTCGGGGACCCGGTATTCATAATTTTGGTTCGGTCGAAACCGAACCGACCGAATGCCCACCCCTACCGCCAACTGCTTCATTTTGTTATTAGCTGCTGCTAGATTGGCCTTGAGCTGCTTCAAGGCTTCATCACGCGCTCCCAATCACCGATCCACCGCATCCACTGCACTAGTGCCGCTCCAGTAATGCAGCAATGAAGGAGGGGGCGCCCGTACATAGCCTCGAATGGGGGCATCTTGATGGCTCGGTGATAGGTGGTATTATACCATAACTGCCCACAGAACCATGGCCAACCAGTTCTTCGGATGTTGATGTGCAAAGCAACGAAGGTACTGCTCCAAGTGTCGATTAATCACCTCAGTTTGACCGTCCGTCTGAGGATGATAAGCGGACCTCATCCGCAATGTGGTCCTAGCCATGGAAAATACCTCCTGCCAGAAGCGACTCAGAAAAACGGAGTCCCGATCATTTACTATCGACCTCTGGAACCCGTGGTGTCTCACCACGCCCAGCACAAACTGCTCTGCCACCGCCTTTGCCGTGTACGGGTGCGCTAAAGCCATGAAGTGAGCATATTTGGTGAGCCTGTCGACTACTACGAACAAGACGGTCTTTCCTCCTAACGGTGGGAGACCAACAATGAAGTCCATGCTGATATCCTCCCAGACCTGTTCCGGAATCGGTAATGGCTGTAGCAACCCCGCCGGACGAAGTTGTGAAGCCTTGACCCTCTGGCAAGTGTCACAGGAATCCACATAACTTCTCACATCCTTCCCCATCTATGGCCAGTAGAACTGAGCTCGAACCCGGCGAAGAGTGCGCTCCACCCCGGAATGGCCGCTGAAGGGTGAATCATGGAATTCCAGCAGTATGGTAGTCACCAAGGATGATCCCCGCGGAAGAACCAAGCGCCCTTTGAAGACATCAGGCCCTGCCGAAAAGCATAATGCCCCGGGTTCTCGCTATCCGCGATGGCCCGGCACTCCTGCAAATATGGATATGTCCCTGTCAACTCGCGCAACGCGTCCCAGAATTGGGGTACAGGACCGGTCACTGCCGCGAGTACCTCGCCCCCTGGCTTTCTGGAAAGCCCATCTGCAACCACGTTAGTGGGACCCGGTCTATAGTGAATCTCATAGTAATATCCCAACAACTTCGAGACCCACTTATGCTAATCCGGGGTAGAAACCTTCTGCTCTAAGAGGTTCCGCAGGCTCTGGTGGTCGGTGTAGATGTGGAACTTCTGCCCCAATAAATACGGTCTCCACGCTTGTACAGCAGTGATGATAGCCTCCATTTCCTTCTTATAATTCGACCATGCTTCCTTAGACGGGGCCAAGGTCTTGCTCAGAAAAGCTATTGGGTGACGGTCTTGGGACAGTACCGCCCCAATGCCCCTGCCGGAAGAATCAGCTTCGATCATGAACGGCTTCAAGAAGTCTGGCATAGCCAGAGTGGGTGTAGTCGTCATAGCTCGCTTCAGTGCCTGAAACGAATCCTCCGCCGCTTGAGACCACTCGAATCCGCCCTTCTTTAGAAGATTAGTCAGAGGTCGCGCTATCATGTTGTACCCCTTAACGAACTTCCGGTAATACCCTGTTAGTCCAAGGAAGCCTCTCAACTCTGTCACAGTAGTCGGAACTGGCCACTCCACCATTGCCTGAATTTTGGTATGGTCTACCCGCACTCCCTGAGGTGTCACAACATGCCCCAAATAATCCACCTCCTCACTCCCAAATGAACACTTGGAAGCCTTGACATAGTACTGGTGCTGGCGGAGAATCTCGAACACTGTCTGTAAATGCAGCATGTGGTCCTTCCAAGAAGGACTATAGACAAGTATATCATCAAAGAATACCAAAACATACCGGCGAAGGAGGGCCTGAAGATATCGTTCATGACTGTCTGGAAGGTCGAGGGTGCGTTACACAGGCCGAACGACATTACCAGGTACTCATAGTGTCCGTTATGAGTCCGGAAGGCCGTCTTATGCACATCCTCCTCCGTCATCCGGATCTGGTGGTACCCGGCCCGTAAATCCAGCTTGGTGAAGTAGGCCGATCCGTGAAGTTCATCCAACATGTCATCGACGGTCGGAATCGGAAACCTGTCCTTCACTGTCATCTTGTTGAGGGCCCGGTAATCCGTGCAGAAACGCCGGCGAGGAAAACGGACTGGTGCTTGGGCGAATCAACCCTGTCTCGAGCATCTCTCCCACCTGGCGTTCAATCTCTTCCTTCTGCGAATGCCCGCACCGATAGGGTCGTACATTCACAGCCTTCACTCCTTCACTCAAATTAATACGATGATCAACCTAGCGGTGCGGAGGAAGGGTCGAGGGAGTCTGGAATATATCCGGGAATCGGTCGAGCACGGCCTGCAAATCCGCCGTGACGGACTTTGTCCGTTGCGCCGCCAGCGACCAACAGAGGACCGCGAAGTCTGCCTCCTCTCCAACTGTGCACTCCCGGAAGGAAATCGACCCCATCACCGGGGTCAATCCCTGCAAGGTCCACTCCTTATCCCTCCACTTAAAGCACATAGTCAATCTAGTCCAATCATGATGACCGGACCCAGACTGCGTAGCCACGACATTCCCAGTATCACATCATACCCCCTGATCGGAAGCACATACAGATCCGCTGAGAATTCCAACCCCTGGATGTCAAGTCTGAGATCCCGGTAGACCTTAGTACACCGCATGGGTGCGCCATTCGCGACCTTGACCACTATCGGCTCCATCTCGCAGGCCTCCTGCGCTAGGGTGTCCGCAAACTCCGCCCCGATGAAGTTGAGCGAAGCACCGCTGTCTACCAAAGTCATGGCGGAGTGCCCGTCGATCTTCGCCCGGAAACGCGGCGTTTCCGGAACTGCTTGACCCGCCACCGAGCCGAGGGACATGATCGGTCCTCCCCCGTCGACCGATTGGACGCGCGGCGCGCTGGCTCCGCTCGGTCCTGCCGCTCTCTCTCGCTCCGCCTCGCCCGGGGCGGCTGTCGCCGCTCCTGCCACCGCGGCGCCTAGGGCTGCCTCCCCAGCCTCCACCGCGTCGCCTGCCTTCACGGGGATGGCGGCCTGACTCGCCGATCGCCGTGGCCCTGCCTCTCTAGCGGCGGCACCCGCTCCCCTCCCCGCGCCCTCGGTCGCCTCTCTCTCTCGTGTGTAGCGGTCGAGAGACTGCTGCAACCGTTGGCTGAGGCGAACCCACTCCGAATCGAAGAACTTGGATGGGTTCATTCGGGCTCTGATACCAGATGATAGAAACCTAAAATTAGGTTCTATCGGATTTAGGGATTGGTGAGAGGAATGGAATCAACAATGTGGTGATTATGGTTGATTTGGGTAAAGGGAAGTGGAAATTGGGAAATGGAATTGAATGGAGGGGGGGGGGGGGGGGAAGGGTGCTGCTGGCGTAGCAGTTGAGGGGAGGAAGAAGAAGTTGGCTGCTTGGTAGCCTTGGGGAAAGAGAGAGGGAGGTCGGCAGAGGGAATTGGGGGGAGAGAGAGAGGAGTCTTAGATTTTAGGTTTAATTCTTGCTTTTATCAGAACCAGGCTCTGATACCAGATGATAGAAACCTGTAGTTGAAAAAAGAGAGTTGGGAATTGAAGAAGAAAGAAAATTAGGGATTTAGAAGAATTGGGGAAGAATTGAGAGAAGAGGAGATTAGGGATTTGATTCTTTCTTATTGCTTAATCTCAAAAATACTGTTCTGAACTCTTATATATGGGTATCGAAATAAACAACAACCCGGGCCAGTAGGCCGGCCTCCCTAACCCGCGGGCGGGTTTCTATAACTTTTCCTCAAGGTCGGAAATCATCAAATCTTTCAAACAATTCTGAGGTAGAGAGCGCCAGTTGACAAGTAATTCCTCAATAACCCTATTGCATTAACAAAGCCAGCGTGTGCCATGGATCGCCAACACTCGCGCGATCTCTGCGGCTGATATCAGCTTGTTGTACCACTGGTCGTACCATTTCACTCTCTAAACTGACGTAACGGTATAAACCGGTTTGACAATCTTGCTTAGCCTGAGGCTGGGGTGCTGGACCTAACGGAGCTGAAGTAAAGGCCCACGGTCCATTAGTATGGCCTCTTTACTTTAACTTGGATCGCCCTCCACATGTTGGGCTTTTACCTGCAAGATTCTTTAATCTTTTCCCCTTAACAGTCTTCGCTCCACAAAATTTTCGCAATCCAACTGCCATGGCTTCCTTAGAACCTCCCGCCGTCGTTACACCGCCGTCCTCCAAGCCCAACCTCCTCCCTCTCCCCTCCCACACAATTATCACCCCCTCCGCCGCAGCGTTAGCCGCCGTCGCTCCGACCACCTCCTCTTCCTCCCCCGCCACCCCCTCCGTCGCAACCCCTCTACCTACCCCTTCCGACTCCGAATTAGTCCACATCCCTAGCTACTCCCGTAATCTCCCTCTGCAAATTTAGCATCTCCCGTCGCTTCCCTTTCGCAGACATGGAAAACAATTCTCTAATTCGGTAATTCCTTCTCTTTTTTGTGTCCGCTTTTTTTCCAGGTTGGTTCTCCGTGGACGGCATTAGCGAATGCGAGATTCGCTGCCTGCCGGAGTTTTTCCATTCTCGTTCCCCTTCGAGAAACCCTAAGGCGTACAAATACATCCGGGACTCCATCATCAAGCAATTCAGGCGGAATCCTTCCTCGAAGATCACCTTCACCGAAGTCAGGAAGACGCTCGCCGCCGACGTCATCTCCATCCGCAGAGTTTTCGATTTCTTGGACGCATGGGGCCTCATCAATTACTCTCCGGCTGCATTGAGCAAGCCCTTGAAGTGGGAAGAGAAGGATTCCAAGACCTCCCAGCACGCCGCCGATTCGCCGGCGGGGCCTTCCTCGGACTCCACTCCTCCGGCCAGGGAAACTACAAAGTGGCTCTGTGGCAGCTGCAAGTCCGTCTGCAGCATCGCTTGCTTTGCTTCCGACAAGGTAAAATCTCGCCTCCCTCTTTTCATTGCAATGGAATTCATACTATCAAGGCAAATCCGTCTGCAGCATTGCTTAACGGATTTGGTCCTAATTTTGTTGAACCAGTGCGACTTAACTCTTTGTGCACGGTGCTTTGTGCGGGGGAATTATCGGGTGGGACTTAGTTCTTCGGATTTCAGGCGGGTTGAGATCAGCGACGAGATGAAAACAGATTGGACGGAGAAAGAGACGCTGCAACTTTTGGAAGCGGTTATGCACTATGGTGATGACTGGAAGAAGGTTGCACAGCATGTTGGTGGTAGAAGTGAAAAGGACTGCATCACCCACTTCATTAAGCTACCCATGGGGGAGAAGCTTGCTGGTTCCTCAGAATTTGGATCCGGTATGAACAAGCTAAACCAGATGAAAGATGATAACAGTAGTAACTCTTCCTCCTCTGGTAAAAGATTGTGCCTTTCGCCTCTTGCAGATGCAAGCAACCCGATAATGGCTCAGGTAAAACTCTACTTGCCTTGCCTCTGTAGCTTGTTCAGGATTTTTTTTCGTCCAGCGTCTTTACTTTTAAAAACATTTGGCAGGCTGCTTTCCTATCGGCTTTGGCTGGCACTGCAGTTGCTGAAGCCGCTGCTCAAGCAGCTGTAACTGCAGTGTCCAAGGTTGGACATGGAGAAGCCAAGGCTCACATCAGAAGTGTTCACGGGGTTCAAGGATTGCAAGGTAAGAGGGGCTGACAAGGACAATGTCCCGAGTATCCATTAGTGACACAGAATCGTTTAAAATAAGCAGCCGTCTGTTATTTGGGTGTCTCGGATTGAACTAATTGTGCAAAGCTGCTGTTCATTTTCTGTATTACTCGAGCATTGAGAGGACAAGTAATGATTTTGATTTTTTGTGTCTCTCTGCAGATGCAAGTATCACATCCAACGGCAGTGACATGCTGAAGTCCTCAGAAGATGCTCGTTCAGGTGTAAATCCAATGCCGGAGGAGAAGGTGAATGTTGAGGAAGAGCTTCGTACAGTTGCAGAGGTACAGGTAAAAGACACTTCTCCCCCATCTTCCGGAGCTCCTCGGAGTGAAAATGAAACTTTCAATGTTCACTGAGAGTAACCCTTTTGCAGATGAAGCATATCCAAGAGAAGATCATTCGCTTTGAGGAGATAGATTCACAGGTAGAAAAGGAGTGGAAACAGATGGAGCAAATGAGAGATATCTTGTTTTATGACCAGTTGAACCTCTTAAAGCACGAAAGATCAATTCGGAAAACTGGTCAGCAAGCAGCGGAGGGCACGAGAACAGGGTGATTCTGTCAGATGTATGTTTCATAGTATCAGAAATTTCCCGTAGTTTGTTTAGTCTAACGTATTATGACAAGGTAGAAGAAGAGTAGATAGTCCACTCCACTCGACGGTGTAACAAAATTAGAGAAGACTATGCTTGCCTCTGTTAACTTATTTGGTTCAGTTGTATCAAACGTAACACATAATGAAATGTATTTATTATCAACAATACAGCGGATACTGCTATGATCATAACCATACACAGCTGGAAAACAAAGCAGGGTGCAAGGAGTGAGCTCAAAATTCTTGGCCTTCAGGTGAACCTGAAGTATGAGACCACCTGGGAAATGGCAAACATAACAGGAAAGAAAACAAGTTAACAATCTGTTTTCTGAGTTTCAACTGTTTAAACCTACGGGGTAACAAAAGGTAGAGAGCCATGAAAGAGAGTGATTACAACTGCGACACACCTTTATCTACTACCTAAACCAAATCTCGGCGTCAAAATCACTTCAGTCGTGAAAATGAACTTCCACCGTATCTGCTGGCAGCTAAATGAATTTGATAGACCTACAAACAGACAGCATCTTCCATGACTCAGGAAGTTTCACCTCTTCCTTTCTCTTCTCCACTTGTATACTGGCCCTGATGCTGGCGCCAGAGTCTCATCTTCACGCAGCTTGCGCTTTCGTCCCTTTTTCTGATGACCGAAGGCCCAATCCTTTATCATATCATACTCCAATAATCAGGCAGAAAGTAAAAATCAGGGCAAACATTTACACATTACCGTACCTGCAGTTCCTTCTGTAATGTCATCTCCATATACAGCTTATCTAACTGAGTCACTCTGTTCTTTCGGGCTTCTAGCTCTCTGTAAGAACCGGCTAATCTCCTGCTCAATAAAACCGACCCTCAGAATGTGAAGATAGAACATGAACAAAAAGAGAGAACTAGGGCTAATTCCTTACTCTGTAGCATACCATTTTCAGAACTCAAACAAAATCAACTTCACTGGTTAATTTAGTGTAACGATACTGTAACCTCACGGAACCTAATCTTAGATTGCCAAGGAGCATGATCTCATGTCAATGTACAGGCATTTATCTGTATATGTCATTACCTGTTCTGGTCATTCGTAATAAGGACGTTCCACAAAAGGTAATGATAAACTAATCACTATTAAAAGACATAGAAAGGCTTCCGCTAAATGTAGACATTTGTAGAAGTACAATGAACACACCCATTCAAATAACCAAGATTAAATAGAAGATGAGCATACATCTATGATAGTAGGATCTACGTAAAGTAAACTACAAGTGTACCTCTTAATATGATCAGGCACAGGCTTTTCTGCAGTGGAACTACCCTCATTGTTTTTGGCACGGCATGACCTCATCTCTTCAGCCTCCTCTCTGGAAAACATAAACCAAAAGTTCAATAACCATGCATGCTTTCACCTTAACGGGTCACTTTCATCAGTGAAAGCAATCAGCAACAGCTCCTAGATAACTATATAAAGTGTATATTAAGTATAGGAAGTAACGAGGAGCACAAATTAGCCCATCGCCGGACCTCAAGTCAAACACCACGTCACTAAGTCATCCATCATTAGGGAATTAACATCCACTACGCAAGACAGTCTAGTAGCAGAATGCACAAGTTTCCTGGATATATTCTAAAACAGCCAGCTATCCTTTACAGTTCTTGGCATAATAAATGTCAACAGGAGTGCAATTGTCATAAAGGACAAACCTATCTTCAGCAAAATAGATGTGTCCGGTTGAAGGCTGGTTTCCAACTGAGTGCAAGATAGATGTAAGCTTTTCAACTTTCTGCATCAGACAATATTTCAGTGGGCATCGATGAGCATATTTCTGCACTGAGAAACCTTCAGCACATCAGTAAATACGGGAAACAAAAGCCTTCCTTACCTTTTTCTCGCTCTGAAGTTTCTGAAGCACATATCCGATGTCTTGTGTCTTCATCAGCATCAGTTCATCTTGCGTGTATTTGTTTGCCTCGCCCCTACAAACAGAGCCGAAGTAGATGAATCGCAAGTCATATAAAATCCAAAAGTCTATGTTTGCTCGAGCTTAGGTCGAATTTGAAGCTACTCGGTCTCATAAGCACACTTTGAAACTCCATGTTACATTCTAGCTATTTTAGAATACAATTCTAGCGAAAAAAAAAAATCTTCTCATTTTCATGTTTTGGGAAAATCAGTCATCCAACAGAAACACTACCAGAAGCTCAAAGCTCAAGCACTTTAGCTTTTCTACGGAGTACTATCTGGCAACCACGCTTCACCGTACTGTCAAGCGTCTATTCTTAAGCCTAATTCGAAATGCCATGGCAAGTTGCTTCAAAAACTAAGAAAAGCAAGCAACAATACATGGATTATGGAGAAATTACAATGAACGATGGACTCCATCTACAGTTCGGGATTTGATCATGCCAAAGTTGAACTCATCAGGATTTCTGAAAGCTGCTTTCTCTCTGAGCCTCTGCGGGAAGATACAGCCACAAAAGCCATGAATCAGAATCAATCTCGCAGTGCAGCTAAGAAATTTATTAAAAAAAAAATTCCGTGAATGTACCTGTAAAGTCTCTTGCTTCTTCTGGAACGCCTTTGCACGAACAACATAGTCTTTGTGCTTCTCCAGAAGCCCAAATTTCTTTCTCGACTCCCTGGCAGCCAAAAAAATTCAAAGCAAATAAGGAACTGGAGGACTGCAGAAACGGAAAGGAGTTGAGAAATATGGGTAAAGTCGAAATAAGAGCAGAAACAGCAAAGCGGAGACGACTCACGGTTGAGCTCGTTCCTTGTGGGTTCTTTGAGGAAGAACATTCTTCAGCGACGACATTTTTGCTGGAGCTTCCTCTGCTTACAATTCGGTCTCTTTGGGTCAGGTGTTTTCTCGCCGTGCGCCGTAGCAGTATGCAGTTACAAGATGAAAACCGAGAGTCGGCGGGAGAGAGATGAGCAAAGACAGCGAAACGGCTGTGTGCAGATAGTTGTTTACTATAGAGCGATTATAAATACGAGAAAACCCTAATACAATAGTCGAGGAGAGGAGAGGAGCAGCAAAAGCTGGAGAGGTTAGACTAACTTCAACCCGTAAAGTCAAATTTGGCTCCCCAAGTAGCCAAATATGGCTTTTTAGCTCCCCAAACCCCATTTTCACTTCAACCCTACACAATGCTAAATTTAGCTTCCTACCTACCTTTTTTCAATTTATTACAATAAAGCATACTTATTTGACCTCTAATTTTCATATTTCACTTTAATTTTCTATAGTTAGTTATTCCTTTTGAAAACAAAATTTTCGATGTAATTTTTTTTTATTCCGAGACAAAAAAATTTTCGGAAAATTAGTCATTATTTTGTTACCGTTAACTTCAGGACCAATGAAAAAATACCAATTAAACATATAACATTTCATATCTTCTTTCAAACAATTAAACAAACAACATACACAATCAACCAATGACAAAATACCACACAAAAAAAGCAAAAAGAAAAAACAACACAATCAACCAATGAGAAAATCCCAAAGAAAAAATAAAAAACAAAAAAATAAAAGAGGACCCACCGCGGGTCCACCATTTCCTCTAGCCAAATTTAGCTTTTTCACCTTTTTAGAAGCTAAATTTGGCTCCCAATTCACCAATACCCATTTTTAGCTCCCCAAAATAATGTGGGGTGGAGCACAAAAAAAGAGCTAAAAATGGGTAAATGGCTTTTTAGCTCTAGGGTTGGAGTTAGTCTTAGGCTGCTAATAAAAGATAGGTAAACTTATTATTTTTGGCTAATCCATCCGATGCTGGTGGAAGCCTTGGCCCTGCGGATGCAATCCGGTGGTGTAGAGTAGGGGTTTGAATTCGGTGTGAATTCGAAGGAGATGTGAAGATTGTTATTGACAAGGTGAATGTTGGTATTACTCATGATGCGGTGGGTGGTGCTCTGCTCGGAGAAATTTGTCATTTCCTGGTGAAGACGCTTGGTTTTCGAGTCAGTTTTGTTGGTAGGCAGAACAATAGGGTAGTCCATAGAGTGACTAGAAAAATCATGTATTTGTTTCCTACAAGTTGTAATAGTTTTGATTTTCGAGTCTGGCTCTGGTCGGAGTCTGGATATTTTTAACTTGGTGTTCTTGTTAATGCAAGCAATCTTTTCGTTAAAAGAATTATTATTTTGGGCTAATATTACAAAAAAATATCAATTTTTAGCGATTTTGCTATTTGTATTACGAAACTTTCGTTATGTCGTTAGTTTTATATTAGTTTTTCGTTATTGTTTGACCAAGAGCCTAGTCAATTATGACGTGGACTCTAAGCTCGCAAAAAATATATACAAAATTGGCAAGCCATCAAATCTCGTGTCTCTTATTTGTTGAACAGTGTTCGTCAAGCAAATCTTCACCAACATCCAGTGGTGGACCATTAATACAATTTTTTGAAGTTACTGCAATTGAAGGGCAAAGTTTCCTTTCTCTCTCAACCTTTTATTTCCTCTCCCTTCTCTCTTAAATCACCGCCGGTTGATATTTGTGTTAGGGTGCCGCCGGCACCTATGGTGACCGGCGGCAACCCACTTTCCTTTGTTTTCTGTTTTTCCTGTTTTCCAGTTCGTTTCTTGTAATCTTTGCTTCCTTTTCTTTCTCTTGGATTGAGTTGTTTCCTTTCCGTTTTTTTTCGATTTCTTGTCTCTGCTTTCACTTCCCTTTTCGGGTTTCTTTGCTGCCTCTGTGGTCCGTTTCCCTCTTCTTGTGAAGAGGTCCTTTGCCCCCTTTTATGGGTTGAAGATTTTGTCCTCCGATTTGGTTTCCAGATGTGGAGATGTTTGTCCGGTTCAAGATACGATGGAGGTTGGATCTGATAGATCCGGCTTGTCTTCTCCTCTCCTCTCCTTTGGTCTACCTCCTTGTTTTGCCTTGCAGATCTTGGCGATTCGGAGATGCAGCCATTGGCGTGGATCCGGTGGGGAGAGCTTGAGGACAGATGTATCCTAACCCTCTGTCTCCTCCGTCGATCGTCCGGTCGCTGTGTTGGTTCTCTTGCGGTTTGACGGCGGGAGGTTATGTGGCGTTCGGCTCGTGGTGGGTTGTTCGGAGGTCTTCTCCTCCTCTTCTCGCATGTCGAGTTCGGTGGGTGTCGATCTGTGCTTGGCTCATGGTGGCGTTCCCCGTCGGGGGAGGTGCTCGGTTGGTGCAGGGATGGTCACCGACCGCGGCGGCTGGAGGATTCAGAGGGGGCTCATGTGTTAGGGTTTGGGAAGGGGCCTTCATGTTTTGGTCCTGGGCTCGGGCCCTATTGGGTTCTGGGTTTGTCTTTGGGCCTGGTTGGTTGGTTCTTTCTTTTGTTCCTATTGCATTGTAGCTTGTACATTTCCTTCATGGGCTGAGCCCAGTCGTTATCTAATGAACTTACCTTCAAAAAAAAAAAAAAATCCAGTGGTGGACCCAGAATTTTCATCAAGGGTATTCAATGAAAAAATAAAAAAAATATAAACAATAAATATTAAAATTGCAATAATAAAACACAACATATTTTCCTATTCTAAAAAGTTTTAAAAGCATATTCATCACTTATGTTGCAATTCAAACCTTTTTTAATGAATATCACCAAACAATCATTCATAAATTGGTCTCACATCTTATCCATCTTATTTCGATGATCATTTTTTTTTAATAATTCCATTGATGAAATGGCCATCTCAATGCATATGACTGTTGGCGAGAAAAGAGAACAAGAAAGGAAGTCGGAAGGAAGGATTGGACACCGAAATTGAGATGTTTTTACTCTCGATAAATTATAACGGGGAGAATATCAATTTGGGGACTTATCGAGAAAAAAAGATCAATTGTAATGGGTAACTTGGAGGGTCAATAAAAGAGTTTTTATCCTCCCAAATGCAAAAAAAAAAAAAAAAAAAAACAATCCATTAAGATTCTTAGATAGAACAATTAATATGGTTTAGGAATGAATTTGGGTTCCTGAATAGGTGTGCTTTGTATTCTTACAACAAACAGTTCGTATTTTAACGTAAAGTTCAATTTGAAATTGCAAAGCCTATCAGATAGGAGAGCCTTAAAAAACTGTAAACAATAATATGAATTTTAACACACTAATTGGATCCCAATTTCCATTTTAGGTTTGTCAATTGACAACCCTCAAGCATGAATGGGTACGCTCCTGCCAACATCACAATCATGGCGTTGAAGACAATTACGACGTGTCTTTGTCGTCCCTTCAATAGCTAGTGCTGGGGAGATAGTATAGCTTCTGCCAACAAAGTTTGAAGCAAGGCAGTCATGATCAAAGAAGCGGTCGTCCCCTCCGCGTTCAGCATCAGTCAATGTTGAGTCATTACCATTCTAACTTTCAATATGGGCATTCACGTCGTTCATGCTCCAGTTTGAGGGGGGAATAGAAGGTCAACATACGTCGGTCATCAAGATGACCGAGTCTATCTATCCGTCAGGAAGTTCAAGAGACGCAGTCAATCGTCTCCGTCAGTGAGATCAAGAGGCCCAGTCAGAGGCGCAGTCAACCGTCTTCGTCACGACGTTCAATAAGACGCAGTCAATCGTCTTCATCAGGTTGTTCAAAGAGAGTCAGTCGTCTCCAAATCAACCTCGTCCGAGATGTTATTCATCTTGTGTTTTGTTGTACAAGCTTGTCATGCTTGTTCTTCACATTTTCCTTTCAAGCTCGACATTCTTGTCATTCATGTCTTCGCTTGAGGGGGAGTGTTGCGGTTAATAAACCGTGTTAGTCATGGGCCTCATTGGGCCTTGTCCGAGTGGTAGTAGGGTACGGATACTTGGTCGTACTCGACTCTTCTCATTAGGGTTTTAACCCTAATCTATCTCAATATAAGACTTAGCTACGAACCTGTCATAAGCAAGCCGTCACAATGTAAACCTAATAAAAGATTAGTCATGAGCTCTTCATAGCTCACCATGGATTAGTCTTGTTCACGTTGAACAAGAATACCACGTAAAATATCGTGTCTCTTGTGATTTTTTTGAATTCCGCGTCATCAAATTCTACACCAATCCTCTTCCCTTTCTCTGGCAAAACCACCTGTTGCACGAGGGCGACTCCCACCACCGCTGCTTCTCCACTCAGTGTGAAGCAGAGTTGCAGAAATGATTAAAGAACATATATGAAGAAGTTGCACTCTGCACTTGCAACACAAGAACGAAAGGAGAAATGAGTCATTATTGGTACAGCTGGGTCGGGCTTCCTTTTACACGATTCGGCCCAACAGAAGAAGTAGATAAATAAACGAAGAACGGCGTTGTTTCGCTGCGTAGTTAGCACAATGTAATTAGCATTAATTAAGCAACACTTGTCGTGATGTGATTAGTTAGTTTAATTATTATAGTTATCTAGTTAGCCTAGTAGTAGTAGCTTTCTTAGTGCATATATATACAAATCAATGGAAAATGGTGAAAGGCATCTTGTTGATTCCCAAAATCCCGACTCTTCTTTCTGTCAAACCCTAGCAACACGAGAGCTAGTTCAAGTTCTTTCGTATGGTATCAGAGCCTAGTTGCTTGAATATCGATTCCTTCACTTTATGCCAGAATACTCGTATTGAATAATTGTTTATTTATCTCTGGAAGAAAGATGGAATAATGAAGAATTAGGACAGTTAGGCTGTGATCTGGGTCATTTTTTGATTGCTCCAACTCAAATTTGCTTAGGTTCGAATTTAGTGTGTTAGAGATGCGCAAGACAAACACAAATTCTCTCCATTTCTTGGTGTAGGGGATATGAAATGCATGATGCACCGAGATGGATCCGTGCAAATACAAGGGGTGCGGCCGCCCACTTTAGATTTTCTGGGTAGCTTCCTAGGATAATTCAAGCAAAAGGTTGAAGAACTCTGCCTGAGTGGGACAATTCATATTGGGATATTAAGTTGCCCAGACTCATCGAACTGCAACTCTTTGTTCCTACCTGCCGAGATGAGATACTTGAAGGTGTGGTGATGAAATGTAGGATTCCAAGTTATGCTTTTCCTATAGTTGGTTCAACAAAATCAAGTGTTGCTTCTCCTGTAGCTGGTTCATCAAAACCATCAGGACCTAATGGCAATGTTTGAGAATATGGCTTAGACCTCGATTGATCGCTCAACATTTCCTTTGAACCAAACTTGTGGCCTTCAATTCTTTGAAGAATGATGGGCTGATGGGATTGTGGAGGGAGCCAAGTTGTATGGCTAGCAGGGAGAAAAAAACTAGTAAGTAGAAACAAGACCTTATGGGTCAGAATCCAACCTAGTAAATTAAAGGGTAATGACTATGATATGAAGAATGTAGCTATCATTCCCCTTTTGTGTCTTTGCTCAGTATTTCCTTATGTGCTTATTTACAATTAGTTAGCACAAAATCATCTTACTAGTTGTAGCAAATGATGCAGTATATTCACTTCGGATTAAGATATTGGAAAACTGGTTTGAACATTACTTTATTAGCTTTTTTACAATATGTAGTCTTAGTAGCCCTGTGTGTGAATGTATTTATGTGCATTACCTAAGATAATGAGAAACCGTGGCTATATGGACCTATGTTGATGCATCTTCCTGTGGTGGATGCGTGTTATTAGCTGATAACGCTTAAACTTGTACTATGATTCATGTGGAAAGTGTATATGTGCTCTGTCTATGGCTGATGCAATAGATTGAACTATAGTCTTCGTTGTCACTGTCACCCCTATCTAATGGCTAGTATTGATCTAATGGCAGTTGGAAAATGTCACTTCACTTTGGTTGAGTAGTTTCCCAATGAAGTTACCTCTTGTGGCTATAAATATGAGATGAAGATGACAGAGGAGGGGTTAGTCAAATTCACACCAGACAACTTAATGTCAAATTTTATCTTTTTATCTTACCCTCTTTAAATTTAGCTAGAGTTGTAGTTCTGGAGCTCTCATTGAACCTCCAGAGAAGCATGTTAATTTAATATAATTAACTTTGTCTCGTAGATCATCAGAAAAATTGAAGACCCTTATTTGAACTTTTTTCAATGAAGTGTAAAACATGTTTAGTAGTGGTTTGGTTAAAAGTCAAATGTGCAATTCAATTCGGCTTCAACTCAACTTTCATGCGGGATACAAATTGACACACCTAATAACACCGGAAACCCACAATCATTTGATTAGAATTTAGAAAAGTAAAGGTGGAATTGAATTATGTTTCAATTAAAGCTTCCACGTACACATCCATGTCATGACTCATGCATGCATGGCATGAGTTTACATCAGTCACTGCTGCCACCTCTGAAATCCAATAATTAATTGGATACAAAGTAAGAACAATCTGAAGTAAAAATGATGGAATCAAGATTAAAGTGGCCGTTAATTATTTTTCAAGAAGACAGGAAAAAAAAAAAAAAAAAACAAAGTAGGAAATGTATAGTGTGGATTAAGGAAAGATGATGAATGTTTATCATTTGGATTTGGTAGGATAGGAAGCCATCTTGTAAAGCCCACACATCCCCTCGGGCTTGCCGGTGTTCCTCTTCATCCGAATAAAGCCCTTCTCTCCCCATTTGGGCCCCCACGAGTTCTTCACGATCACGTAGTCCAGTCCCTTCCCACCCGACCCGTACCCGACCGCTGCCACCCCGTGGTCCAAGCTCGTCCCGCAGTGCCCGTCGAACACACCCTAATATGTGAAATCGTATAAGAGATTATAAAGGGAAAAAAAATCAATGATACAAAATTTTGATGATCTGGTATTTTTTTACTAAAATCATATTTAAATAATGAGCAATTATTTATTACTATTTAAACCATCTACTACGATTCGCGCTCAGTTCGATATCTGATATTTCCGATCCGATCGGCCGATATGGGAATAAAATAAAGTTTTGGGTATCAGAAATTCACTAACCCCACTGTAGAACTGGAAGTCCCTCCCGGAGGCATCAATGGCGACGCTAAGCGGCTGGCCGGCCAGCGCCTTCAGCAGCGCCTGCTCGTTGTTCGCCGGCACGTCCTTGTACCCAGTAATCGTCACCACCGCAGCATCCGCCGCCTTGGTCATCTCGCAGGTGCCTTCCTCCATGACGTAAGGGTAATCCTCCTCCTTGTGGAGCCCACCGCTGGACGCAATGTAGGAGAAAGCGTAGTCCATGAGGCCGCCGTTACATCCGCTGTTGTAAGCCGTGTCGCAGTCGATGAGCTCCTGCTCCGACAGCGCCGTCAGGTTCCCCGTCACGATCTGGTTGATCCCTTCCACCGCCGCCACGGTGGAGAACGCCCAGCAGCTGCCGCACGACCCTTGGTTCTTCACGGCCGTCACCGCCCCCTTCTTCCTCCAGTCCACCGCCTTGGGAATGCCGCCGCCCTCCACCTCCTCGTCGACCGAAACCCTTTTCGTCGGAGTGAGCAGTTAGAAGTTATTAGGTGTGTAAAAGATAAATTATTTTCGGATTAAAAATGTTACTAATAGTATAATATATAGATTCTATCGTACATTGAGTAAAAAATTAAAGGTGCGACATACGTTGAGTAAAGAAATTATATCTCTAGATCTTGAATTAACCAGAATTTGGCAACAGATACTACTCCCAAATCCATAAAAATTAAAAATGTGTGTATTCGAGTTCTATAAATTTCATACACTAAGATCATTTTAATAAGAAACAAAAATCAACGGTCATGATTTGTCAAAATATATATGCAAAAAATTACATGCACAATCTCAAGGGGTAGACTCTATGCTTTAGATAACTAAGACCTAGGATCCACTCATCAGGGGTTAGGGTATAGTATATCATGCCCAAAAATCCTGCTAATTCGAGGTCTATATAACATTTTCTTACTCAACGTATGTTGTACACTAGATATTACCCAAAGTCCAATAGAAGCCACCTAATTTGTAGCAATCAATTAAGATTTCCTACATTCTCAAAATACATTTTATCCTCGAGTTCATTAATTCTTTTCATACTTTTCATATGCATGTCTATAGTGATTTATCATCGTTTTAGCAAAACTTACGTGTGTCCTGTGACGGAGCTTGGCCTGATCTCCATCACTGGGGACGGCCTGAGGCCGAGGTAGTTGTTCTTGAACTCGTCGTGGGTGAGGTCGGCGAACTCGTTGAGCCCCAGCCAGTAGTTGGTAGCCTTCTTGTTGGTGTCGTCGATGTGGAAGAGGTTGTCCTTGAAGATCTCGAATCGCTGGATCTTCTCCTCGATGGACTCGTAGATCTTGGAGTGCTTCTCCATCCACGACTCGAACAGGTCGATCAGCTTGTCGGTGGAGGTGAGGTCGTCGGAGGAGTAGCCCACGATGGAGAAGTCCCGGGCCGCCGCCGTGGCAGCCGCCGTGGCAATGAGGAGCAGGAGGAGTTTAGTGGTGTTGGAGGAGGAAGCCATGGGTGCGCTGTAGAGTTTAATTAGAGTGGTGAGAGATGGATGGAATGGTTGATGAATGGAGATGGTTTTTATGGGCGTTTTATAGAGTAGGTTGTAGTGATTTTTGGTATATTGAATTGAAAGAAGATGCTTTCAAGTGAAGTATGTGGCGACAGGGATGGATATAATTTGCACGCTTTCCACCTCCCCAGCCTGAATACTGAGACTTTAAGGTTGGTTCTCAAGTCATGATGTATATATCTTTCCATTTAAGCATAAGCATTGCTCCATCATTTTGGTTCATGACTCCTACGCTCCACAGTTACACTATTTTCCTTCTACTTTATCAATTTTGTTTGACCATAAGAAGACGATTGATTAATGAGGAAGAAGAAAATCGAATGGGTACGAGTACTGGAGTCAGAGACTTTGGTTTAACAAGTTCGACCCTGGAGGACCATGTAGAGTGGTCGAGCGCGAGACCGAACTCCCCTTTTCTTCAGATTTTAGCTCTTAGAGTTTTCTGCAAAAACCCTAATCGCACTAGAGGGGATCAAGTGTTGAATTCACGAAGAGGAAAATGAAAATGTAAAAGAACAGTAAACTATTATTTTGTTAATTATCCAAATTAAAATTTAGAGTAAATACAATATATTAGCCACAACTATTCTGAAGCGGGGAATTATAGCCACAACTATGGAAATTCAAATTTTAGCCAAACGTTAACTCTTTGTTAACAATTCCGTTAATAATGCTGACTTAACGTTTTATGTTTTAAAGTTATAAATTAAAAGCAGTCCGACGTGGCTGCTGTCGTGGTCGATGACGTGACCTTCTCCGTTAAAAATTCAATAATAGTAATGGACAGTTAGCCATATATTGACCCGCAGGCCGCAACAATAATTATGGCTAATAATTTGATTTTACATTGTTGTGGCTATAATTCCCCGCTTTATAATAGTTATGGCTAATATATTGTATTTACCCTAAAATTTATTCGGGCTGGGCTTCACTTTATCTCTTGTTTTTACTTGATACTTATACTAAGTGGGCCTAGACTGATCCGAGCCCAACCGCCGTTGCTGACTGTCTTCCCTGAAACTCAGACTGGAGCTCCCCTGTTTCAACTTCAACCTAGCAACCACAGAACAAAGATCACAGTACAAACGCAGGAAAGAACAACATTCACAATTTTACATGGTCTCCTCTTGAGATCTCCTACATAATTACTAATACGATTTCTCCACTTGTTCTTCTTTACAAGTGTAGAACGAATTCGCCAATCTCCCTGCCTAGCCAACAGATTCTAACTCTGATGTATCCACTCCCTGTTTCTACACTCAGACCACTTACAAGTCTCTCTGACTTGGTTTCGCGATTTTTCACTCAAAAGACTTCTATTTGATCTCACAAAAGACAACTTTTGTTCTCTTAAAAAACCGCACCCTGCTTCTTCTTTGTGTCCTTCTTTTATAGTCTGTTTGTTCTTCTTTTAGCCGTTGGAGAGTGATTTTGGTTTGATTCCCATGATCAGCTGTGTCTTTCCTTCTTGAGACTTGCCTCCTTTGTTCTGATTGATTTCTTTGATTCTTTCCTTCTTTGCTATTGACAGGCTTCCCTCAACATGATCCCCCTAAGCTTGTCAATGGCTCATCCTGCTGCAATTGTATTCTATGCACACACTTAACACACTCTTGGTGCAGTCTGTTCTATATACAAGGATTACAGCAATGCAAAGAGGAGCTTTTATTTTATTTCATTCAATCAAATTCTCAAGAGAAACATATCCTATATCAAACACAAAAACACAACCACAAAAGACACACTTGACTATAGCCACCTAATCCTTGAAGGACTACTATTAGACTCAAAAGGCTACAGCTCCCCCTGCGAAGAGTAACCAGAACTCTAGAAAGGATAGTTGGGAGGTGACTCGTAGTCTGAGATATCATCTTCAGAGCCCGAGTCGGAGGATATAGGATCAAAGTTATCAGGAGCAGGCATAGCTTCATCAGTTTCCAAGAGTTCTAAACTTTCTTTGCACACTTGAAGTTTGGTAGTCGAGGCACTTCCAGCCTCCTTCCCGCGTTTGATCTCATTTTCCACTGTTGTAACAACAGCTTGAGTCAGTCCTGCAACCAAGCCACTGGTGGCATCATTTGCAGAGAACACGGAAGCAGCTACTCCCCCTGATCCAGAGATAAGCTTACGGCTACCAACGTCGGCATCCAGCCGATTTAACACATGATTAGGACGCAGATCATCATGGATATTGCAGATAGCAACCTTGTCTCGGAGATCGATTCCGAGACGATAAAGGTAGCGAGTGATGAGTGGACCAAAAGGAATAGGTCCACTATAACTACAGTTGCCAAAACTGATCATGTGTGCAAACACAAGTGAGGCATAACTGATAGGCTGGCGGGCACGAGAGTTGGACATGATCCAGAGGTCAGTGGTGTGAAGGATCGTGACACTGGATATGTCACGAGGAAGGAAGCATCGGGTGATAAAGAAGTGGAAGACTGTCAGATCATCAGGAAGGCGACCTGCAGCGAGCTAAGTTGGAAAAGTTAGCCCAATGTCGCGGGTCAACTGATTGAGAGCAGTAAAAAAAAATCAAAGCCAAGTTCGACAAACTCGTCGTCAAAACCAGCCTGAAGTCCGGAGTGAGGCAAAGCAAGGAAAAAGGCGAGCAGATCAGGGGTGACAGTAACCTCATGATCATGCACGAGAGTGGTGAAAGAATGGGAATCAGCTCCCCGTCTACGCCGAAGATTAACATAAAGCTGTCTGAAAGATTCAGGACAGTGAAGGAAACATTGTTCTTCAGTTAACGAGGACTAGCCAATCCCTGAAAGTAGGGATGGAATGTCCATTTTATACTTGGTGAAAGCGGAAGGATGGATGGTGAATGATGGATAGATGGACCGGTCTTGGAAACTGCAAAGGTACCTATTGTGAACAATGGTACTGCGGAATCCTTGATTTTTGAACACTACGGCAGGGCGGAGTTGGAAGTTGTTAAAAGGCATCTTCTTTGGAAAAGGGTTTGGAACAGTGTGTGAGAATGAAGTGAAGGGTGAGAGCTGTCCTAGTTATAGGAGGGATTCAATAGATCAGATTCGGAAGGTATATAAATTACAGCTCGTAGCCAGAGGCTGACTGCCTGATTTATCGGAAGAAGGATGGAAAGAAAGGCTGAGTTAATAAGGTAATCAAAATGGCACATAATCTTAAGAGATATCCTCTATCTCCTCTAGTGAGAACATGTCAAGTTCTCGACGAATGGGTAAGAATTTGTCAGCGGGTAATGGTTTAGTGAAAATGTCGGCCCATTGGTATTCAGTACCTATGAATTCTAAGTGAATTTTTCCCTCATGTACCAAGTTACGAATGAAATGGTATCGAACTTCTATATGTTTGGTTCGAGAATGCTGTATAGGGTTCTTTGTCATGTTGATAGCACTAGTGTTATCACACATAACAGGGAGTGATCCTAGCTGAATACCATAGTCTTCTAGCTGATATTTCATCCATAATAGCTGAGTACAGCAGAAACCAGCTGCAATATACTCTGCTTCTGCAGTGGATAAAGCAACTGAGCTTTGCTTTTTGCTAAACCAGGAGATGAGCGAGGTACCTAGGAAGTGACGTGCACCAGATGTGCGTTTCCTATCAACTATGCAACCAGCATAGTCAGAGTCAGTGTAGCTAACTAAGTCTAAACTGGATTCACTAGAGTACCAGAGGCCAAGAGTTGAGGTTCCAGCCAAATAGCGAAAAATACGTTTAATTGCAGAAAGATGACTTTCTTTGGGATTGCTCTAGAACCTAGCGCATACACACACACTAAACATGATATCTGGTCGACTGGCAGTAAGATATAGAAGTGACCCTATCATACCCCTAAATTTCTTGATATCCACTGTTTTCCCAGTTTCATCTTTGGTTAACTTAATAGAGACCCCATGGAGTGGAAGCTTCTTTTAAGTTGTCAAAATTGAAATGCTTTAGCATGTTTAGATTGACTAATGAAGTTCGCCCATAAGACTCATTTCAAAAGCATTTTTCATATCGTTTTCAAATTCTGTACAGAGTTGCTGGCTTGTTGAACCAAAGATGATGTCATCTACACAAAAGAGTATGTTCATTCTCATTTTTAATGAACAAGGTTTTATCAACCTGTCCTCTATGAAAACCCTTCTCTATTAGAAAGTTACTAATATTTTCATACCAGGCTCGAGGGGCTTGCTTAAGTCCATACAATGCACCTTCTATATTAGTTTATATACATAGTCAGGATGTTCGAAATCCTCAAATCCAGGAGGTTGTGAGACAAACACCTCTTCTTTTAGGTCACCATTTAAGAAGGCGCTTTTGACATCCATTTGGTACAATTCAAAACCTCTAGAGACTGCATAAGCACAGAGAAGACGAATTGCTTCTAACCTAGCTACATGAGCAAAGGTTTCATCGAAGTCAATTCCCTCTTCTTGACAATAGCCTTGAGCTACTAATCTGGCTTTGTTTCTAATTATGGTTCCTATTTCATCAGTTTTATTTCGAAAAACTCACTTAGTTCCAATAATTATTCTATCTTTAGGACTGGGGACTAAGTCCTAGACTAGAGTCCTAGCAAACTAATTCAATTCATCATGCATGGCAGCAGACCAGTATTCATTATTTATAGCGTCTTCAATATTTTTAGGTTCAAATTGAGCTATAAATGCAGTATGTTCAGTAAGATGTTTGGATCTAGTGATCATACCTTGACTAAGATTTCCTATGATGAGAGAAGGAGGGTGTCGTCGAGCAATATGAGGTGGAACTTGACAATCCTGCCCTTGTTCTCCTTCAGATTTCTCCTTTTCTAATGATAAGTCCTCTTTCTCTGGAGCATTCTGAATTTCATTAATTTTGTTTGTTGTTCTCAATCCGAAGTCATCATCCTCATCTAAACTTTCTGCACACTTGCCACAAGATTCATCAAATATCACATTGATGGACTCCTCTACTTTGAGGGTCTGTTTGTTATAAATACGATATACCCTGCTATTTGTAGCATAACCAAGAAAAATTGATTCATCAGATTTTGAATCGAATTTTCTTAAGTGATCTTTTGTATTTAGAGCAAAGCACTTACAACCAAACGGGTGAAAGTAATTCAGATTCGGTTTCCTATCCTTCCAGAGTTCATAAGGGGTTTTAATTAGTTTTGGTCTAATAAGAGCTCTATTAGTGACATAGCAGGCTGTATTAATGGCTTCCCCCCAGAATTGTTTTGGTAAGCCATAGTCATTCAACATTGTTCTTGCAATGTCAATTAGTGTTCTGTTCTTTCTTTCTACCACCCCATTTTGCTGAGGTGTTCTGGGTGCAGAGAAGTTATGAGGTATACCCTTTTTGTTGCAAAAACTTTCAAAGTTTTCAGAAAAAAATTCACCTCCATGATCACTTCTTATGCTTACTATTCCCTGATTGTTTTTCATTTTCAACCCGTTTGACGAACTCCTTAAAGTTTTGATAAGCTTCATCCTTGCTTGTAAGAAACATAACCCAGGTAAACCTAGATAAATCATCTACAATCACGAAAGCATAATACTTTCCTCCTTGACTCATGACATTACATGGTCCAAATAAATCTAGATGTAGCAATTCTAAGGGTCTTGAGGTGGAAATATCAACTTTGGTTTTAAAAGATGATCTGGTATGCTTTCCTTTAGCACACGCATCACAAAAGAACTCTCTCATGCTTAAAAGTTTTGGTATACCTCTAACAATTCCTAGGTTGACAAGTTTCGATAGTATGCCAATACTAATGTGCCCTAACCTTCTATGCCACTCAAACTGATCATTCTTGTCAACCGATACCAGACATGTTTCATTAAATGCAGATTTATCCCTGAGATCAATTGTATACAGCTTTCCTTTTCGATTTCCAGTAAAAATAGGTTTTCCAGTAAGAATATTTTCCACATAACACTTATTCTGTTCAAAGATGACTCTGTTTTCACTACCACACATATGTCTTATAGACGAAAGATTGTGTTTTAAGTCCTTTACAAGCAAAACATTGCTTATAGAAGGTTCCTAAGATTTTAGTACTAAAGTTATCTCCAAAGAAACCTTTTCCCTTGTTTTCTAGAGTTAGTTTTGTAAAAAGCTTTTTATTACCCGTCATGTGATGTGAGCAACCACTGTCTAGAATCCACACACTGCCCTCCATGCTCACTTGGGGACAGGTCTGCATATAAACATATATGACTATTTAGTTTTAGGTATCCAAACAAGCTTAGATACTCTCCAGGATCGAAAATCATTGCTAAAAGGTTTATAATGCGGTTCTACACCATGATTGCACATAGATTTTCTTTTACTTTCTTTGCTTATTCTTTTCTTACAGTGTGCAATATAATGACCTGTTTTATGACAGTAAAAGCACTCAGAGTGTTTGCCATACAGCCTATTTTCAGACTGAGTGAACTTTATTTTTTTTATAATCCTAGTTAACTTATTATTAACCTCCTGGTTTTGCCCCTTCAGCATTGAGTTTTCATCTTTCATTTTTCTGAGTAGTTCTTCTAAGCTTTCCAATTCTTAATAGTTCAAACTCAGTTTCTAAAGCTTCATATTTTGCTTTAATTAAGATGTGATTTTGCTTGACATTCACAATTTCTTTTTGAATATCTTTTATGGTTTCTTCTAGTTGATCATATTCATTATACGAGTCAGAGTAGTAAGATCTTACCTGAGATTCCTCATAATCGATTTCTTCAACTGCCATACATGCACTAAACCTCTGACTGGATTCATCCTCGTCGTCATCCTCCTCGCTGCAGCTCCAAGTAGTATAGGCTTTCTCCTTTTTGGCTAAGAGGCATTCAACTTTAATATGCCCTGACTTCGCACCTTTGAAGCAGCCGACTTGACTTTGAGGTCGATTGGTGCTGGCTCCCTTCTCTTTTGTTCCGAAACATATGTCTATTTCCCTTGCCAGGCTTTCTATCATTGTATCCTTCCCTGATCGACTTTGAAAGTTTCCTCTCTTCTTCTCTCTTCTCATTTTCAGGAGCTTGGCAACGTGTTTGCTAAGCATAGCTAGCTCTTCATCTTCCATCTCTTCAAGTCACTCCAGTTCTTCTTGTTGCGATGTAGCTTTGAAAGCAATACCTTTCTTTTCTCTTTTTGGTTCTTCCAGTTCTTCTCTCCTTAGTTTCTCCTCATGTGTAACCAGAGAGCCAATGAGCTCGTCCAGGCTTAGCTTGGTGAGATCCTTGGATCCTTCAATAGCAATTACCTTAGGTGTCCACTCTTTAGGTAGTGCCCAGAGCACCTTCCGAACCAAATCAGCACTCGCATACTCCACCTCCAGGTTTCTCAGGCTGTTTACAATGGTAGTGAATCGTTCGTTCATTTCCCTAATTGATTCATCAGGCTTCATGATGAACGATTCGAATTCTTGTTTCAAACTGTTTATCCTTGAGATCTTGACATGGGATGTACCTTCATGTGAAATTTGTAGCTTGTCCCAAATTTCTTTTGCCGATTTGCAGCCAGTTACTCTGTGATATTCCTCTGGTCCCAAGGCGCAGTACATCAAGTTTGTTGCCTTCGAGTTGAGTTGAAAATTCTTCTTATCTGTATATGTCCATTTGCCTCGTGCTTCCTTTACTTCCAACGGTCCATCCAACACTATATCCCATAAATCCGGATCTGTTGAGCAGATGAAGAGCTCCATCCGATTTTTCCAGTAGCCGTAATGCACACCTTCGAATCTTGGCCGACGAGTTTGCGAAAACCCATCAGCCATGAATATGCCAGTTGATACCGATCCCGAGCTCATCTTCTCCGGAGACGGTTTCGCCATGAATATGCCAGTTGATACCGATCACATCGGATAACTTATTTTAGGGTATGAGTCGCGAAAAATCGATCCATATGAATATGTAATTTAAAAGAGAAACATTAGAAATATTCATTTTTCATTAAAAGTCTAAGAAGCAAACTATAATATGATAAATTTAATAATTAAATTTTTTAAAAATTGAGATTCTCACCTATTTACAACTTCATTGTAGCTAAAATATGGTGGTGCAATAAAAGTAATATCCTAAGTATTTTGGGAGGAAAATTGCATGTAATTTAGGCAAAAATAGGTATAAAAAAAATAGGAGAGATCGTGGCATGACATGTCAGGTCGAGAAGAGTACCCATGATCGTCCACTCCACTTCAAAACAAGTCAAACATGTTAGGTAAAATGGTTTAGATCAAATTATGGATTGATGAGTACCTCAATCTAGAGTAGACGATTTTTTGAAAGTTGTGTAGTGCGGGACCGATCTACCTAGGGTACTTAATTGCTACTCATGAGTAAGAGGCTTCTTCTAGGATAAAAACATATTACAACTACCATTATGTTTACTCATACTTAGAGGTGCAAATAAACAAAGTTGCTCACGAGAAACTCAACATTCGAATCTGGAAAAATCCATTCAACACTCTACTTATAATTTGACGATCTTACTCGCAAACCAGCTCATTACTAAATGAGATAATCTTGAGATAGATCATGTTCAGTTTGTCATGCTTGTGAGGTAGCTCGATTCAATGGTTCGTCGATCTCAACTAGCTGAGTTGGCTTATTTAGAAATTTTAGAACATTATGGGTTAAGTGTTCATAAAAATACCAATTCGTTTAGGTTTAGATGTCTAGTTTAAGTTCTAGCCATTTGTTGTGTAGTTTTTAGGGCTGGCTATTTGGTCCGGGTTTTTTGGTTTTACCCGAAATCGGACCGTATAACCCGGACCATGACCGGATAGTAAACAATCCAATCTTTGGGCTTAGATTTGAGGTAAAAAACCATTCGGAACCGGATCCAAAACTGGATAAAGACCGGATAAGAGAGCTCAACACCCAAAATTTAAGGGTAATTTGCATAAACGGTCACAAACCTTTGCACTTAGTACAAAACTTAACCAAATCCTCACACTTTCAGGCCTTAGGTCACTCAATCCCCACAAGCTCAATATAAAATCAAGACCGAATTGGGACCAAACCGAGTCAAGAGCGGACTATATCCAATCCAATTTTTGGTCCTTATATTTTCGAAAAGACCCTAGTGGGACCGGATTAATTTGGGCCAATTTAACCGGACCGGACCGTATAGCCACCCCTAGTAGTTTTCATACTTTCATTTAGCTAGGAAGTATAATTTTTAGGTTTCCATGTTTTATTAATGGTTTAGGGCCCCACTCACGATTTGCATGTGTTGTCATGTTTTTGCGATTTTACATGAGATTTAGAGGTCGTTTGCTTGTTGGATTTGGGTCATGGATTTGGTACCCAAATCCCAAGCTTGATGGATTTAACATTAGTCCATTGTTTGTTGAAGGGTGCTAAATCTGTGGGGTCCACGGATTTGGTCTTTATTTTGGAACCAAATCCGTGGACCTCACGGACTTGTAAATCCCACATATTGATTTGGGATTTGCAAATCCTTGATGGTTAGTTATTTATTTAACAAATCCATCATCAAATCTATCATGCAAACATTAGACTCTTCAAATCCATAATCCAATAAATCCAACATAAATCCCAAGGTTTTTATTGGCCAAAACCCTCATTTTTCAAATCCAACAAGCAAACGACCCTTAGGATTCAGGGGCCTCAATGTGTGAATTGCAATAATGAGTGTGGTATTTTACTTCATTTCAAAGTTCACAGTATGTTTAATAGTTTGACAATATTCATAAAATACAAGAAGAATATTTCAATTCAATCATTCAATTCAATAAATATGAATATTCAAGTTACACATGTTTGATATATGTATAATTCATAAGGCACCAAACAAACGTGAGAGAAAAAGAGGATAGAGATTAAATGCGGCAAGGGAAAAAAATGCAAATAGAGTTTGTGCTCAGATTGACAAGTTTTTGCTATTGAGCATCAATCGAGTTGGTTGAGTTCGACGTGAACAATTTTCATTCAAGCCGAGTCAGACTCGAACTAGATTATTTCTCAATTCGAGCTCAAGTCAGACTCGAATGGAGCAGTTTACTAACTAGAGAGTGCGAGAACTTAAAACTATTGAAATCGATTAATTCTTGACATGATATCATAACCGGTTTAATCAATTGATCCTCCATTCGAATCTAAAATATCCAATATTAACTCTAATTGCATAAAATAAAATAGAAACTAGAGAGTGTGAGGAGTAATGGGGGAATTAAACAGTTACAGATTGAACTCCTTAGGATCTTCAATCTTTTACCTGCCACTGCCAATTCTTCCTCCTCTTCAACTACAACTTCATTTGTTTCTCATCCCTTACCCTTGCGCCAACCGTGAATTTTCTTATTACCAGCCTCCCCCGAGCCCTAGTGATGGCAATGGGGCGGGGCGGGGCGAGTACCTCAATTCCCATGCCCCGTCCCACGCTACTACGGGGCGGGGCGGATAAAACCCGCGCGGGTACGGGGCGGGGCGGGTCGACCCACTCTTACATGTTATTCAAAAAAAAAATACAAGTAAATTTTACTTTTTACGATAAAACAAAGGGTAAAACACTTTAAGAATGAAAAATAGTGATAATAGAATGGGTAATTGAGTCTAACAAGTTGAAAGAGCGACTCTAACTAGTTAAGAAAAGACAAAATGGGAGAAATATGTATAGAAATTGTAAGAAATTGAGATAAAATGAGTCTAGAACGGGGCGGGGCAGGGCGGGTCGGAAGTAGATACCCATGCCTCTGCCCCATCGCGGGGCTCAGGTAATACCCGCGGGGCGGGTTGAAACTGCCATCACTACCGAGCCCCCCTTACTCTGACCTTATCACACCTTTTGAAACCCCTAGCCCATCTCTTGATGCCTTGACCTTTTCCCTTCAGGTTGCCGAAGAACCCAACCCTTTAGCAATAGTCCCTTACATTCCTTTCTCGATGGAGGAGTGCGCTCAGTGGCAATTGGAGCAAGACACCACTAACTTGGTGGATTGCAGTGTGAAACTCAGTAGGCTGTTTCATCTGGAGTTGAATAATTCGAAGGAGGAAGCTTATAGCTTTGTGGCAGATACAACACATGACGCCAAGAGTAGGAAGAAGAAGGAGTTAAGGTCGAAGGTTGAAATGGAGATGCATAGACTGGGGCACCAATTGTCTCACCTTAACGAGCCAAGAATCGGGCGAACACCTAGTCAATTGAACGATTTTGATACAAGGTCGAGAAGAGCGAGTAACAGAGGAAGGAGAGTAGTCAACAGGCATGCCAACAACTCAACCGTTTAATCATGGTACAAGCTACAACAATTCTATCTTGGAACGTTAGAGGTCAGGGATCTAGCAATAAGCGAGCAAAAATCAAAAGACTGATTAGAAGATGTCGTCCAGATATAGCAGTGTTATCTGAAACAAAGTGGGATAATTGTACTCAAACTCTGGTCAATTTTGTCCGTGGCAAGAGAAGCACGGAGTGGGCTGCTAAGGATGCGATGGAAACGAGTGGAGGTATTGCCATCTTCTGGGAGAAGGGCCTTTTCAGGTTAGCGGACAGATGGGAAGGGAAGTTTTCCCTTGCAGCTAAATTACAGAGGGTGGGACATCAAGATTCATTTGTTATCCTTGGGGTTTATGGACCCCAGGATAAGGATAGTAAATTGAGTTTCCTGGAGGAGTTGAAAAATGTATGCGACTATTGCTTGGAACCTCTTTGTATAATAGGCGATTTCTATCCGGTAAGGTCCGAAGATGATTTTATTGGCTTCCCTCGAGATAGAGAATTGATGGAGAAATTCAATAATGTTATCAACAGCTGCAATCTTTCTGATTTATCGCTCAAGGGCTCGGTGTTTACTTGGAGTAGAGGAGGGAATAATCACTCTTTCTCTCGTATCGACAGGGTGCTTGTTAACCAGCAGTTTGATACTTTGTTTGCCCCTGATTCCGTTTTGGCGCTTGAAAGGTTTGAGTCGGATCATAACCCACTTTTGCTGCGTTGGGGGATCGAAGAGAAAGTTTCTCGCCATTGGAAGTTTCTAAATGTGTGGCTCTTGGAAGAAACTTTTCTCACAAGCCTTGTTGGGTGCTGGAATCTTCCTGTTTCAGGTTTTGGTTCACTTTTCCGCTTTGGAAAAAGATTGAGGAGCACTAAATTTATGGTTAAAGGCTGAAACTTAGAGAAATTTGGCAGAATGGATGACAAAGTTTTAGGTTTACTGTCCAAGCTGAAAGAAATCGATGATTTGGAGGAGCGAGAGCCTTTACCTGACTCGAGACACACTGAAAGAACCCTTATTAAATGTGAACTGGAGAAGACCATTTTGATGGAAGAGATGATCTGGCGACAAAAGTCTCGTGAACTTTGGTTGATGGTGGGGGACAAGAACACTCCTTTCTTTCACAGGGTGGCAAGGAACAATATGCGTCAGAACAAGATTCACAACATTAAAGTGAATGGGGTGTTTACTGAAAGCAAGGAAGATCTGCAGCGCGCTTTCCAGGATTATTTCCATGAACGCTTCTTGGAACAGAAGAGGGTGCGACCCTTCCCAAGAGGTTACAGGACAGGTCTAATTAGTGTTGAAGACAACTATGTGCTTAGTACACCTTTCACAGAAGCAGAAATTTGGAAGGCAGTTTCAGATTGTGATGGGGATAGAGCTCCCGGGCCAGATGGTTTCACGCTGGAATTCTATAAGAAAGGTTGGAATATTATCAAAAGCGATCTAATCAAGGCACTTGATGATTTTCATATTTCCGGCTTCATACCAGACTCTATTGCTCATTCGTTTTTGTGTCTGATTCCGAAGAAAGAGGCAGTGGAAGAAGTGTGCGACTTCAGACCGATCAGCCTTGTAGGCAGTCTCAATAAAGTGATTTCCAAAGTATTGATTATGAGATTTAGGCCTCTCATGGACAGGATCATCACCCGTCACCAATTTGTTGGGGTTCGTGGTAGGCAGCTTCATGAGGCAAGCTTAATTGCCAATGAATTGGTGGACAGCAGAAAAAGAAGTGGAAAACCTGGGTCAGTTTTGAAGCTTGACATCGAAAAAGCTTTCGATACAGTCAATTGGGAATGTCTTTTCAATGCCTTGAAGTCCATGGGATTTAATCCAAAGATTCAAAGGTGGATTCAAGGGATAGTCACATCCACAAGACGGTCTATTCTTGTGATTGGAGAACCTTCTGGTTTTTTTAAAACATGGAGAGGGCTAAAACAGGGAGATCCGTTGTCACCGTTTTTCTTTAACGTCAACATGGACATTCTGTCCTTCATGATCCAGGAGGCCAGCAGTGCGGGACTTGTTAATGGTTTTTGTATGAATGAGGCAAGTAGGAGAGGAGAGGTTTCCCATCTACTTTATGCAGATGACGCCATTATCTTCTGCGATGCTACGGAAGAAGAAGTAACAAATGTCCTTGCCATCCTTGTGTGCTTTCAGAGTGTCACCGAACTTAGAGTTAACCTGCAGAAAAGCAATTTATTTCCGGTTGGTGAAGTTGAAGATTCTGGAAGGCTTGCAGAAGTTTTCGGTTGTGAATGGAAGTTCTTGCCGACCATTTATTTGGGTCTCCCATTGGGTGCTCCTCCAAATTCGTTGGGAGTTTGGAATCCGGTTATATCCAGACTACAAACAAAATTGGAAGGTTGGAAGGGGAGTTTGTTATCTCTAGGAGGGAGGACTGTATTGAGTAATGCTTGCCTCGCCAGTCAACCGCTATTTAGATGTTCGTTGTTCATTCAATGAGTGGTGCAAAAAATCAATAATCTGCAGAAGGAGTTTATTTGGTCAGGTCTGCGTGAGCGTAGAAGAATACACTTGCTGGCTTGGGAGAAGTGCAAAATGTCCGAAGATGTGGGGTAGAACCTTGAGCTGCAAAACAAAGCATTAATCTGTAAGTGGCTTTGGAGATTTGCGAAGGAGAAAGAAACTTGGTGGAAGGAACTCATTCAGGAAAAAATCTCTTGTGGGGCGACATAATGGATCTGTGGGGACTTCAGTGGGCCAATTGGCTACAGCCCTTGGAAGAAAATTGCGTGATTGAAGTCTGACTTCTGGAGGTTTGCAAGGGTAAATGTCGGAGCTGGTAATGACACTTCTTTCTGGCAAGATTATTGGCTCAGCGAAAGGACTCTTCCTGTGGTTTTTCCAAGAGTGGCGGCTGCTGCAGTTCTCCCGCTTGCGACGGTTTCACAATGCTTTCGTATTGAGAATGAGTGCTTTGTTTGGGAAATACCTCTTAATATTCGCTAAGAGGCGGGGCTAAGAGAGAGAGGGAGGGCTTATTTAATCTTCTTAATTCCCTTGATCTTTCTTTCTTTTCCACAGGTCCAGATTGCATGACTTGGCTGGCAGCAGCTGATGCTCCTTTTACCGTGCGATCCATGTACCTTGGTCTTGTAAAGGAGAAGTTTCAGCCAAGGGAGGACTTCCCTTTCAGAACGATGTGGCAGCGACACATTCCTACCAAGGTGTGCACTTTCCTGTGGGCGGTAAAACAGAAGAAGATCCTCACTCACGACTCTTTAAAGAAGAGAGGGTGGAGCTTTCCCAGCAAATGTGTTCTATGCAGGATGAGTGAGGAAGACGCTAATCACATCTTTCTCACTTGCAGCTTTACCGGTAGGATTTGGGAGGTGCTTCGTGCCTTTGTTTACTTTACTCAGGTAGCTGCTGATATTTCAGATGCAATTCACCAATGGCCAAAGTCCAAGCCATCCAATCCAAAAGAGTGGTGAACGCCATACCCACTTCCAAATTAGTAGTCGGATTATACACAGGCATGGGCCGAAAGTCAGGGGCATCGTTCTGACCATATAAAAATTGATCAGGAACCTCTGTGCAGTAAGGCGTTGGTGCCTGACGGAACGCCACCTCTCTATCATCGATATCGTCGACATCGTTTGTATCTTCCTCCTCACTGACTAATCTCAAATCTTCCTCACTTTCATCGTCACTAGAGGCGAATGGATAGCTCGACTCAGGATGGTCATCGTTACCAGCATAACCAACATCGTCTTCTTGGTCATGCGAAGTACGTCCAGATCGAAGGGTGGTCTCAATGTCAGCCCACTCTGGACCCCAAGCAGGCCATTGATCACCGTCGGGCTCTTCCCACCCAACACCTCCTTCAGAACTACCTCCTCCGTAGTTGCTTGAAGTACCACCCCAGCCATACCCTCCTGCAGAAGTACCTCCTCCGTAGTTACTTGAACTACCACCCCAGTCATACCCTCCTGCAAAACCATCATCACAAGAATACTGGTGAGAATGAGTTTCACCGACCGGCTCGGTCTCGACATACACCTCTGCAAGCCGCAACCCGTTGTCAGATAGGAACTGTATCATCATGTTCACCGAGTCATCATCATTTATGACAACTTTTTCGTACATGATTCCGTCAGCACTCATGTTTGGATACCGATAAGCAATTTGACCAACTCTCCTTTGCCCGCCCGTACAAGTCCTTTTTGCACAAATGTCATGGAGTTCTTGCCACGAGAATCTCGACTCAATTTTTAGCATAGTGGATTCGCCATTTTCATAGTCGATCCCAATGTTTGAGTTTGTCACCCGACCATTTCACCGAATAATAAGCCGAAACTTCTTAAATTTACCCATGTCTGCAATTTATAATAATTAAGTATAGTATATAATTAGTACATTAGGGACAAAAACAATATCATCCAAACCCATAAACTAACGCAACTAATTGATCTATCATGAGAAAACTAAACAAATTCATCTAAATTCATAACTAACTAACTAACATCTATCATATCATAATTAATCTAAATATCTCATAACATATTTGCCAATAACCGCAATTCACTAAATACAGACATATAATTACTAACACATCAACATGTAAACAATACATAATTATAACATACTGAATCCCGATGAGTTTCTTGAGCAGTAAACCAACTCCAAACCAGCTGAGAAAACGACAAAAAAAACACTAATTTTTGTACTAATTTGCTGTAAGGCAACATGAGGGAAGAGGGGGTCGGTTTTATAGGGAAAAATGCCAGCTAATCACCGCGGTGGACAATTGCGGTGAGCACATCACCGCTTTTGTCCAAAGCGGCGATGATGCAATCACCGTGACCTAATTTTCCACCTACCAGGGCTCTAAAACGTGGTCAATTATCACCGTTTTGGTCGGCGGCGATGATGCAATCACCGTTTTGCTCAACAGCGGTGAGGCAATCACCGTTTTGGACGGCAGGGGTGATACCTTCTCCGTTGTTGTCGAAAGCGGTAATGTGTTCCCCGCTGTTGTCGAAAGCGGTGATACCTTCCCCGTTTTTTACTAAAGCGGTGATTATTATCACTATCGAAGACGAAGACAGTGATGTTGAAACTGCTGTACTTTGGGAAATAAGTTTATAAGTACTGTATTTAGGGAACTTTTTTTAATAACTTGAGTATTGTGAGATTTTTTCCTGAAATCTATGCCTCTACTATTTGATAGATAACTGAGTGAAATGAACAAATTTCTCGGCTACTATTGTACGGTATAATGAGATGTAACTCATGTAAGCTACTTTTATCAATGAACAAGTATGCTTAAAGCATTGAGCAAACCGACTCTCTGTAAGAAGTGAAGAAAAAATTAACTGCTAGACAGACATGAAAAAGCTGTGTTGAGATTCGCTTCTCCCGTATCTGTTTTCGTTTTACTATTGTCTTGATACTGGTGTGTTTTCTGATGACTGCTATGCTATCATTTAGCATTCTGGAGTTCTTACTTGGAACTCATATTTTTCTCATTCGTACTTGCTACGAATGAGAGATAGGAGGAAAGTAATAAATAAATTCTCTTAGGGTAGAACCATTGGCAGGATGCTGTTGTTCAATAATATGCAAAGAACCCTCCATTTAATCAGATTACAAGAAGTTGTAACAATTCATTACAATGCTGCTCTATACAAAAGCCTGTGAAGAGATTAACTTAATAATATACAAAGCAAAGCAGCAATCCAGGAGCCAAAAGGACTCAAGTCAGTCATGGATATCCCCCAAGAACCCAAAAAAGTACATAAAAGAAGTAAGCATGATCAGTAGCCTCACATCCTCAATTAGCCTGTGTCATGGAGCAACTAATTTCTCGTTCAGAACCCGAAGAACTGCAAACAATCATAACAAAGAACGGTTGTTGTCGGTCAGTAGCTGCAATACTCAATTTAGATATAGATCATACAACCAGGAAATCAAGAATGTACCCTCTTCTTCTTCTTGTTCTTCTTCTCAATGTAAGCCAGGAGTTCCTGCTGCTTCTCCACAGCTTCCACTAGCAACTGCACAAATACAAACATGCCAAGAGGTTAAATGCGAAGCTCTTTCTTCTCTCATGATGGCACAGAATGTTTGATGGGTAGAAGCAAAATCAATACCATCCTAGTTGCACAGAGCTCCTTCTCGATGGCTTCAGCACGGTTAATTGCGTTCATCAACATGGCCTCCTTCTCAGGAAGGATCCCGTCGGGCTTTGAGCAGAGAGTGTTCAGCTTATCTTCCACCTCAGCCATTCTCATCATCATTTTCTTGTAGTCCGAGGTGGTGATGGAGGATTCAGTGAAGGCACTGGCACCAGCAGCAACAGCTGCGTGGTCGTTGAGGGAGTCAGAGTAGTAGGTCTTGCTGCCATAGATGGCTGCCTCGGTCAGCTTCCTCGGCACTGTCTTTGTCATTCGGATCAACGACACCACTCCCATCACCACGGCCATGATCCCCCCAATCATGTGCTTCCCGTTTGCGGGAACAATGGCACCATCCTCAGGGAGAACATCAACTGTTTGAAGAAACAGAATTAGCCTTCTTATTTCCCCAGTAAGCAAAATCTAGTATGCTGTTTTCAGATTTTATCTTAGCTTGCTTACCCTTTCCTGGAGAAGCTTTCCAATTGGCATCGATGGTCTTCTCGATGACTTGGATGGACTTCTCGTACTCGTCTGGGGTGATCCTGCTCATCATGTTGACGATGGGATGCTGAAAATACAGCAAAAAAGGAGAGACATTGTTGGAAACTGTTCTGCTCGAGTCCATCCTCCAAATCCAACGTCCAAATGAACCTAATTCAAACCAAATGAATGGCAAGGTGTATTAGTTAGTGTCTTACATCCTCAGGAACAGGAACAGGAACTGGATAAGGTTTGAGGTCCTCTGCTTCATTGCTGCTGGAGACCTTGATGGGCTCCTTGTCTTCAGGGATTAACTTCTCCTCAATCCCAGACAATGTCCTCCTACGGCATTTACCCTCACCGTTTTCAACCATCTGAAACAAACCGGTTTCGCATGTAAGAACTCCTTGAAAAATTGCTGCACAGCAAAATAACAAAAGATAGAAATCCTAGTAGGATCAGGAATAGAATTTCTGACCTTGAGGATGTCAGGATCATTCCATGGACCCTTGCTGGATCTCATGCAGCCACCCTTGTCAGCACAAGTGCAGGTGCCTCCAAAGAATGATGGAAGCTCACTGCCAGAAAAATTTGTCACAAGGGTTTCTTTCATGAGATAAAAAAGTTTGTTACTTTAAGCAGTTGGAAATGAAAGAACAGTAATACTTAGATTTACCTAGCATCAATCACTTCAAGCAACTTGCTCTGGTACTTGTTCCCAAGAACCTGGAAAATTACAGCATTTTTGTGAGTGAGAGCCATGTTAAAAACAGTAAGTAGAAGAAATTGAATAGAGGACCATTAAGTGAAAAACTGACATGGATTTTGGCAGCAGTCTTGGGGTCCAGAAACGTTTTAACAGTGTTCCACAGAAGCCTGAATCCAGCTCCACCATTGATGATGAACATCCTGTTCAGCGTCTGCAAATATAATTCGATTCAGAATCGAGATGTGACCCGACTGAATCAGACCAAATGTGTCCCCGATTTGGTCCAACCCCTAAGCAAGACCAATTATTGATTTATCTATATACACACCTCAGGGTAGTTGTCACCATCGATCTTCTGAATCCTGCTGATGAGCTCCCTGGCAGTTTTGGTGAACTGCTTAAGCCCCTGAAATTTGATTAATGTTAGAGTTAGTTAACAAGTCAACTTAATGAATACACGAGAAACCAAAGCAAAGAAAGATTGATTTTGTTGGTTGATGAAATGGTGAAATGACATACAACTCCTTGAACATCAATGATGGTGGTGCTCTGATCAATGTGCTTCTTAGCAGCAATTGAGCAAGCCGGGAACTTGTAAGCAAACGCCTTCTCAAACTCCTGAACATGGTACTTCACATATCGATCCAACGACGTAACCTGAACCAGCTTGTTAGCATCGACTTCCCCGAGCTTCTCGATGTACACCGGTCTGCCATCTTTGTCGACTCCATGGTACCCTTGTGGATAGTACTGCATCACTTCATCTACTTCCTTGAACTCAAAATCCTAAATAACAAAAATCCCCCAATCCCCTTCTCAGCAAAACAAACAATACATACAGGACAGACTTATTACCATACTAATACGTCGTGCGAATGTCAAGTTTGCACAAATTTATCATACTTCGCGTGATTAAATTCGTTGTTATATTAATCACCTCCATGATCGAATCAGTACCGAAATCCTTCCTCCAGTTGATCATATCCGCCCACATCTGCTTGGCCTTTTCAATGTCGAACTTCCTCGCCTTCAAAAACCTAAGCATCATGTGGTGATCGTCGTGCCTTGCCGGAAGAAGCTCGTCGAGAATCAAAGCCTGCCGGAAAGCATCCACGGCCCTCAGCTCCTCGGCGTCGATCTCGTCGGCGATCGACATCACCCTGCTGTTCCGGCGACCCTTCTTCGTCAGCGAGCTCCGGAACCTGTTCGACACCTTCTTCTTGAACGATCCCCCTCCTCCCCCTGCCTTCTTCTTCTTCATCTCTTCCTCCGAGAGCTCGTCGAGCCCCGGTCTGGGATTCTTGTCCGGAAGAATTCCAGACATCGTATCCGCCATGATTGATGTTCTTCTTCCTCAATGTCCTGCAATTCATCGCAACAACCATATGTACACACAATTCATCATGATTAGGAAGAAAACAGGGGAGGAGAAAAGGGGAAGATTGAAGATTGAGCCTTTAGTTTTACCTATTTGGCAAAAGGAGAAATGGGGGATGAATTGATTGAAGGATGGATGGAGGATCCTCCTGAATTGGAAAGGGAGAACAACTGAGTTTAAAATATGTACATATATAATGTCGAATTCGTTAGAGAGAGAGAGATGGCGGGAGAGAGGTGTATCAATCATTAATAACAAGAAGAAGGAAAAAAGATGGTTTAACAGACTAAAAATGATTATGAAACAACTAACAAGACAATATTAAGGTCCTAAATATGGTAAAATGGTTAAAAGAAACCAGCTTTAACAGAGAGCTAAATCCCAGCCAGCCATCCATCCATCCATTGATTTCCTTCTCTCTCTATGAAAAACCCTTTGAACAGCTATGTTAAGTTACAATAAAAACTGCTAAACTTTGTTTAATGTTATGTTCAGCTCGTGATAATCCGATTTGGCCACGGATGATGTTAAACTAATATGCTGAAAGTTGGCATTGGGGAGACTTTGAAGCTGTGCAAGGGAGTTGTGTAATGTTGCAGGTCTGCAATTTTTGCAGTAACCCAGTTAAGTTAGTTGGCTAGTCAGTTGTGGTTTGTGGTGCTCCATTATGTGTGATACTTGAGGGGATTGTTAGAGGATTATGTCAGATTCTGTACCTCTCTATTTATATATTTTGCTGGGATTTGGCCAGATTGATATTTTAACACTATTTATATACCTACGTGGATACAAGTCAACCCATTCTTACACATTATTTTAAGAAAGAGTTTTATTTTTTAACGAAAAAACAAAGGAAAAATAGTTTATAAATGAAAAATAGAGATAATCAGTAGATTAATAGAGTTCAGTTAGTAGAAAGATATTGAAATAGAACGTGACTGGAGAGGACAAGAGAGGACAAAATAGTACCCATGTTATATTCCATACAATTGTGAATCGAGAAATTTTACAATGCTATATAGTATTGGTGCTATAGGGATATGCATTTATGGTACAACTTAAAATTGTACATTTACGTTATGGTACAACTTCAGATTGTACCTATACTTTTTGTACAAATTCTTTTATGGTACAACTTGAACTTGTACCTTTATGTGATGGTACAACTTCAAGTTGTAAAGTTGTACCATAACATAATGATACAAATTGCTTTATGGTACAACCTAAACTTATACATTTAATGTTATGGTACAACTTTAAGTTGTACATTAAAACACCAATACTATATAGCATAGTAGAAGTGCTCTTGTGAATCTGATATTACCCACACTAGCTTGGGTCGAGTTCAAATTGCCATCATTAGAGTTTCCAATAGTATAAGAAACCATTCCCTTTTTTCTTGCCTTTCTCTGTTGTATTTGCATATTTTGGTAGGATGATATGGTGGTTGATCGTGCTTGTAGTTTAATTGAAGTATAGGATTTCGATTCGTATTTACTATTTACTGTCATACAATTTGCTCTATAGTGAGTGATATATTAATTTGTGCGATCATATTTCGTGAATGATTGGTAAGGGTAGATGCTTTGGTAACATATAATAGTCACGATTAAGAACGAAAAGAAAAATCTCAATAGCTAACCAGATGATGTTAGAGAATGAGCCGCTATTAATTAGGTTCGATATACTCATCTCGTTCTTAGAAGTAGAGTTCAAATATGGGCTAATGACTTTAGAGATATTTGTTCGAATATGAGCTCTTAACATGTATTGGAGAAGAAATACTTTAACGATTTTGTGCTCGTGTGAGAGATTTCATAGTAGTCAAAGCATGACAGAGGATATACACAACATGAAAATTTGTACATACATGAAATGTAACTATATTGATAAAGAATATTAGGGAATAGAGATATCCATCATCCTTTTCATAATTTACTATAGATAAACACTATCGTGTTTGATTACCGGTCACCGAAAATATCAAAGTATTAGTTTACATAGACTACGGAGTCGTTTGGTTTTGGTGATTGTTTGATGGAGATAGTTACAATGCATGTATTGTCAACAATGCATTGTTTTTTTTTAATTTCTGCACAAACAATAAATGCATTGTTTGCTTGATGTGACACAAACTATCACTCAAAATGAGTGATAGTTAAGGGGTCGTTTGGAAGTTGTGATTGTTAAATAGATGTATTGTTGAGAATGCATGTATAATATTATACATGTATTGTCGAATTTGATGCATTGTAGAATACAACGTTTGGTATGTGTGATTGTCTATGTCGCATCAGCTAAAAACTGAGACAAAACAATCTCAACTCAACTATGTCAACAATCACAACTAAAAGTTGAGATATAACAATCACTCAAAATGAGTGATAGTTTCTGTCACATCACATAAACAATCCATGTATTGTTTCTGCTAAAAAAACAAAAAACAAAAAAAATGATGCATTGTAAACAATACATGCATAATGACAATCTCAACAAAACTATCGCAACTTCCAAACGTCCCCTAAATCTCAAGTTTTTTGTGGGATTGTTGAGATTTTTTCGTAGAGATTGTTGGGTTATTTTTTCTTCCAACTATGTACCTACCTTTTTATGTGTGTTACTTTTTTTTTATTCCCAAGGAACCTCAACCCCACATGCCACTTTGTGGCAGCGTTGTCTACTAAACCCGGGGAGTACCTGCATCAGCAACATTTCAAGGCCTAACATCCGATACTAGGAGGAGACTTCGTCTCCAGCACTCGCGGTGCCTCCGGGAACACCAAGTGGTGTAGCGGGGTTCGAACCTGAGACCTCACACTTCTCAAGCCCGAAAGACCACACTCCCGACCAACTCGGCTTTGTTACCTTTGGCGTGTTACTTTTTAATATTAAAAACAAAGAAAAAAGTTAATCTGCTAACTTGAAGATTCGTTAGCAGATACTAACTGATATTCAAAATACATGAACTAGTATCCAAGTACTAAAGTATCTAGAGAGCACAGACTAGTATTCAAGGTTCGCTAATTGATATCCACCATGAATCAACCATTAACCCAAATTCACAAACTAATATCTAAACAACACAGAATAGTATCCATACAGAACATAATTAGTATCCAGATAACACATAAGAGTATCCAGATAACACATAAGAGTATCCATATTGAATACTAGTTGGTTGATTGTGGATATTAGTTGGTATCTGCTATCTGGATACTAGTTTATGATGTTTTGAATACTAGTCTGTGTTATCTAGATATTTTAGTAAAATCAGCAGACTTAGATACTAGTTCATACATTTTGTATATTAGTTAGAGTTAATACCTTAGTTTAGCCCGAACTATAGACAAACTTTCTACTTTGGCCCGTGGTATCGGAAATTGCTATTCTGGCCTAAACTATATAGCATACTTTCTTATTTGGCCCGGAGGCGGGTTTGACCGTCAAATTAGACGGTCAACTCGGTTGACCGTTAGTCAAAGTCCACCTCACTTGCCACGTCAGCTATCAAGGAATAAAAAATTATTATTTTTTGAATTTTTTAGTTTTGTTTACTTTCTAAAATTAAATAAAAATAATTTGGGGAGCTTTTTTAATTAGTTTTTTTGTTAATTATTTTTATTATTAGAAAGTAAAAAAAATTCAAAATTCAAAATTAATTTTTTATTCCCTAATAGCTGATGTGGCAAGTGAGGTGGACATTGACTAACGGTCAACTCGGTCAAACCCGAGCTCCGAGACAAATAAGAAAGTATGCTACATAGTTTAGGCCAGAATAGCAATTTTTGATACCACGAGCCAAAGTAGAAAGTTTGTCTATAGTTCGGGCCAAACTAAGGTATTAATCCTATTAGTTAGTATATACTAACAACTTATGCAGTTAGCAGAATAACTAGGCTAAAAAATAAAGGGTAAAAGTGACATTTCATCCAAAAAGTAATATAACTTGTTTAAATACAAAAATAACTATCACAGAAACCAAACGATGTAAACTACAATACACCAATTTTCTTATATACATACATATTATTATACATGCATTGATGACAATGCATCAATTTAACTATCATCAAAACCAAACGATACCTATATGATTTATTAGTTATTATCTAATCATGAAGCTTAAGCCCAAATTTATGGTCCTAATTCCTATCCTAATCCTGATTGACCGTTGAATTATTGAAGCTAAAAATCCGGCGGAAACAATCTTGACATCCTATCCCATTCGTTCTCCGCTGCCGCTTCCCCTTCGCCGGCGGTAATAGCTCGCCACCGCCACCTACCATCCGGCGCTAAAAACAAACAAGGTAATTCTCAAATTCCACCACTACGCAAAAGTTATCTGCTTTTTTTATCAGTTTCCATTCCTGCCTAATTAATTCGTTTCCTTTTTAATCAGTGAAATTATATAATCGGAGTTCACTCCATTTCCGGACCAAAAACTGTAACACGTTGGACTAAACCCTAAAAGTTTCCAGCTTTCCGCCGATGGCGTCGTCTACTCGCCTCTCCCAGCCGCCGGCTTTCTCCAAAACCCTGCTTCACCCTCTCGCTCGCGACCCATTCCCCAAAATCACTTCTTTACCACTGAGATTCAATCGACAGTTCCCCCGCCATTCCCTTTCTCTTCGCGCGGTCATTTCCCAAAACCCTGCCAAAACCTCTTCGCCGCAGACCAATCAGTTTGAGCACTGTTTCAGTAAATCGTCTGATGGGTTCCTCCAGTGTGAGAACGTCAAGGTCCAGGATATTATGGAGAGTGTCGAGAGGAGGCCGTTCTATTTGTACAGCAAGCCTCAGATTACTAGGAATGTGGAGGCATACAAGGATGCTCTGCAGGGATTGAATTCGATTATTGGGTATGCTATTAAGGCCAACAATAACTTGAAGATCTTGGAGCATTTGAGGTCGTTGGGTTGTGGGGCTGTTCTGGTTAGTGGGAATGAGCTGAGATTGGCTCTCAGGGCTGGATTTGATCCTACCAAGTATGTTCTCCGTTATTCCGGTTGCTTGTGCAATTTGTTTTCTGGTTTCCTAGTGTTCATATGCATTGAAAGAATTTGATCGTCATGCTTTGTGCTTTTGATTGTTGTTGACTAGTAGAGAATTCTTTCTGATAATGGGGTGTACTACGGTTGTGGAACAGATGTATATTTAATGGAAATGGAAAGCTGTTGGACGATTTGGTATTGGCTGCTCAAGAAGGTGTCTTTGTGAATATAGACAGTGAATTTGATTTGGAAAATATTGTGGCAGCTTCTAGCATTGCCGGCAAGAAGGTTAATGTCTTGCTTAGAATCAACCCTGACGTGGACCCTCAGGTATGTGATATGAGATCAGTGAGATTCTGCATATTTTGCCTATGTTTGGTCCGGCTTTTAGAAATGCTTTTCGACTTCAAATGCTGAAGCAGGGCCAAACACCTCTAAAAGCTCGACTTTTGAAAAGCCGAAAAACGCTTTTGTATAACATAAAAGCAAAGCTCCAATTTGGAGCTTATGCGAAAAGCTGTTTTGAAAATACAAGATTATCCTTACCATATTTTAATTTTATTTCAGAAAATCTAATTTTCCTTCATTTATATCATTTTAAAAATAAAATAAATTATAAAATGATATTATTTAATATAAAAGAAATCTAACAAGATCCATTTTGACTACCTTTTATTGTTTAAAATTTTTATTTTTATTTTATATTATCAGTCCTTTATAGTCATTTTACACAACCGCTCATATTAAAAAGCACTTCTAATAGTTTTACAGCCAAACACTAAACTGCTTTTTTTGAAAAGTACTTATCTAAAAGCTCCAGCCAGAAGCTGCTTCTGCAAAAGCTACAGCAGGGCCAAACTAAGCTTTTGTTCTCTTAAATGGTTTGATTGACTAAGTTCTAAATCTCATACTAATGAAGGTGCAAGTTGAATCTGTTTGTAGACTAGGTTATTATGCTAAAGGAGCTATTGGAGAAGTTATAGGAAAATTGTCACATTTGAAGCCTTGTAACCGTTCATATTGGCTAGGAAGAACCACCACAGATTCTAAAATAGATCTCCAAAGTTAAAACATGCCAATTGCTTAGGCTGAAAGAGTTAATGCTTTAGTTTCATATAGTTCTTTTAATTGGTGGATCCTGTAACATAATGAGGTTCTCTTCACACGACATTTGGACAATGTCATCGACTTTGCCTGAAATCGAATCTTATGCTTCAAACCTATCCCCCACGTTCATAATCCTTTAATGTTTACCTTATTTATTCGAGATCCATCAGATTTTCTACCTTTGAAGTTTTAAAAGGTCTATTGTCCATCTGAAATGCTTCATGTTTTTTTACTATCTCTTAGGTACATGCATATGTTGCCACTGGGAACAAGAACTCAAAGTTTGGCATCAGAAATGAGAAGCTGCAATGGTTTCTGGATGCTGTTAAGGCACACCCAGATGAGCTTAAGCTTGTTGGCGCTCACTGCCATCTCGGGTCAACAATTACCAAGGTCTGTAACACTCTACAAGTTGGTGTTTTCAAGTTCATATGATTATTTGATTTGAACTCCAGATTTGGATGACTGTCTTGTAGCACACGGTTAAACTCCTAGTACTTGAAAGTAGAACTGTACTGAGTTGGTCGTAGCTTATCAATTTCTGTTTCATTCCCTTACAATTTCTGGTAATCATGTCAACAACTTCAGCTTGTGAGGCCTTCACACTTTTTCGGAAAGAGATCGCCTTGGATCTTCCAAAAATAGCCAGTCTTTTTTTTTTAATTGTTTGTGAATCCTGTACTGGGTCCATAAACTGTCTTTGGTTTCGTCTTATACCTTCGACTATTAATCCTTTTTTCTGTTTTCTATTAGGTGGACATATTTAGGGATGCTGCCGTTCTGATGGTCAACTACATTGATGAAATTCGTGCTCAAGGATTTGAAGTCGATTACCTAAATATTGGAGGTGGGTTGGGCATAGATTACTATCACTCCGGCGCTGTCCTGCCCAAGCCGATGAATCTCATTGACACTGTGAGTATCTCATCATTCAAACACTTCTGTGCAGTGACTTGATGCATAACTGAGTACTTAAGGACTAATGCTTTTGGAGACACTTATCACTGTCGATTAGGCATAGAGAAAAGGACTGTCCATCCATCAATAGCAACAAAAAAGAAAAATTGGTGGAAAGTAGCAACAAAAATATAATAATATCACAAGTCATTGTGTGATACGCAAGAGGATCTTGGAATGGAAACACCATTCTCCTCAAAAGTCCCATGCATTTACTTTATTGCTGGAATATAATACCGCTTAACTTTCAAAGCCCAGGAATTGGAGCTCATTGGTGTCCCAATTGAAATTATATTAACAACCTGTTTCAAATTGTTGCTAGTTTCTCACAAATCCGAAGTCATGTTTGTATGTAGGTTCGCGAATTGGTGCTGTCAAGGAATCTCAATCTCATAATTGAACCAGGGAGATCCCTCATTGCCAACACCTGTTGCTTGGTAAATAGGGTAACAGGCGTCAAGACAAATGGAACCAAGAATTTCGTTGTGATAGATGGCAGCATGGCGGAGCTCATCCGTCCTAGTCTCTATGATGCTTATCAGGTAATGAAAACTGTTGATGACAAGTTAATGTTCATGTTTACTATCAATATATATATATATATATATATGGATTTACATGCCTCTGGCCGATGCTTACAAGAACTTCCCCTTAAAGGTACATTCTGTCTCTTTTGTAGCACATCGAGCTAGTGTCTCCTCCACCACCTAATGCAGAGGTGTCAACCTTTGATGTCGTCGGTCCAGTGTGTGAGTCGGCTGATTTTCTTGGGAAGGAGAGGGAACTTCCTACACCAGCCAAGGTAATGTAGTTGTTGCAACTTATCATTGAAGTTATCCTGATATGCATATATGATTGGAGAATTAAATGAGTCTAGTTATATCTTTGCAGGGAGCCGGGCTGGTTGTTCATGATGCGGGAGCTTATTGCATGAGCATGGCATCAACTTATAATCTCAAGATGCGGCCTCCAGAATACTGGGTACGGTTAGCATGTTTTCTTATGAACGTGTATGACTTCACACAGATGTATTAGGAGTGGGAAATGGAAGGCCAAAGAGAATAATTTGTTTTGGAATCTGTGTCTGACTATTTCAGGTGGAGGAAGATGGATCAGTAGCCAAGATCCGACACTCAGAGACATTCGAAGACCATATGCGATTCTTCGATGGCCTGTAATCTGGATCGAGCTTCATAATATCATGGAAATGGACCTATGAGATGTATTCGTCGCTTGTAACCTTCGCATTACATAGAACAATTGCAAGTTTAGTGATGTAAACCATTTGTGTTTTTATTTGGTCTCTGAACGAATCTGGGGCAGAAATAAAAAGGCAATGCTCTGCATTAGTACTTGCATTTCAGACCTGCTTCCCTGCAAAACCCAAGAATTTGATCATTTGGGTATCCCTGCGGTTTTGCTAGAGGATCAGCCATTGCTAAACCCGTAAACTCCAAGTAAAGGTCGAACTTTGGGGTCAACAGCACATCATGTATGAAACAAATTAACCAGCATTAGTTTGTCTTGGTAAACACATTATTCTTGGGCAACTTGCTAGAATATGTCCAACGGCTACGAGAGACATCTGCCAGAGAAGCACATCAAAGAACATGAAATCTGTACCACCGACTCCATTCCTTCACATTCCAATTTAGCAGGAGGCAAGCTCCATTGCGTATCGAAAGCTGAAAAGGAAAATGTTCGAAACTACGAATGAAGCACAGCTCCAAAGAACCCTTTGCCCATCAGCCAATGTCTTGGCTTCTTTTTGGAGGGTTCATCTCTGCCTTAGCTTTTGATGACTGGTCAGTCTCACTGGCTAACTGGCTCTGCCTCAGGCGACACTGCTGAGTCAGGAATCAGATTGAGATTAGGCACCAGGTTGAACGAACGAGAGCTCTTTTCCTTACACTGCATGGATTGGATTGCTCTCACTCATTCACTCCAAAAGTATCACTCTTTCCCACTTTCTTGCTTTTTTGGTCCCCTGTTTGTGTCTGCAATTTTTCTGAACCCTTTTGGCCAATGGACAGTTCTCGGAATCTTTGAATAATGGGGTTTGTTACCTGTTTCCCCTGTTATCTCTTTTCTTTCTTTGTGGAGCAGAATGTGAATACAATTCCACCACCACATCATGCCATATCTCTCTTTATCCCATCAAGATGAGAATATCAGAGTCATCATGCTAAGTTCTGTCCTTTGGAATCCGAATTTCACTCTCATCAGCAGCCAGCATATTTCAAAGTCTCATTCTCCAGTGAAGTTTCTCCCACTTCTACAACTCCTTATTGGGTTCATCTAATCCATTTTTGCTAGGAACCCTTTTCGCAGAAGTTACGGTAAATCTCGATCACTAGAATGGTAAGCTATGTCATGGCAGTAGACGAATCGAAATTCTAAACAGAGGAAGATGGTCTGGCATAAGACATAAGTGATATTCTTCATAAGCTGACGACAATGAGATCTAAATCAGGTGTCTCTCTTTGCAAAGCCAATACATTTACCACACGTATCCAAAACCAACTTTCCTTTCAACTTAACAAAGAAAACTTGGAAGCTAAAATGGACAAAAACAAAAGATTTATAGTCGACGTCTCGACGATATTCTTTTTTCACATTGCGGGTCTGGTCTTGGATAGCAAAGCACAGACCATTTGATAGGTTCTTCAGCTGTATAGAAGCAAGCCTCAATGAAGGTATGGTTTATTTGTTCACCCCACAAATACAGAGACCTCTTCATCTATTCGGAACCTCTTCTGCCTCTCAATGAAGGCCTCAATAGTACTCTTGAACTCTTCGCTGCTCATATTATCCTCTGGAAACGAGCCCTTCTTCTTCTTGTCGACGAACTTCTCCGTCACGGATCGCTTCAGTTCCTTTTCGGGCTTGATCACAATCGATTTAGTAGTAGGAAGCTTCTCCGATCGACTCCTCTCGTAGCTCTTCACCATCCCTAGAGATGTAGCATGGGAAAGAACCTCTTGTTCCTTGACCACAATCTCTGTACTTTTGCTCTGTTTTCTTCTGTGCTCTGTTTCAGCCCTCTGTTCAACAGAAGAAGGCTGCTGTGGTGGAATCTTACCGCTCATTTCTACAAATTCCTCATAAATATCAGATTTTTTGCTTCTCTTTTCCTTCCCGTCTTGTCCCGGAAGCTGACCGGACTTGGCGAAGAGGACTATTACTATCAAGTTGCCCACCACGAACACGAACCGCGGGCTGGCCAGGGCGAGCGCCGCGTCCTTGAAATACTCGCTGGAGATCTTGGCAGCGATTGGAAGATGAACTGAGAAACTGGAAACGACAGTCAGAACCACCAGGATTTCCAGTAACCTGAACATGTTTGTGATCTTCTCGATCTTCCGGTGCTTTCGGATTGCCTTTGCTTTCACTGCCTTGAGGTGGGTGATGTTGAACGAATCCATCTTCACTCTAGGAGCTCAAAACACCAAAAAGAAAAGAACCTTTTTGCTCCTCTTATGTGGGTAATGGGTTGCAGTTGCAGAAAGGAGTGTTCTTTCACTCGAGAGCAAATTGGTAAGCCAAAGAAACCATGGTAGCTGCCATCTCTCCGATCAGGGACGGAACAGAGAAAAACTCTACTAGCGCCTGAGATAGATTCCCAGAAAGCATGGAACGAAGTAGCCGGGGAAAAACAGAGCAGTAGATATTGGAAAAGGGAGAAGAACAGAGGTGGAGAAACAGGGGAAAACAGAGGATGCCCTGTTTTCTTTTCTTTTTGTTGAGTGGTAGTGTTGCTCTGCTTTTTGTTGAGTTGTTTCCTTGGAAGGTTGAAGTTGTGGGAAGTGGGATATATATAGGAGAAAAGAGAGAGAGACCATATCTCATATGATATCCTTTTTATGCTCTCTAAGTTGAGAACTAAAATGAAATCTGATTCACTTCTAATTATAATAATTTATTTTTTTCATAGGAAGGTATTGTATTCTCCACATTCTTTTTTTGGAGAAATATTCTCCACATTCCATTTGAGCTTTATTGACATTGTGCATGTTGTGTTGGGAGTTGTGACACACCAAGGGTAACTCCATGTTATGATATAAGGTTACATGAGGTATCAATTTGATTCTCATTATCTAAAATATTACTAGAAACTTTGGTTTGGGTGTAGATAGGGTTGTAGGTCCAAATCAAGAGCTTCTCAATGGTCATAAAAGTTGGGATAGTCTCCGAATATATAGGGACACCAATCAATAATAACGGCTGATCAATTTGTTTGTTTGGACTGATAACAAAGAACCTAAAAATATATGGTAGGAAACATAAACCGAATGAACAATCTCAAGTTTACCGGTTCCCTATTTTGATAATAGAAAATAATTTAAAAAATTACTATAATGGGTACCGATATCAACCAATCCTAATGAGTAATTACTAGTTTTGTCTCTACTTTTGGTTCATTCCCCGACCTCCTTATCGCTCTTATGTTTCCGCTAGTTATTGTCACCCTAATTACTAATTCGATTACGATAAACATTTCATATGAGTTTTTTTATACAGTTTCGATGATTTGATAAACCTTTTGGTGATGGCGATGGACTTTTAATGATTTATAGGAACATGTATTTTATCCTATAGGTATGAATGGTACTATAAACATTTAACCACCAAAAAATAAACCACTAATGAAAACAGAGGGGGGAAATTACTGCGCATGTTGTAAAAGGGAGATGATGAGGCATTTCTTTTGATTTTCTCTTTCTTTTTAAGCCTTCTTTTCACTGTATTATTGATGTTTTCTGACTGCTTCTTTTTTTCCTGATAAAATATCTCCATGTTATGTTATAAACTTGCCTCAATATTCTCACATCTGAAGCTGATTCAGCAGGGCATCTAATGGTGAAGAAGCATAGTGGCAAACAGAATGAATTCACTATTCTAAGTTGCATGACTCATTTCTATCTGAATTCTGCAAAAAGTGTGGGTTCTGGTTCTGGTTCTTCTTTCATCCTATGGGGGCTGCAAATTGTTGTGGCTCACCTTCCTAATCTGCCCATATTCTTGAAGAATATACTTAACATTAACAGCTTCATTATTATCTAATAATTCATGGTGAAGAAGCATAGTGGCAAACAGAATGAATTCACTGTTCTAAGTTGCATGACTCATTCCTATCTGAATTCTGCAAAAAGTGTGGGTTCTGGTTCTGGTTCTTCTTTCATCCTATGGGGGCTACAAATTACTGTGGCTCACCTTCCTAATCTGCCCATATTCTTGAAGAATATACTTAACACTAACAGCTCCATTATTATCTAATAATTCATGGATTAATTCCCCACTTTGATAATATCTTAGCCATACATTGTACAGATAATGCTCATGTTGTTGCTGCTAGTAATATTGCCGAACAAATCACAATATGATACTTGTTTATGTCGAACAATTCATATTTTGTCGTTGTGTCAGCTCTATCGCGTGTAAATTATTCTTTTCGTAAAATCCATTTTTGATTGTCTGCTATAGAAAGGATTTCATGCGATTGGATTGGTATTGCAAGCGTCATCAGAGATAGCAGTGTTTCTCGGTGAAACTAGTTAGGTTGCTTGTTAAATTACACAATATTCCATCTAGTCAAAGGATGAGGTAGAATGGCTCACAAGGAGAAAAAAATTGGGGAAAAGGCAGTATAGATCATAAATTTCAATATTCAACTTCTTCAAAAATCAGTTTCGACCCTAACATCACTTGGTATCAAGACATTCTATTGGTCTGATGATCGTCGGACCATTCGTTTCACGATTTATAATCGTTGAAGACATCTAAAATTGACACCACGTACATCCACCGACTTTTTTAGTTTCACTTTCATTCACTAAAAAAAATTTCAGAGCAAAACCAAAGAAGAAAGTCGTTGAGAATGGGCCGTTAAATGAGAAAAGCCCAGATGGAAGTGCAACCACGTAGCCATTTGCCAGATTTCCTTCAATACTAAGAAACACAGATTAGTGGAGAGAGCGCTCTGCTGTAGTGCTAATCCCCTCATCTCCTCTCCTTTCTTCACTCACTTCACTTTCCACTTAAACAAATGATTAAGAAGCACAGAAAAAATAAACCAGCATTTTCATTTTGTGTGTGGACCTCTCTGTTTGTTTTAAACCCTAAAACCAAATTAAAGCCAATCAATACCCTTAATGAGAGAACAGATTTTATGTTGGGATTTTGTGCTACTATACACTATGACTTTCAACAAACATAAATTTCGTCCGAATTCGCATGTTATGCGTGATGTAATTTTTTGTTGCTTGTTGATTCATTAATGACGTACTTACTAAATATTTCTTTTTGGCAGGCTGGCATATATATGAGATCATTTAGATGTGGTTAATTATAATAGAGACAATTAAACATGTGTTACGTATAATCTGTCAGTTTCCTAAACCTAGAAATATGGCTGTATCAACTAAATAGATTAAGTCTAATTTTGATTGAACATGGAATCAGATTCTCGAGCAACAATTCGAAGTGAAATTGTTTGATAATGGCATGAATGGTTCACTTGAGTTGCTGGTGATAAGTTCCTTCTTCTTCCATTCCCTTTCCCATAACAAACCGAGGCAGCTGGAATATTGCTTTCCTTTTTCTTAAAAAACTCAACCCATATGTGCTCTTGAAAATATATTAATCGAACACCTACGTCTCTTTATTCTCTATTCCAAAAATTTATAAAATACAAAGGATGATAAAATTATAAAATGGACTACCACAATCGTGTTGATTTAAAGTCAAATATTAAAACTTTAGGAGGAGCACAAGATTTTGTAAGTATAAATAATATCAAACCCCTTTTATTTTCTTTTCGTGGAATCAATAGTTTCTAGAAGAGTTAATGGTCTTCTTAGTCTTTGCAATTGCTTTTATTCTTTTCTTTCAAAAAATTATCATTCATTTTGTAGTAGTTTCAAGCTTGAAAAAAAAATATTGTACCTTTTGTAATCCAAACTCCTGATCCCACAGTTATAAGATAACATGTTATTCGATAATCAGTATACTATAAACCATATTTTGTGATATTTAATGCATTAAGTTTATTTAAAAAATTGAGATAAAAGTCCAATTAATTTGCTGTAGACAATTGAAAACGATCCAGCAATTAATCACCGGAATTTTTTTTTATCCAGCAATAAGTTAAGTGGGAATTGAGAAATAACATTTTATATGTGGAAAGTGGAAGTCGTTGCTAAAAAGTGAAAGTATGTAACTGTAAATTTCACCAAGAAAGAAAAATGTTTGAGCCTAACTGGGTGTAGGAGTGAGGCTCGTGAGGATGGGTCAAAGAGAGTAAGCGATAAGAAACAACTATGAACGGAAGAACTGAGGAGAGAATGAATGGAGTTGAGAGGGTGATATCTTAGAGAGAGAAGTTGATAATTCGTAGAGTTAGAGTCTCAAAAATTCGATCCCATCACCCACCGGAGTAAATGCCATATTTATAGGCTACATGGTGGTGGGTGAGTTACATGATGGCATGGTGACATGACTACTGACATGTCAGAAGCATAGGCCACATCCCTACTTAGGAAAAGACCTTTAGCCATGACTATACCTAGGACTATGATGGTGACTACTCTTTGAGTGACGCGGCGCCGCTTTCATGGTCTCTTGGTCAAGGTCAACATCTGACCAAAGCGTCGTCGTTCGGTGTCCGGGCGCAGCCTCCGGGCGTGGTTCTTGCTCGCGTGCCTGAATCTTGCGTGAGCGCCGTTGGGATGTTTCTTTGGCGCGGTGAGATCCGAGTCACATGCCCAACAATTGCCCCCCATCAGGGGGTATTCCGCGAATGCCACCTGTTTGATCTTCGTGCGACTGGCTCGGATCTGCACGATTCCTTCTGATTCCGTGCCATTTATTAGGGTTGGTGTGATCTGGGTGAACTGGCGCCTGTTTGATTTCTGCGCAATCGACTCGGATTCGCGCGATCTTCGTGCGGTTTTCAGTGTTGGTCAGATTCTGTGGCGGCGCCCGTTTGGTTTGAACCTGCGTGATTTGCGCGCCATTGAATATTGCCCCCCATCAGGGGGTATTCCGCGAGTGCCACCCGTCTGATTTTCGTGCGGCTGGCTCGGATTTGCGCGATTCCCGTCTGATTGAGATCTCCGAGGTTGGTTGCGCATGCCGCTTTTTTGGTTGAGATTGGGTTTTCGGGAGTGTTTTTTCTCCTTCGTGGACGCGTCCGGCCCCCAGGCGCTGCGCGTAACTTGTGACGTCAGCGGCTAGTGCCTATGTTAGGTAGGTAGCCACGTGTCTTTGGATGACTGGTCGATTTTGGGGGCCGTTTTGAAATTTGAAAAGAACCTGACAGTTGCGATTCTCAATGCAACTTTAACCTTTCGGCTTTCCCTTGTCAAGTATAAATACCCCTTCTTTGTCGGGAGGTTGAAACTCACTCTGCTTGCTTTGTAAAAAAAAAAAATCTCTTGTTTCTGCCTTCGTCCCATCTCCGGGATTCCTCTCCTTCTTCTACAACCTTGATTCTCACTTTGTTGTTGTTGACTTCGAAGTATTATCATGGATAGCACCAACATCAACGAGACTGAGGTCGTGCAGGGCGAAGAAGGTAATCCCTCTTCTTTTTCACGTGTTTCCACCGATCCTTCGCTGGATCTGGACGATTCCGGCCACGGGGACGGCGGCGGAGCCGACGGTGATGAGGAGGTTTCGGCGACGCTGCCGTTCGACGTTGATTCAGGCAGGGACCCCGATGCGGGAATGGTTGCGTCTGGGAGTGGGCAGGCAGGCGCTGGCGCTCGAGGGGGTAATGATTATTCGGCGTACTCGCAGCGGTGGATCTGGGGTGGCTAATCCGGAGGCGCGCGAGGGTTCTGATACACAGTCAGAGCCGCAATGTACTGCGCGTGTAACCGAGGCGATGAGCCGCTTGGGATTCTGTGGTGTGGGCGCGGCCTACACCGTCATAGACTGGGCAGAGATGTGGGGTGATCAGCCGGCGCCACATGACAACCTTCTTAGGGGGCCAGATCATGCGTCCATTTACGGGTATCAGGACGTGATGGATATAGTGCGTGGGCTGGGTTTGCCCCTCAGTTGGGAGTACGCGGCTCCCTCCGCACGCAGCATGGTTGGGAATTGCCCCGCGGGCTGGTTTGGGGTATACACGGAGTATTGGGTGATGGGGTTCAAATTCCCTATCGACCCCTTGCTATGCGCGCTGTACAGGCGCCTCAACTGTTCGGTTGGACGGCTTTCCCCTTCCGTGATAATGCACGCGAGCTGCCTCCGAATCGCGTGCAAAAGGCTCAACATTGAGCCAACTTACGGGTTGTTTCGGAAGATTTATAAAATTAAGGAGCCAACCAAGAGGAGTGATTGCCTTTCTATCAAGCGCCTCGACAAGAGACCCGACGGCTTTGTGTACGGGTCTCCCAAGTTGAAGAAGACTTGGTTCGAGCGCTTTTTTTATGTTAAGCCAACTCCGGGGGAGTGGGAGAGTGAATTTATGGAGGAGCCAACAGTGTGGAAGAAGGACGACACGCATGGGTATGAATCGGATCTAGGCCATTACGCCGGGCTAGATGATGAGTACGAGGCGTGCATGCTGCAGAAGTTCAACTTATACGCGGGCGGAGTCCGCGAGGCTTGTTTGAAGGAACTTTTTGCCGATGGTTAGTTGTGCTTCTTTCCTTTTGCATTCTATCATATTAACCGCCCTCTTATGATTTATTGGCGCAGGTGTTGATTTTTCCAACTTGGCGAGTATGATGTCGGTTGATGACATCGTGAAGGCGCCTCGCGTTGGGAAGAAGAAGAGGAAGGAAAGCGCACAACCAAAGAGCGCGAAGAGAAAAGAGATTGAGCAGCCGCTAGTTGCAGAGAAGCCCATGAAGGCTGCCCGCGTTGCTGAGCACCCTGCGCGAGCTCCGCGACAGCAGCCGCTGATGATAACGGAGCCCACAGCTCAAGTGGACAAGACCGCTCATCCGGAGGGGGGCACGACAGGTAGCTCATCGAGGGCTACCGTTCAGCAAAAGCTGCCCCAGATAGCCGGTGGCGCCATCGATTACTTCTGCGACGTGCGGGTTCATACCGGCGCGGCGTGCAATGTTGCGGCCGCGAATAATGCCATCCGGACGCTAGGACCTGTTCTGAGTGTCCCGACGCGCCTGGAGAAGTCTGACCCGCTTCAGGACCTAGCCCAGGTTCACTTCGCGGTAAGATTTGGTTGGACCTCCGCGAAGTACGCGTCCTTTATCTTTTTTGTTAAATGTGATTTTTGCTAAGTCTTGTGGCGGTGTGAATGCAGGGTTTGTTGGCAACCTTCCGCGCTCAGCAGGAGCGGAGTCGAGAGCGCGCGAGGCTGAAGGTTGAGGAGTCTAGGATTGTGCAGCTGGAGGGTAAGTTGGCTGGGGCTGAAGGTCGCGCAGAGTTGGCGACAAACAAGGCCAATGATGCATTGGAGTAGCTTGGCGTCTTGCAGAGCCAGCTGGCGAAGCAGGTGGGGGATGTGAGGGATCGGGTCCGAGGAGAGTTGCGGGCCGAGTTTGAGGAGGAGAGGAAGCGTCTGGCGGACGAGCGGGAGCGGGAGAGGAGCCAGCTGGAAAATGATCATGTGGAAAGACTGAAGCAGGCTCGCAAGGAGTTTGAGAAAGAGAAGGAGGATCTGGTCCGCCTTCACGACGTGGCTAAGTCGGAAGCTGTGCGAGAAGCGCAGATTGCTGCAGTTCGTCAGTACAAGTCTTCTCCCTCGTTTGGGAAAATACTGGCGGACGCGATGACCAAGGCGGTAATCGCGGTTGGCAAGAAGGTGCGGCCGGAGAATCCGGGCTAACGGTGGAGCACTCGCGGCATGGTCCAGCATGTGCAGCTATGGCTACGCGAGAAGAGGTCCCTGGAGTTGGACTCTGAGTGAGAGGAGGAGTCGGAGGATGAGGAGAATGAGGAAGACGAGGTACGCACGGAGGTTGCGGTTGGGGATGGTGGATCTGGCGCGGACAAGGGAGAACCGGACACGGCAGCGACCGAGGAGGCAGCGGAGACTACCACTGAAAATGTTATTATAGACTAAGTGTAGCTGCGCTGCCTTAAATTTCATTTGTTGTCGTGGACATTTTTCTTTTCTTTATGTCGCGCCGCGCACGTGCTCGCATAATTTCGCTCCCATTTCGTGAAATCCAAAGTACTTTTATCATTTGTTTCCTGTGAGTTGCGTGATTGATTTGTGAATATTGCTCTTTGCCGACCTTTTCGTGCGGGTTGCGATCGTGCGCAGACTAGTTCCGTCGTGATTGAGTGGGCGCGAATAGTTCATGACTATTGCTATTTTTTGTTCTGTTGAACTGTGCGCGCGCGAATAGTTCATGACTATTGCTATTGTTTGTTCTGTCGAACTGAGTGGGCGCGAATAGTTCATGACTATTCCTATTTTTTGTTCTGTCGATCTGAGTGGGCGCGAATAGTTCATGACTATTGCTATTGTTTGTTCTGTCGAACTGAGTGGGCGCGAATAGTTCATGACTATTGCTATTTTTTGTTCTTTCGAACTGAGTGGGCGCGAATAGTTCATGACTATTGCTATTTTTTGTTCTTTCGAACTGTGTTGGCGCGAATAGTTCTTGACTATTGCTATTGTTTGTTCTGTCAAACTTTGTATTTCATTATTCTCGTGCGACAACGCGCCGTTGTGGACAATGTACATATCAGGCGAGGTACACATCAGGCGGACTGGTAGTATTTTCTGAGGTTCTGCGCATTCCATGTCCTTGGGATCTTGGCGCCGCCTAACTCACTGAGCTTGAAGGTGTTGGCGCCGACAACTTCTCGTACCAGGTATGGGCCCTCCCACGTCGAAGCGAGTTTCCCATGCTTGGGGTCGGGGCGGAAGTTCCTTCGCAGCACTTGGTCTCCGAGGGTTAGCTTATGCGGGACTAGCTTCGCGTTGTAGTACTTTGCCACCTGTTCTTTTGTCGCAGCTAGCTTGATGGCCGCCAATTCTCGTCTTTCTTGTGCTAGCTCTAAGTCCAGCAGGCGTGCTTCATCGTTGTCCGCTTCGTCATATGTCGTGATCCGGTAGGTTGGGGATGTTATCTCCATGGGTATCACCGCGTCGGTTCCGTAAGTAAGCGCGAAGGGAGTTTCTCCTGTGGACACCTTGAACGTGGTACGGTGCGCCCATAGCACCGTGTTGAGCTCGTCCGCCCAATTTCCTTTGGCGTCGCCCAGTCGCGTATGCAAGCCGTGAAGGATTGCTTTGTTTGCCGCTTCCGCTTGGCCGTTGGCTTGGGGGTAAGCTACTGATGCGAATCTTGCGATGGCTCCCACTTGGTCGCAAAATTCTATCACCTCCGCGCAATCGAATTGCTTTCCATGGTCGAATATGAATGCACTTGGGATCCCGAAGCGGGATAGGATGTGGCTTTTGAGGAAGCGCGTTACCTGTTGTGTTGTTATTGAGGCTAGTGCTTCCGCCTCGATCCACTTGGTAAAGTAGTCAACCGCTACAATTATGTACTTGCGCTTTCCTTTGGCCATTGGGAAAGGGCCCAAGAGGTCTACCCCCCATTGCGAAGGGCCATGCGCTCAGATTGCCTTGAAGTTCGGTTGATGGCAAATGGTGTTGGCGCTCGTGCAGTTGACACTTGTGGCACTGGTCGACGTATTTTTTGTGTCCTTTTTCACTCGCGGCCAGTAGTATCGGTGCAGTAGTATAGTGCGTTCCATGCTACGCGCGCCGGCATGCATTGCGCACAATCCTTCGTGAAGATCATGTATCACGTTGCGCGCCTCTTCTTGCCCGATGCATTTTAGGTACGCGCCGGAGTACGACCTGTGGTAGAGTTTTCGGTCAATAAGCGTGCATCTGGCCGCCTTCTGCCTTAAAGCCCACGCCTCTTTAGCATCCTCGGGCACTGCCCCGTCTTGTAAGTACTTCGTAATCGGGTTCCTCCAGTCCTCGTCTTGTGCTGTCTGTGTGGTGTTAACCACGGCTTCTTGAAGGACTTCCTCTTCCTCTTTTTGAACTGACACTAGGTGCGTTGACTAAAAGTCGGTGGCGGTTGCCAGCTTTGATAGCGCGTCCGCGTGTATGTTTTCTTCCCTTGGTATTTGCACATAGGTCACTTCTTTGAAGGTATTCGCTCGTTGTTTGACGCGCTCCATGTAATGCGCGAGCGTGTCCTCTTTTGCATCGAAGGTTCCGTTCAGTTGGTTCACAGCGAGTGAGGAGTCGGAGAGCACTCTGATCATTCTAGCGCCCAAGTCATTGCCGGCGGTCATTCCTGCCAGGATGGCTTCATATTCGGCCGCGTTATTTGTCTTCAAAGTTCTGAACCTGATTGCTATTTCATGAGTGACGCCTGTGGGGGTGCGCACGACGACACCCGCGCCAGCGCCGTGTTTGCTTGCCGCCCCGTCTACGTAGACCTCCCATACTCTTTCCGGTGTTGTCTCGAGGGTGACCCCTTTGGCGATGAAGTCCGCTAGGATCTGCGCCTTTATTGCTGGTCTTGACGCGTATTGAATGTCATATTCTGACAGCTCAACCGCCCACTTAACCATCCGCCCGGATACTTCCATTGAGGGTAGAATCTTTTTCAGCGAGAGGTTGGTCAGGACGGTGATTTGGTGCGCTTGGAAATAGGGGCGCAACTTCTGTGATGCGCTTACCAGCGCCAGAGCGGCTTTCTCTATTGGGGAGTATCTTGTTTCCTCACTGACTAGGATTCGCGAAGTGTAATACACGGGCCACTCGGTTTGGCCGTCCCTTCTGGATATTAGCACTGCGCTCACAACTCTTGTTGACACAGCAAGATACAGGAAAAGGTTTTCATTAAGCAGGGGAGCAGACAATACAAGGGGGATACAAGATATGCTTTTAGCTCTTGGAAGGCCGCTTCACACTCCTTGGTCCATGACACTCCAAAAACACAACACCTAACAATGGCCAAGTGTAACCAATGAAAGGGACTGCAGTATAGTGGCTCAAGTGATAAATATCGAATCCACGGGTCTCTAGAGTTACTATTACTCAGCTTCAGTTTATTATTTAGCAAATCAGATTAAGATGAAGGAACTAAAACTACTCTAGCAAACTACAGTTAAAGTTAATCTAATTACAGGTTGGGAACTCACTTAGGTATGATTCCCCCTAGCCACTAGCCAGATTAATGATTGATGATCTCTAACCTGTTTCACTTTCATTCACAATGCGGAGAATCCTTGACTAGACCTTGAGTCTCGACTAAAGGAACAAGGCCCTCTTGAGTCATTTGCCTAGAGGGACGTATCCTTCTCTAGAACAACTGATCAAGGCGTTCTGAACTAGACTCCCTCTATCGAAAGAGGTTCTCAATCGATACAAAGCAGTGAATCAACCCTCGACTAAAGCAATCGATCCACTACTATCAATCTATGGTGCTCTATTGACCTAATCAGGTATTCCCTCTCATAGAATCAAAGCAGAATCAATAATCTCGACTAAAGCAGAATTGAATCATGAAAACATGCATAGATTGAATATGAACTCAAGATTATCAAGTCAGAGTACTCATACAATCATCCAATCAAACAAACATAGCTAGGGTTCCTCAAAACCTAAGTGAAGGGAAGTTACTCCATAGAGAAGAGAGAGACTGCAGTAAGAATCTTCAGATGATCAGTCTTCAAGTCCGGGCTTGTTCCTCGAGCTTCCAAGGCGAAGAAATCCTCCTTCTCTACTCCAAGAATGCCCTCAAATCGCCCTCTCTCTCTAGGGTTCGTCCCTTGGGTGTTTGGATCCAAAACCCAGCTCTCCCTCTTCTTTGGTTCGGAATTTGGCTTAAAACCAGGAAATCCCGACTCGCGCGGCCAGGGTGCACGGCCGTGCACATCACCATTCTGGCCGTGCACCTCAAAACGCGGCGTATCAATTAGTTGAACCTCAGCCAACTCGCACGGCCAGAATTGTATGTTGCACGGCCGTGCGGATTTCACTTGTGCCCGTGCGTGCCCACGCACAATCCCGCACGGCCAAACTGGTCACTTGCACGGCCGTGCGTGGCCACGCTGGTCTGCCCGTGCAGCTTGCTCAGCCTCTGTTTAATGCTTCGTTTCTCCCTCGTCCGGACTCCGAATCAATCGCCGTTTGATCCCAGACGCTCGTAGTCTCGTCCTCTTTCGTTTCATAACAAGCTTGCATGATTCTTTGTCCATAAAGTGAGGTAGAAATCCATTCTTCTTCAGGTCATGCCCGAGTTTCTTCTCTCGAATCGTCAATTGATCTCTGATTGACTTGAAACTTGCGCCTATGCTTCACTTTATGTGCTAGGACCTGAAATGGGACAAAGGAACACAACCTAGCATAAAATAGGCCAAAGAAGCAATAATTCAAGCTCAAACAATCAAGAAACAAAGGGGAAAACATGTGCAAATACCGAGTCATCAAATCCCCCCACACTTAATTGTTTGCTTGTCCCCAAGCAAACCTAACTCAAACCAATGCAACTCTCCAGACCTCTATAGCAACAAACAACCCAGATCGTAGGTAGAGGACTTCCTAGATCATTTAGCAGCTTACGAGGTCAACCGACGCACAAGTCATCTCATAACTTCTTCGGCGAGTCGGCATCATGGCAAATAGTGAACAGAGGACAAATGAATTGTGGATGAGGAGATTCTCAAAAACAACAGATCATGGACTCACATTTTTCAAGGTGCTCTATTTTCTGCTTCTTGAAGATGGTTGAGACCCCTTTTTTTTGTTTTGCTTGTTTTCTGATATTTTTCTTTTCTTTTCTTTTTCAAGGGTCCCAACCTGCTCTTACCGGCCATGCCAGGAGCGGATGTCTCGAGCCTCGTGCGGGGGAAAGACATGTAAGGGGGCTGGAGGTAGTAGGTGGAAATTGGGAACGAATTCCCGTCTCCCCTTACACACTTTCGCCCTATTCGCACGGGAGACGTTTATTTTGAAGCACATTTTCGAGCACCTGTTATTTTCAAAACATGATACAAGAGTCCATGACAGGTAGAGAATCCACAACACCACACAATTCAAGGGTCCTAAGATCACTAATTCACTCAATCAACCAACTCAATATGAAGAAGAAATGAGACTTCGTAAATGCATCAACATCCTCCATAGTGCTACACTACCTCCCTAGGTTGCATATTACTGTAAAGACTGTCAATTCAAAGCATACTGAGCAGGCAATTGCATGGAAACACGTACTTGGAGCCCTCAAATTTTAAAAATTTGGACAGTGGACTAGGCTCCAAGCACACAAACAGCCAAACATTCACCCGCATACATAATCGAACACCCCCCCACACTTAAGCACGACATTGTCCTCAATGGAGGAAAGATAAGGAGGGTAGAACGAAGTTACCAGATCAAGGGTGAATGATGATGTACGGGTCAGGCAGTGCATTCCAGGAAGAGAGAGTAATCAGAACACAAACACCACACAAAATCTCACAAAGGTTGAGTTATTGATTCTGAAATCAAAGAACAAAACTGACTCAACCGAAGAGAAATAGAGAAAAAAAAATGCAAACCGACTGGTTGGGTTGCCTCCCAACAAGCGCTTCTTTCACGTCGTGAGCCGGACGATGGCTCCTAAGTTTCGGTCCATGCTAGAACCTCCTTGAAGTTGAGGTTCTCGTCGATGAGGTGGAGTCGCAAGTCATGAGCATGTGGTGTGGCAGGTGATGAAGGCTCATGTACTTGATGCAGATGAAGTCTCCACCCTCGAGACCTCTTCTTCTCTTCTCTCGTCTCATTGCCCCAAACCAGATATGACAACATCGATTGGCCACCATCGCGTCCACCAAGAGGGACCGATGTCGAGGTGGCCTTGGTCTGGCAAAGAGACACTACAAATGGGTCCTTGCTAAGCAGTTCCTCGAGGTTTGGTGGAGATATCACATGTAACTCATGGCCAGTGCAGGCCTCTTCCACCTTAACTCCGTCCTCAGCCTGGACGCCAATTGCTTCTTCAACCTCCCTTCCTTCTTCATGTGGTATCACCCCTGGGAAATGATCAAGAACTCCTCCTGCTTCACTTTCGTCATCCTCCACAACTTCTTTCTGCACCCTTTCTTGCTCTTCTTCTTCTAGCACGGATTGGAGAGCAAGTTGCCAAGCAATTTCTTTCATGAGATCTTCTTGCATCTCCTCACTCATGCCCGCCTCTTCAAAGCTCAGTTTGGGGTGTGGGAAGGTTTGGTCGGCTACGACAGGACACTCCTGATCATGATCATCACGGGAGCTCTCCGTGACAACTTCAGTGTGCTCCACAATGTCCTTGTAGCCTTCTTCTTCCTCCTCATCTTCTTGTATGGTAGCAGAAGGGTGATCTGGAGCAGGTTGCGCCCAAGATCGCTCAAGATCATCGACGCTCTTCTTAAGGCTCAGGAGGATCCCCTCTGTTTCACGATAGGCCTGGACACAATGATCCATACTGGAGCATGATCTCTCCATGAGAAGCCTCAAATCATAGTGTGGATCCGGCTGTGGAGTGTAGCATGGCTCTGCAGAATGGCCCGTGAAGGCCGCCATGGGTAATTCCAGCTCCAATGGCCCTTCTGGTTGTGGGAGAAATTCTTCTTGGTAATGAGGTTGTTCTTGATATGCCCAGGGGTCCGGTTGTTCTCCGTAGTAAGGGGGTTGGTACTGGAACCCGAATCCATAGTCTTCTCCGCCTTGATTGCTCCAGGGAGTCTCGGGGTAATACCACCCAGATGGTGGTGGATACCCCCAATGATTGGAGAAGCCATGAGGATCCATGATTCAGATCTGCACCAACAAAAACAAAAACACCCAAGTGAAAAGCAAGGGTGGAAAAGAAAAGAAACGAAAAACGCTAAAGTAACAAACTTCTGCCTTTCCTAATACTCTAGAAAGTCCCCGGCAACGGCGCCAAAAACTTGACACTCCAAAAACACAACACCTAACAATGGCCAAGTGTAACCAATGAAAGGGACTGCAGTATAGTGGCTCAAGTGATAAATATCGAATCCACGGGTCTCTAGAGTTACTATTACTCAGCTTCAGTTTATTATTTAGCAAATCAGATTAAGATGAAGGAACTAAAACTACTCTAGCAAACTACAGTTAAAGTTAATCTAATTACAGGTTGGGAACTCACTTAGGTATGATTCCCCCTAGCCACTAGCCAGATTAATGATTGATGATCTCTAACCTGTTTCACTTTCATTCACAATGCGGAGAATCCTTGACTAGACCTTGAGTCTCGACTAAAGGAACAAGGCCCTCTTGAGTCATTTGCCTAGAGGGACGTATGCTTCTCTAGAACAACTGATCAAGGCGTTCTGAACTAGACTCCCTCTATCGAAAGAGGTTCTCAATCGATACAAAGCAGTGAATCAACCCTCGACTAAAGCAATCGATCCACTACTATCAATCTATGGTGCTCTATTGACCTAATCAGGTATTCCCTCTCATAGAATCAAAGCAGAATCAATAATCTCGACTAAAGCAGAATTGAATCATGAAAACATGCATAGATTGAATATGAACTCAAGATTATCAAGTCAGAGTACTCATACAATCATCCAATCAAACAAACATAGCTAGGGTTCCTCAAAACCTAAGTGAAGGGAAGTTACTCCATAGAGAAGAGAGAGACTGCAGTAAGAATCTTCAGATGATCAGTCTTCAAGTCCGGGCTTGTTCCTCGAGCTTCCAAGGCGAAGAAATCCTCCTTCTCTACTCCAAGAATGCCCTCAAATCGCCCTCTCTCTCTAGGGTTCGTCCCTTGGGTGTTTGGATCCAAAACCCAGCTCTCCCTCTTCTTTGGTTCGGAATTTGGCTTAAAACCAGGAAATCCCGACTCGCGCGGCCAGGGTGCACGGCCGTGCACATCACCATTCTGGCCGTGCACCTCAAAACGCGGCGTATCAATTAGTTGAACCTCAGCCAACTCGCACGGCCAGAATTGTATGTTGCACGGCCGTGCGGATTTCACTTGTGCCCGTGCGTGCCCACGCACAATCCCGCACGGCCAAACTGGTCACTTGCACGGCCGTGCGTGGCCACGCTGGTCTGCCCGTGCAGCTTGCTCAGCCTCTGTTTAATGCTTCGTTTCTCCCTCGTCCGGACTCCGAATCAATCGCCGTTTGATCCCAGACGCTCGTAGTCTCGTCCTCTTTCGTTTCATAACAAGCTTGCATGATTCTTTGTCCATAAAGTGAGGTAGAAATCCATTCTTCTTCAGGTCATGCCCGAGTTTCTTCTCTCGAATCGTCAATTGATCTCTGATTGACTTGAAACTTGCGCCTATGCTTCACTTTATGTGCTAGGACCTGAAATGGGACAAAGGAACACAACCTAGCATAAAATAGGCCAAAGACGCAATAATTCAAGCTCAAACAATCAAGAAACAAAGGGGAAAACATGTGCAAATACCGAGTCATCAGTCCACGCGAATCGGGTGCCACTTTTAAGTGTCTTGAAGAAAGGTGCGCACTTGTCGGCTGACCTTGGTATGAATCTTCCTAGCGCTGCTATTTTGCCATTCAAAGATTGAATCTCCAACGCGCTCCTCGGCGCCCGCAGTTGTTGGACTGTCGTGATTTTTTTTGGGTCAACTTCGATGCCACGCTTGGTTATCATGAAACCAAGGAACTTTCCTGCTTCTGCCCCGAAGACACACTTCAGTGGGTTCAAATGTAGGCTGTGTTTGTGGAGAGCCTCAAACGTTTCGCGCAGATCTTCCAGATGCGAATTGTCGGCTTTGGTCTTGACAATGAGGTCATCCACATACGCCTCAATGTTCCGCCCTATTTGTGACGAGAATACCGAATCAATCATTCTCTGGTACGTCGCGCCCGCATCCTTCCGTCCGAATGGCATTCCGACGAAGCAGAAATTACCGAATGGCGTCATGAAAGCCGTCTTTTCCTCATCTTCGCGAGACATCGAAATTTGGTGGTACCCTGAGAACATGTCTAGAAAGGACAGTGTCTCGTGGTCGGTGGTGGCGTCGATGAGTTGGTCAATGCGCGGCAAGGGGTAAGGGTCTCCCGGACACACCTTGTTGATGGTTGTATAGTCGACGCACATCCGCCAGGCCCCCGAAGACTTCTTCACCAAGACCACATTCGCCAACCACTTTGGATATTTCACGGGGCGGATCAATCCTGCTGCTAATAGCCCCGCGACCTCTTCTTCTATGGCCTTCAGTTTGTCGCCGGTGAAGCTTCATCGCGCCTGTTGTCTCGGCTTCGCGTTGATTGAAACAGCGAGGCAATGTTGAGCTATCTGCCTTGGGACTCCAGGCATGTCCTCTGTGCACCAGGCGAACAGCTCTTTGTATTCTTTCAACAGCGCTATCAACGGCTCAATCGCTTCATCGTGGATATGAGTCGAGATGCGAATTTTCTTCGCCGGCTCGGTTGGGTCAATCGCGACTTCGAAATCGGAATCCATAGATTACGGGCGGGGTTCCTCTGCCCTTGTGTCGACGATGTTGGTTCGGCGCGCTTCTCCACTCTTCTCCCATGGCGTCCCGCGCGCTTCTCCGGTTCCCGCCTCGGTGGGGAATTTGAGTTTCTGGTGACGTGTGGATGGGAGAGCTATGAATTTGGCTAGGAAGGGTCGACCGAATATGCCGTTGTGAGGCGATTTACAGTCGACTATTGTGAACTCGACCTGCTTGGAGATGCGCGGCTCTTGGTCTCCGATTACAACTGGAAGGGTGACCACGCCAATAACCGGCACCCTTGATCCAGAGAATCCGACCAAGTTGCCTTTTGCGCGTCCGATTAGCCATGGATCGATATACATCTGGTCAACGGTGCTCTTGAACATGATATCCGCCGCGCTGCCTCCGTCTATCAGTAGACGGTGAATTTTGCAGGCGGCCACTAGCGCGGTGATGATTAGTGGGTCTTCTGACGGGATCCCTTGTGGAAATTCTGAGTCATCGAAGCTTAAGTTGCACCTTGTTTGTACTTCGGATGTTGCGCATTCCATCGAGCGCTCGCGCTTGGTTTTCTTCTTTGGGTGGTCTCCCTCTACTGTTACCACTCCTATTTCCTTCCGCACTACATACGAGCCAGTAACCTCGTTGTAGTCGGCTTGCGGGGGTGGTGGCGGATCTTGGGGTTGCTCCGCCTGTTCTTTCTTCTCGCGGATGAACTCTGTCAATACTCCCCTTTGTATGAGGGCCTCGATTTCGTATCGCAGCTCTCTGCAATCCTCTATCTAGTGTCCCGTCTCCCTGTGGAAATCACAGCGCTTTTTTGGATCGCGCATGTGAGGCAAGCCCCTCAAGGGCGCGGGCCAGTTGATTCTGTAACCTTTCTCGCGGAGCACGAGGAACACGTTTTTCACCAAGTCATTGAGGGGGGTGTAGGCGTTTTGTGGGCGCCTGTCTGGTGATCGCCCCCGCTGCGTTTGTTCTTGCGGAGGGGGTGGGCGCCTAGGGCCGCTGTGTAACTGTATCAACTGTTCCCGCGGTATCGGGAGTTGCTTTCGTCCTTGGTCTTCTCTGGACAATTTTGCGGGCTCAAAGCGCCTTACAGAACCGGCACCTAGAGTCTCTTCCAGTGTGATGGCCTTCTCGATTTTGACCTCTAGCTCTGTCGAGAGTGTGACTGGTCTTTTTGCTAGCGCTCGTTTGAGCTCAATGTTGGTGGTGGCATCCATGAGATGATGGGCGGCGATTTCGGGGGTGAGATCTCGCACAGCCATCGCCACCCTGGACCACCTGGCGTAGAGCGCTCGTAGGCTTTCTCCGTCTTTTTGCCTTATGTCTATAAGTGCTTTGAGGTGGAGAGGCCTTCTTTTTTGGGAAGCGAATTTGGTTGTGAACAAGAGTATGAACTCTTCGAACGAGCGGATGATTCCGTTTGGCAGTCTGTTATACCAATCCAGGCATATTCCCGAAAATGTTGATGAGAAGGTTCTGCATAGCGCCGCATTGGAGTTGGTTTGAAGCTGCATCCGTAAGCAGAAGGTGCTGACGTGATCCTCCGGATCGGTTGTCCCATTATACGTGGGGAGGGCGGGTGGCATTCCGCTTAAGTGCTCCGCCATAATTTCCGCGCTTAGCGGTTGGTGTAGGGCTCTTTTGGCAGGGTTGGGGCGGTATTGCGGGGATAGGTGTTGCTCTAGGAAGCTGAGGTCCGCTCTGCCTGGTAACTCGGCTCGTTGCGCTTCGCTGGCGTGCAACTCGAGCGGCGCTTGTTGTGGGAGCGGGGCGGTTCCCGATGCTTCCCCCGCTGTTTGCTGTGGCGCGACCGCTGCCGCGTCTGCTATTGTCGCGCCCTCCTTGCTCATCATGAGCGTCATAACCTGGCTCATTTGTTTTTGCATGTTGAAAATGACGTCGGTTTGCTTCGCCATTAGCTGCCACATTTCTTTGGCTGTCAGCTCGGGCTCTTCTTCTTCGATGAGCACCGCGTTAAGGTTGCTGGATTCCGCGAACGTCCTCGGGTTTGTCATTGCCTTGATGGGTGTCGCTTCGTCGGGTGAGGTGTTGTGTTCTGCCATTGGTTGATTTGCTACTTCTTCTCTACTTGGCCCCATGGTGGGCGCCAATTATTTGAGCCTAACTGGGTGTAGGAGTGAGGCTCGTGAGGATGGGTCAAGGAGAGTAAGCGATAAGAAACAACTATGAACGGAAGAACTGAGGAGAGAATGAATGGAGTTGAGAGGGTGATATCTTAGAGAGAGAAGTTGATAATTCGTAGAGTTAGAGTCTCAAAAATCCGATCCCCTCACCCACCGGAGTAAATGCCATATTTATAGGCTACATGGTGGTGGGTGAGTTACATGATGGCATGGTGACATGACTACTGACATGTCAGAAGCATATGCCACATCCCTACTTAGGAAAAGACCTTTAGCCATGACTATACCTAGGACTATGATGGTGACTACTCTTTGAGTGACGCGCCGCCGCTTTCATGGTCTCTTGGTCAAAGTCAACATCTGACCATAGCGTCGTCATTCGGTGTCCGGGCGCAGCCTCTGGGCGCGGAATTTTTTTTGATCCAGCAATAAGTTAAGTGGGAATTGAGAAAGAACATTTTATATGTGGAAAGTGGAAGTCGTTGCTAAAAAGTGAAAGTATGTAACTGTAAATTTCACCAAGAAAGGAAAAAAAAAACATTAACTGGTAAAAAAGCCATTTTGAAAAATAAAAGAGTCCCATTTGGCCGACATAAAACAACACTTGATTTGGGGGCTTTACTAATTTGTGCATCTTTAACTGAACAAATGGCCCTCCATTGCTCAATTATTTCGTGGGGTTTAGTATAAAGGAGGAGCTTTATTAGAACGTTTTGTTAAGTCTTTTTAATTTGATGGATGAGTGTGCACTAAGTGTAAAGTCTCTCATTAGTGATTCCTTTTCATTTATAATGTTATAATCAGAAATTACGAGATTATAGAGAGAAAAAATACAATAATTTGTGTTCATTATCTATTTATATCATAACACTCAATCAATAATGTGAGGCTTACTTTAATCTCGAATTCGACAAAAAATAATTTAAGCAAGTTTGTCATTAAGGAGCTTGGTAGAAACAGGTATATTCGTAGAAACGGATATATAATAACGAGAGGTGTTGCAATAATGCAAAGGGGTTGGAAGGCCATACTACATCTCATCGGATAAGGCTTAAACTAGGACATTTATGAATTATCAAGATTTAATTGATTATTATTATTCTTTAATGACATTGTCAATAATTATTTTGCAAACTTGATGGAATATCAAGTTCTGGCCCCCCCTTTGTCATAAAATAATTTATTGGGCCATCTTAAGCCAGGAGTGGATGCTGATTCAGCTACATAAAGTAGAAAGATTTATCTGGTAACAATTTGAAACCGTTTCGTCGATATTATTGGATATAATAATGATACAGAGAGAAAATTCTCAGCCGATTCTTTGTGTTCATAGGAATTAGGAACTCTTCATTAGGTCCCGGACACGAAATTTGTTGTCCTCTATTGACATTATAAGTTGAAATAAGAAAGCAAGGAACAAATTAATAAATCAGACAAGCAAAGTCAACATCCGACCTTAGCTCAGTTGGTAGAGCGGAGGACTGTAGTTGTACAACAGCATATCCTTAGGTCACTGGTTCGAATCCGGTAGGTCGGATTTTTTGCTTTCCCAGCATTTCTTTTCTCAACCATTCTTTTTTGGGCTGGGCTTCTCATAAACTGGGCCCCTGGTAAAGGGAGGAGGGCCCAGAGCGGAAACCCTAACCAGCCCAGCAGCCCGCCCACCCTTGTCATCGTTCCATAGTACAAAACGATAATAAACCCTAGGAAATCCTGGTTGCTCCTTTGCCTTCCCTCGGCCTCGAGCTTTCAAAGACGCGGTCTCATCGAAACCAGCACATCAGCTCTCGCTCGCCGATCTCTATGTGTTGAGCGCCAATGGTGCCGAAACGCTCCTCTCCTCTCGACCAAGTTTAAGCATTCCCTCAAGAAAAAGAGCAGCAGCAGCAGCAGCAGCAGCAGGAAGAGTGATGGCCGGGTTAGCTCTGTTTCCATTGAAGATATTCGAGACCTTGAGGAACTGAGTGCTGTTGATGGGTTTCGCCAGTCGCTGATCATGAACGAGTTACTTCCCGAAAGACATGACTACTACTACATGATGTTGAGGTGACTTGCGAGCCTCCCTTTGTTTTTATTTTTCAGTTGCTTCCATGTCTCGCTACAATTTGAGGATTATAAACAGTGAGTCAGTGTTCTAATGATAGTTTCATTAGTTCAGGAGTTTGAAATTCTAGAGAAGTAGGAATTTAGCTATTTCGTCACTAGTTTGTAGTGATTGTTTTCTGGCCTTTAATCTGTTCCAGGTTCTTGAAAGCAAGGAAATTTGACGTTGAAAAAGCAAAGCACATGTGGGCTGATATGCTTCAATGGAGGAAGGAATTTGGCACTGATACTATCATGGAGGTAATTGTGTCTGCTGGTGTGTTTTGATTTCTGGCAACTCACCCTTGATTGCTGATTCTAACTTCACTTGTCTGTTTCTCTTTAATGTATCAGGAGTTTGAGTTTCAAGAGTTAAATGAAGTTTTGAAGTATTATAATGCAAGTGACAGATCTTGACCGCTATGTGAAATACCATGTGCATGAGTTTGAGAAAAGCTTTGCTGTCAAGTTTCCAGCATGCAGCATTGCTGCTAAGAGGCACATAGATTCAAGCACAACAATTTTAGATGTTCAAGGTCATGTATGGAGGTGTAATTATTTTGGCTTCATTAAAATAATGTCATTTTACTTGGAATGCGTAAGTCAATCATTGCTTGATGTAATTATTTCAAGGTCACGTTTGTTGAGTAATTATTTTGGGTAATTACTCATGGGGGACAGTGGGAAATTATTTTGGGGGTGCAGGTCATGTATGGAGGTGTAATTATTTTGGGTTTGACCTCCCCTAATTATTTGTGAATATGACTCTGGTTTTTATGAATATGAGTCTGGGTTATGTGAATATTACTCTGAATGTGTTTGAATATTAGTTCCAATGTGCTTGATTCTAGTGTATGTTATTTGTGAATATGACTCAGGTTTTTATGAATATGAGTCTGGGTTATTTGAATATTACTTTGAATGTGTTTGAATATGAGTTCGAATGTGAGTGAATATGAGTTAAAATGTGTTTGAATATGTTATTTGTGAATATGAGTCTGGTTTTTTTTAATATGAGTCTGGGTTACTTGGATCCAAGTACAACTTTAGCCTCGGTCCACTTACTGTTCGGCCTGCCTTGATCCAAGTACAACTTTATTTGAATATGAGTTAGAATGTGTTTGAATATGAGTTCGAATATGCTTGATTTTAGTGTAAGTTATTTTTGAATATGACTCTGGTTTTTATGAATATGAGTCTGGGTTATTTGAATATTTCTAAAATAGCATTGTTACTAAAATAACATTGAATATGAGTCTGGTTTTTTAGAAGCTCACAAGGCCCTGAATATTAGCTCGCAACAAACATAATACGTCTTCACAAGAATGTGCATATTACTACAAAATAACGTTTCATGTTGCTAAATAGAAGCTCGCAAAGCCCTTAATATTAGTTCAACTAATTGTAGTATGATATGTTATCGTGTAACAAATCATATAACAATTGGTTTCCCAAAAAGACATATCTAACCAACTACGATGCAGACAGATCCATGAGGTCATCTTCGTCATCCATCTTTGGCTTTCCACGTTGAGTTTCAGGAACTTGCGACAGAATCTCCAAGTCCTTTAGTTGCTTGGCATACTGAATCTTCTTCTTACCGCGGGCTTTCTCATTTATGGACTTGTACCTTTCACGACAATGACTCCGTGGATTAACCTTTTGCTTCATGGTCATGCCATTTAATGGTTGAGACCCCCTGATATAAAAATGTGTTTGAATATGAGTTAAAATGTGTTTGAATATGTTATTTGTGAATATGAGTCTGGTTTTTTTTAATATGAGTCTGGGTTACTTGGATCCAAGTACAACTTTAGCCTTGGTCCACTTACTGTTCGGCCTGCCTTGATCCAAGTACAACTTTATTTGAATATGAGTTCGAATATGCTTGATTTTAGTGTATGTTATTTTTGAATATGACTCTGGTTTTTATGAATATGAGTCTGGGTTATTTGAATATTTCTAAAATAGCATTGTTATTAAAATAACATTGAATATGAGTATGGTTTTTTAGAAGCTCGCAAGGCCCTGAATATTAGCTCGCAACAAACATAATATGCCTTCACAAGAATGTGCATATTACTACAAAATAACGTTTCATGTTGCTAAATAGAAGCTCGCAAGGCTCTTAATATTAGTTCAACCAATTGTAGTATGATATGTTATCGTATAACAAATCATATAACAATTGGTTTCCCAAAAAGACATATCTAACCAACTACGATGCAGGCAGATCCATGAGGTCTTCTTCGTCATCCATGTTTGGCTTTCCACGTTGAGTTTCAGGAACTTGCGACAGAATCTCCAAGTCCTTTAGTTGCTTGGCATACTGAATCTTCTTCTTACCGCGGGCTTTCTCATTTCTGGACTTGTATCTTTCACGACAATGACTCTGTGGATTAACCTTTTGCTTCATGGTCGGGTCATTTAATGGTTGAGACCACCCCCCTCTGATATAAGACAAGTCATATTCAGTAGTAAAGTATGTAATATTCAATGCAACAGTAATTAATATTCTGATTTGATGCTTACCAGTAGAAAATGTCACATCGATGCATTGCAGGATTTGCTAGTCTGAGTTGTCAACATACCAGCGGTGAATTGACTTCTAAGCCAACATGAAGACCACTGTTTCCGGAAGCCTAGCAAATACTGCAATCACGGGTCGCCATCCACAAAGTCACTGTCGGGGAAACATTCACCAAGCATGTCTTTCCATGCAATGTCGAATTCAGCCTCACTATCAACCGTGTAGAATAAGTAAGTGAGGTGAATGCTTAGCTTTTTCGAAACATCATTGTCCTTCTTAAACTGCTTATTCGTATTCATTAAAATGTGCCACGTACATAATGCATGGAAGACACCGAGCCACTCATTACGAAGTGCTTTGGCCAAAGCCGCATCCTGATCGGTGAAGATGGTAGTTGGGAGCTTCTGATCCATGCAACGACGAAACGCATCAAACAACCACTCGAAAGATGCACTAGTCTCGTCATACAACAAACACGCCCCAAATATGCAAGTCTGTAGATGGTGGTTGAAACCAACAAACATTCCTACATAACACATTTTGAAAAGTTCATTATTGTCACCGTCCATGGTAATATTCATACATTCCAGACTAGTATTCAAAAAATTCGGACGAGTATTCAAGATATCATGACTATCACACAATGTATTTGAATAGAAAATTATATGCAAACAACAGAAGAAAACACGTACCCAATGGGTGATAGGCTTTGTTCGTACGGTAAGTTGTGTCGAAAGAGATCGAGTCACCAAACAATTTATAATCATCCCGCATCTGGGCATCCGACCAGAATATGTTAGCAACTTGCTCATCACAATCAACTTCCACGAAATAATAAAATCCAAGTCTGATTTTCGTTTGCTTCTGAAAGTACTCCAACAATAAAGTTGCTTCACCATGTGCCATGTTCTTCTGTCTTCGCTTGTTCAGATGGTTCTTTTGGTCATTCTTTGAGAAGCTAAGATTTTCGTAACCACCAGCACACATAGCAAGTAGCTTGTAAAAAGAGCTCAAACAAACACCAGCATCTGCATTGGCTTCAACCATCAGACCTTCAGCCTCGCTAACACTTTTGTTAGACCTCAAAAACTACGCATGCTCCTTTGAGTGCAGTTCATGATTGTCTATATTGTTGAAATGACTAACCACGAATGCATTCCTATCAACATCCCACCGAAAGATAATACGAGCTGTACACCCAACCCTTAACTCGTTTCTTTTTCTTTTACGTTGGGTTTTAACAATGACACTATCCTCCGAACGTTTCTTAACGACCTTTGGATTTCTAGTACTCACATTCGAAAAGCCTTGTTTGTTGCAACAATAGTAAAGGTACCAATACTTTTCCTCAAGCTCTCCCTTGTTGTTCTTGCACAACCTCGTGTGTTCGTTGTATACTCGAACACCAAAACCTCGGTTATGACCATATCTTGAATAGAAGATCTTGCAATCATTTACTGTATTGAATTGCAAGTTCTTCCTTAAGCACTCATCTTCTAGTGCTGCATAGCCTGTCATCGGAATTGCACAAATGAATACAATTAGTCAAATCCAACCAATAAAAGAATTCAATACAAGGTCAACTAATATTCTTTCACATATGCATGTGTATTTCAAACGAGGTCACCTAGTATTCACTACAATCTCAATGAATATTCATTACAATGTCAATAAATATTCATTACAATGTCAACCAATATTCATTACAATGTCAACCAATATTTATTAGAATATCAAAGAATATTCATTATAATGTCAACAAATATTCGTTAGAATGTCAACAAATATTCATTAGAATGTCAACGAATATTCATTAGAATGCATATTAATTAAAAGGTCAGCAAATATTCTTCTAAAGATGAAGGCGTATTAATTAGTATGTAAATGAATATTTTTTAAAAGATGAATGCATATTCATTAAAAGGTCAATGAATATTCTTTTGAAGATGAATTTGTATTCATTAGAAGGTGAACGAATATTTTATAAAGATTAAGTGTATTCATCTTCAATATTCTTTTGAAGATGCATATTGAAGATGAATATGTACCAACTAATATTCGATGACGTAAAAGTAATATTCATGAAATTTAAAAAGCAATATGGTCATTACGGCTAACAAGTATTCATGCAAGCGATATTCATATTTCTGTTCCTCCACCAATGATATTCAGGATAGAACGACCAAGTATTCATGCAAGCACAGAAAACCATGCAATGAAGAAACCCTAAAACATAATAAATGCAAGCACCATAAATGTAAACCCTAACACATTCAATGCTGATCAACAACCAAAACATATATAAGTCTAAATAGATATGTTTTTTTGGTCTTCACATACTCCCTTCTATTTCATCAACTGCGGCCATCCACTCTTGCGAGCCCCACAAACTATCAGATGAACCATCCGCTTTGAGGATGGTATCAGCAAGGTCCACCTCTTCTGGTTCGTCTCCTTCGACATTACATTTATCGTTTTCAGTCGACAGATCTTCAAGGTGGAACTCCTCTTCTGGTGCGGCATCTCCTTCGACATCATCCCCCATCTTCGACAGACTATCTTCCCTTCCTTGCATCCCCTTCTTCTCTTCGAAGGACCGATCTTGCATCATACCTCCCCTTCCTGCGTTTTTTCTGGTGTTCTGGATTCTGATTTTCAATGCGGTCGGAGAGAAAAGATGAGGAAGAAGAGAGGTGTGAGATTGAGAGAGAGAGAGAGAGAAGTTGGTAGGTGAGGTATTAATTAATGAAGGGTTTTTTGGGGGCTGGATTTTTCGTTAAAAATCTCGCAAAACACCCTAAAACTTGCCCAAACCCCACCCATCTCTCACTCCTCGGCCCCACCAGTACCTTCAGCTCGGCTTCCCCACATCTCAAGCGTGACTCGTCTCCTTCCCCGAGCCCGTGCCCCAGGCGATCAATCCTGGCCCTCCGTTGCTGGCTTGGGCGACGTGGCCCTCCCCCTAGGCTATGAGTTGGTGCACACAGATATCTCTGTGTGTACAATAGCGATATTGAGTATTGAGGGGGTGAGTTTTTGTGAGAAACTTAGGTTTCGTTATACAAAAAATCTTATTATTGGACTTTCAACACAGCTTCGACAATAATAAGTGATAACATTCACATTTTCATCGACCGACGCACATGTACAAGAGTCGTAAATTAGCCTCTTCTTGTACTTACTACTTACTACCCATAATTTGGGGGCTGCGAAAGTTCGTTTGGACACTACGCGACCCGTATGTAAACATGAAAAGTGCGCTTAATTATATAATATTAGCACAAAATTGCATATAAGCAAAAAAGTTAAAAAGGGAAGAAGGGAAAAAAACAAAGAAAGAGAGAAAATCTTTGCTCAAATATTTTGTTGGTGAAAAAAGAGAGAGAAAAAAAATATAAGTCGTGTGTGACAATTCAATTTCAAAGCAAAATATGTGAAGCCCAAGTAGCTACTTGCTTTATAAGAAAAATCCCCAACGTGCATGTGTTGTGCTCCCACCATGTTGTGGCGGCTTTTCTTCGCCACGAAGGCAAACCCTTCTTCTGAATGGTAGGAATTGAGGATTAATATGGTTGACCACATTTTTAATCCATTGAACCATACTACAATATGTTAGCTATCACCATAAAAGTGGGATTAAAGATAAGCAAGAAAGGGGAGGAATGTCTTGGGTTAGGTGGCTTGATCGTGTTTGGTAACTCGCGACTCGAGTTTGTTCGAATTGATCAATATGTAGTTATTGATTCGAATCTTGTTTCATTATCGGTTGGTTGGTCGTTGTTGACGAGTATGAAGGAATTGATAGGCAAAACAAATTCAGATGGTGGTGATTGAATTTGTCAATAATGACGAATTCATATCGGAACGAAGAAAGATGGCCTTCATGCAAGAGCTAAGCAAATTGTGCGGATTTATTTTATTTTTTTCGAGTGTACACCCACTTGATATCATTTAACAAAATATTAGTGGAATTATCAATCACAAACATTCCATATTGCATGCACATTATTATGCATGCATTAATGACAATACATCGATTTAACTATCGTCCCTTAATAAGTGTAATTGGACTACTTGATTACTTGATTGAACAATGAGCCAACAACCACAGTTGCCACTGTATTTGTCCTTTGTTTTAAGATGGTCATTTTCCTTGGGGAGACTAATTTAAAAGGGAAAGTGGGCTGTTGGTGATTGCCTCAGTACTTCACTGTTATGGCTGCTAAGACGTTTCATTGAAACTGCAAATCCAAAAAAGCAAACTGCTTGCGGGAAATCTTCACCCAGTCCTCCACTCATGACAAAAAAACATGGTAAAATACCTTGAGTATCACTTAAGTTTGAGAATTGTGGCAGACATACCATTTAAATTCGAATAGGGCGTCGGGTACCACTGAACTTTATTATTTGTGCACTTGGTACCACTTAAGTTTAATGTTAGGTGCGTTCGTTAAAGTTAACAGAATATTCTTGAAATATTCTGTTTTCTAAATTTTTTAATTGGTCCTTCTACTTTTCTTATTGTAAAAAATCATTTTGACTTATGAAAAACATCAATTTTTATTATTTAGTTGGTATCCTCTTTTAAAGACTCGATACCAAATTAATTTTTGAATTTAAAATCAACTATCATTATAAGTATTTTCAATTATCATTATGTTTTCTAATAATGGAATTATTCTCTAAAGCAAACATATCTTATGAATTCTGTTTAGCTGGAATCCTCTTTTGAAGATTTTGATACCAAACCAATTTTTGAATAGGAAATGTAGAATCAATTATCATTATAAGTATTTTCAATTACCATCATATGTTATAATAATTGAATAATTTGCTGAAGCAAATATATCCTATGAATTTTATATCGATATAAATAATCTGAGGATGTTATATTTAATTCTCGTACATCATGATGATTTTGTATAATTTTCTATGTTAAATATATTTGTAATTTTATAATATTCTATTTTAGATGTTAGATATTAATTAAGTTTACTAATTCTAATTCTCTTCCTATAGTAGTATTTTCTTATCTAGATTTGTTACAAAATGTTGTAGATTTTGTTTATTTATTACTTGGTTACTTCCATTCTCTTTTCGTTCTAATTTTTTTCAATTACTGGAATATGTTTAATTCTTTCTGACTGTGTTTCATTTATCCTTCTTTGGTCTTGATGTATTGATGATTGATTAGGTTCTATTTTAACTATTTTTAATAGTACTTCTAATTGGATTAGTGATTTAAGTAGATCTTCTAATATTAATTTTAAATATTTATTATTATATTCTATATATTTATTCTTCTTCTTGATAGTTTTTTATTATTTTTACTAATGTATCTATTTTATTCACAATTTGAATAGTCACTTTAGAAGTATTATGTTTATAAGGTTTTTTAATTTCTATATTAGATAAAAACTTGTTGAAATATAGTTTTGTATGTTTTTAAAAGTTTTGGGTACCAAAAAATAATTAAAATTTTAGGTTGGATGGAAAACTAGACGGATGCACATTTTGGCGATTTTAATGGTACCCGACGCCCTATTCAAACTTAATTGGTATGTCTACCCCAATTCTAAAACTTAAGGTAAAATACACAAAATTGATGTACTTATTACAAATAGTTTAAACTTTAAACTACAACCACTAGAAAAGCCCGACATAATTTCTTAGTAACTCGATCACTAATGAATGATTTAATCGATACACAGATTGATTGTTAAGCTGTATGGGTTGAGAAACAGTCTAGATAATTAAGCGATGCGCCATTTATGGCTTCTTTCCCAACTTCAGGCTTGAAATGGAAGAGTTGGATACCTCGATGAGTAAGGAATTCTCGCCGGAAAAGCAAAAAAGATGACAGATTTAGCCGTACTGAAGAAAATCATGCAAGGCGAACCAGAGTGATGTACATTTTATGTTCTCAAGTCATCTGTAATTTTCATGGCGGGCGTTGTACTGTTGTTGGTTTCCCAGCTGGATCTGGACACTTCGCTCTTCATTCCTTTTTCCACCCCACATGTCCCTTTCTTCCTTTTCCTCTCTACCTCTCTAATCAGAGAGATTCCCAAGCAAGCTCTCCTCTTTTCTTTTCTCCCCCTGCCCTTCCTTCACTCTCCCCACCCCACTCTGCTTTCTTCTTCCCCTTTTCAACATTTCCTCTGTTCCATTGACCATTCCCATGCCTGTCTGATTTTTTTAATCAATTTCTCCGTCACTGTGTTTCACATCTTTCCTTCTATAAATTCATCCCCCCCTGCTTCCTTCAATCTCCCCTCTTTTCCTTCCCTTCCTCCTCCCCTGCCTTCACCCTTTTGCTCTGTTTTCTCTGCCCGATTTCCCCTTCCCGGGTTTCAATCTCTGGAGCGTTTCTGAATCTGGGTTGGGGAGATCTTTTTTGGGCTTGATGCATAGCCTCGTAATATTGATGTTTGAGATTCATGTCTCCAATTCTCAGTGAAGAACTCCTCCTCCTTCCTCCTTGTATGATTAATTCCACTTTCCGGCGCAGGACCCATTTAGTTCAGTCTTTCTCCGTCGTCTTCCTCTACTTCCTCTACTACGTCTCATAACATCTGATTCACCCACCGCCCCACCTTCTTACCCTAGCTTTCAATTATCCCAATAAGAATCAAAATTCCCCCAAATTAGTTTCCGTTTCAGAGTCTCTGTTTTTTTTTTTCAATTTCCCCTGCTATTTCCAGCTACTTGGGTCCTGCTGCCTAAAAAAATACCCTAAATAGAGAAATAATTTCGATGGCGTGCTCGAGCGGGACATCATCGACGACGTCATCGTCTCAGCTGGCGGCGGCGGGGTCGGACGAGAGGAAGAGGAAGAGGATGGTGTCGAACAGGGAGTCGGCGCGGAGGTCGAGGATGAGGAAGCAGAAGCGCCTCGACGATCTGACGGCTGAGATCGCTCTGCTGGCAGAGGAGAACGGCCGGATCTTGACCAGCATCAACGTCACCACCCAACATTTCTTGTCCGTGGAGGCAGACAACTCCGTCCTCCGAGCCCAGGTCGGCGAGCTCAGCAACAGGCTGGATTCGCTCAACGAGATCCTCGAGCTCCTCGCCGCGACTCCCTCGCCGGCTATCACCGCCTGCGTCGGCGGCGGAGAATATTTTGGGTTCGAGTATGAGGCACCGGCACCAATGGCGGAGCAACATTATGGCGTGAGCAGCAGCAGCTGCTTCATGAACATGGGTTTTCTGAATCACAATCAGCTTATTATGGCGTCTGCTGCGGCGAATGATGTTTTCCTCGTGAATTAATTGATTATAAGGGATTGGTTATTGATTATCATTATTATTATTATTATTATTATTATTATTATTATTATTATTATTATTATTATTATTATTATTGGTTTCCTTCTTTCCTTTGTTAATCTTAATTCTGAGGATTGTTAAGGCACAGATGAGGTTAATGATCTTGGTTTGTACTGTTAACCATTGGTGGAAGTACGTCATGGGATGCTCAGCTTGGTGTTAGTTAATTAATTACTGCTGTTGTTGTAAAAAAAAAAAAAATACTGAGGATTGTTAAGGCACAGATGACTAGATGAGGTTAATGATCTTGGTTTGTACTGTTAACCATTGGTGGAAGTAAGTCATGGGATGCCGATGCTCAGCTTGGTGTTAGTTAATTAATTACTGCTGTTATTATTAATTACGTGTGTAAGTTAAATTTTGGGTTTCAATTTGCTTTGGTGCTTTCATTGTGTTTTCTTTCTGTGTTTGGTTATTGGTTGGTGGGACTAATATTAATACAAAATCACAACAGTACTGTTGGGGATGTGACTCGGAAATACCTAAGGATGATCGCGTCAAAGACGACCGCGCCAAAGCCGGCGCGCGAGTAAGGAGAATGGCCTGGAAAGCTCGCGCGTAAACTCCAAACGGCCCTCAACGAGAAGTGTAATAGCGGCGCCGCGTCACCCGAAGGGTAGTCACCATCATAGTCCTAGAGTAGTCAACATCATAGTCCTAGGTATAGTCATGGCTAAGGGTCTTGTCGTCCCTAGGGATATGGTATTGGTCCATGACGTGTCAGAGGTCATGTCACCCTGCCATGGTAGTCACATCATTGTACCGTTGTGTACCTCACCCACCACCATGTAGCCTATAAATATGGCATTTACTCTGGTGGGTGAGGGGATGGGATTTTTGAGACTCTATCTCTAAGATCATCACTTTATCTCACTGAAATAGAGACTCTCAACTCTTTCTTTCCTCTCATTTGTCTCATAGTTCTTGTTCGACCAAGCCGTTAATTCTTCTTGACCCATTACAGTGAACCTCACTCCTACACTCAGTTAGGTTCAAACAAGTACTTTTGTTTGATGATTTTGATGTTTCGAGATACATCTATTTGGATTTCATACCCAACCCAATTGGGTTGGATAGTAAGAAACCCATGAGTATGGGCAAAGTTGTCATCCCTACTAATTTATCTATTTTATTGAAAAAATTTAATTAGTCATTATAGTAATAATATGTTTAGAAGGTTTTCTAATTATTATATTAGATAAAACTTGTTGAAATATAGTTTTGGATGTTTTTAAAAGTTTTGGGTATCAAAAAGTAATTAAAAGTTTGGGTTGGATGGAAAAGTAGACGAATGCACATTTTGACAACTTTAATGGTACCCGACGCCTTATTCAAACTTAAGTGGTATGTCTTCCCCAATTCTCAAACTTAAGTGGTACCAAGGTAATTTCCGAAGAAAAGTCTGCACGCCAAATGAAGTCGAAATTCATGAATCAAAAGTAAATTCTAGCAGAGAAGAACAATATTTGAGGACGTGCTTCAATTGAATTGAATTTATTTTATTTTTCCAATTACAATCTATAAATTTTCTGGGATTTTTTTATTATGTAAATGGACGGTGGTCAGGCCGTCACAGGTGGAATATATTGTCCTTGTAATAATAATAAAAAAAAACTTTGTATCAAATTCACTATTTTATGTCGCATAAGATTCTTCATTAGCGATTTTGCCAATTCCAGAGGGAATCATATCATCTAAAATTATATTTGTCTCCCTTTTTTGGGTTCAGATCTCATAAACATATGTATTATATAGATGGCAGGTCCATAGCTGTATAAAAAAATAACATAGTTTACTCTTTAACGAAATAAATTTCCTCGATATTGAAGATCAAGCCAACCATTCTATCAATACTAAAATCGTTGTAGTATTATATGACTAAAGACTATTGATTTATGGTTCAATCGATGAACCCCACCTTTTTTTTTTGCTATAGATATCCCAAAGAAGAACATATACGAAGTATAGTACAATATACATGACCTTTGCAGGTCAAATCACAAATGAAAAATGAAAAGATCTTTGCAGGTCTGACAAAATAGGGCTTTCCTGTCATGAAATGGCCTGCCCTATGATACCTGAACGACATGGACAATATCATGATTTTTCTCCTTAAAAGGATCAAAATCATGAACTAACCATGCTGAAAATTGAAGCAGAGCAGCAAACTCTTGTAAATCTAGTCTCAGTTCAACACAAAAGCCCGTAAAGCCTCTATCGAATATACCACTCATCCTGCAAAATGAACAAACATAGAGGCCCGAAAAGCCAACACTAAACTGACCAAGTAGGGATGAAAACCAAGCAGGCCCAGGCAAATACACCGCAGTAAACAATAAGGCCCACCCGACCAGCACTGCTCCACCTTGATCCTGGAAGCGGACCAATCTGCAAAATTAAGTCCACTAAAAGCAAACAAATAGCCCCGCCACATAAGATAGACACAAATTGAATTGTTAAAAAAGAGGATAATACTTATCCCCCACCGCTAGCATAGCAAAAGCCAAAAAGATTAGAGCGGGTTTTGGAGAGCCGTGCTGCTGCTCACATCCACCAATGGAAAGTGATCACGAGCAGACACCTAGCTGGTGAGGAGCAACCTGAAAAAATGATTTGCAATAGCCCACAGCGGCGAGGCTGCTTCTAGTCCGGCCGACGATGAACCCTACCGCCACTCGTCGACTAGACAGATCCTCCTACAAAAATAAAGACAAAGAAACAAAGGAGCGTCACTGTACTGCGCTCAAACGCTCCAGCAATATGGATATAATCCAGCCATAAGCAAAGTTTCCTTTTCACAAAACACACCACTGCATAAGAAAGGAGCAGCCAGCGCGACCGAATAAGTGAGCAGGGGATGAGAAGGCTCGTCGACTTCCAGCTGAAGAGGAGGAGCAATCGAGAAAGGTTTGTGTTCCGCAAACTTGACTGCATCAGGTTTGTCATCGGAGGCGACGATTTGGCGGCGGGGTTGTTGGGTCTCCCGGCAAAACGGATTAGGGAAGTTGAGGTGAAAGTTGATGCTGCTGCTAATACCCTAAACCCACCTACCATTTGCCAACTCATAATATTGCAAAAGCATTTACCTAAATTTTGGTAATTTTCTTGGATGTAAGTTTGTTTTAAGAAAACAAAAGTAAACGGAAGGACGTGTTATGGGAAAATGACATTTTTCAGGAATCTTTCAGAATATTACTAGGAGACCATAGCAGATTCCAGGCTCCGAATAGCATAACAACATCTTAAGTGTTGTTAGTATAACAATAGGGATATAAGGGTCAATTGCACACATATTAATTAATAAGTTGTTTTCTTTTACCTGGTATTAAATTTGAAATTTGAAATTAATAATAAAAATTCATTGAAGCGCGCGATTCTGCCATTTCCGTTTTCCCCTTTCCCCTCTGCTCACGAACTGCTCTCTGACTTCTCCTTCGGTTGCTCTCTCCCTGTTCTCGCGATTCCGTTTCCTCCGTCGGCGATTCCGTCTGCGGCTTGTGGATTTCCTTCGCGCGATTCCGTTTCCTCCTTCGGCGAAGTGAATTTCGAGGTATTCCGCCGGTGATTTCCTCCACTAAACTGTCTTCTCCTCTGTCGTCAGTTTTGGCCTTCGAAGTCGTCGTTGTCGTTTTGGCGTCACCGGAGTTCCACTTGTATGGTGTTAGTTTGGCGTCGCCGTTGTCGTTTTCGTTAGCATTGTCGTTGCTTGCTGCTGCTATTGAATTTATAACTGTCGTTTTCATGTTTGCTCTCTGTTACTTTCGTTTTCCACTTTTCTGCGATGTTTTGATGCATCCAGTCTAAATTTGTTGTAGGAGACGAGGAAATTTCATACTTGTGCGTTCTGGTTAGGTTTTGTGTGTTCTGGTTAGGTTTTGTTGAATGTTTTAGGGTTTCTGTGGTGTGCTTTGCATGTTTTAGGGTTTCTGATTTCTCATGAGTCGTTTGTGGTGGTGTTCAGTAGTGCTGTTGTTTTGTTCTTATTTTTGGTGGTTTGCTTTGTGTTTGGTGACGATTAGGATGTTTATGGGTTCGATTGGACCTTTCTGGAGGTTTTTAATGAAACTATTGTGTATTTCCAGGCTGCTGTTGGTGGTTATTTTAAAAGGTTGTGTGGTTTGTGTTTCGGATTTCACAGTTTGGTTTAGGAGATTTACTGGTGTGCATTTGCAGTTGTTGTTTGTCTCCTTTACATCTGATTATTGAGTTGTTTGTGGTGGTGTTCAGTAGTTCTGTTGTTTTGTTGTTTATTTTGGTGGTGCGCTTTGTGTTTGGTGACATTTAGGGTGTTTGGGGGTTTGATTGGGGCTTTTCTATAGGTTTTTAATACAACTATGGTGTATTTCCAGGGTGATGTTGGTGGTTCATTTGCAGTTGTTGTTTGTCTCCTTTAAATTTGATTAATAGATTGTTTTCATGGCTGTACAGTTTGCATTAGGCCCTTGATGGTTTGCATTTTATATGTTCTGGTATTAGATTGCTTATGTTGGTTTGTGTTTTGGTTGCTTTGTAGGCAATGGCACCTGCTAAGAAACGTGCAGTAAAGGGGAAACAAAAGGAAAAAGTACCAACACCTAAGAAAGATGGTGTTTCTCCTGTGCCTGGAAAGCCGGATAAGAGGCATCGTAGTAATACTAATCGTATTCTTGCCATCATGGATGCTGACAGTACAACTGAAGAAAAACTGCAGATGCTTGATCCTCTGGGTTTCAGGGGTGTGTCGAGGGTTAAGCTTACGAGACTCCCGGATAATTTTACTGAATGGATTTGCAAAAGTTTTGATGTCAGTTCAAGGTCTTTCCCGCTGCTTCGGTCAGGGAAGTTTAGAATTGGAGAAACAGATGTGGAGAGAGTCTATGGTTTGCTGCGTGGACCGTATGTTGTTAAGCTGGATATGTTTAGTGCAGCCCAGAGGCACAAGTGGGGAATTGAGTTAGGGCTTTCCAATACTAGGAAAGGAAAGGCGACATTGGCGAACGTTAAACTGGCATTGGAAGAGGAGAAGGACAATAAGAAGTGGAGGGATCTTTTTGTGTTGTATGCAATGGAGACAGTTCTGTGCCCCAGTGGAAATTTGAAGATTGACCTCTCCTATGCTGGGTTTTTGCAAGATGAAATGGTCGATGACTTCAACCAATATAATTGGTGTAAGCATGTGGCTGACCATTTCAATCAAAGTTCTCTGGTGACGTTGATCTTCTTTTTGTAAGTAGATAAATATACCTCTTTTCGAAGTTTGGTTTACTGTTTCATTTATGGTTTGTTTATTGACGAATGTGGTGTGGTTGAAGATGTTTATGGTTTGTTTAAGAATATTTATGATTTGCTTTTTCCCCCTTTGTTATAATGTTTCTGGTATAGTTTATCATTTATGGTTTGTTTATTGACGAATGTGGTGTTCTTGAAGATGTTTATGGTTTGTTTAAAAATATTTATGGTTTGGTTTTCCCCCCTGTTATAATTTTCCTGGTATAGTTTATCATTTATGTGGTGTGTATTATAATCTTTCTGGCACAGTTTGTTTGTGGTTGCTTGACTTCTGTCTGTTTGTATATGTGGCAGATTTCGATTCTTGATCGTTTGAAGAACCCCCCTGAACTGCCCATACCGACCTGTAGGCACAGGTCGTACAAAGTCGCAAGTGCTTCTTTTCAAATTCAAATACTGATGGACGAAGGTCATCTCTCTATTGGTCATCGAGATGTAGTGGCGGAAGAACAAGCAACCTCCAATCAACCAATGGGACGAGGACGTGTGAAGGGTACAAAGAGGAAAAGGCCGGTAGATGATCTTGATATGGAGAGGGAAGGGGATCTTCCGAAGCTTCCCTATCTTGACATCAACTTGGATGGTATTCATTCGGTTGAAGATGTGAGTATTTTTGCTGTGTTATTCGTTTTATGGCTTTCTTTAGCATACTTTCAGTGTGCTTTAAAAGGATAGTGGTTTGCATTAGTTTGTTTACGGAATACTTTATTTAATTCATGTGTTGGTTAGTTGTGTTTTCTGTTGTTTGTTCTTTGGGTTGCTTTAGTGTACTTGTGGTTTCTGTTAAAAGAATAGTGGTTTGCATTACTTCGTTAAAGGAATACTTTATGGTACTCATCGTTTGGTAGGTGTTTTTTTGTGAGAATTCAAACATATGTGGTTTGTATACGTGTGTCTTAGGTGTTCATTAAAAGGAATTTGAGATTCTTTAGAAGGTTTATGGTTTGCTTTTGGGCTGTTTTCGTGTTTTTGTAGGCATATCAGTTGAAGAGTGACATGGAAAGTTATAAGAGGGCTTTGTTGAGGATGGCTACTCATTACAGTTCAAGCATTGAACAAGTTGATGAGCATATAAAGATGCCGGAGGGGCAGCAACCAGAAGATAGTCCTAAAGATAATGTCGATTTCACTGATACTGTTGAGGATGTTGCTGTTGGTAAGGGAACCAATGATGTCGATCGCAATGCAGATGCTGCCAATGCTGATGATGAGACTGGTGCTAAGAGAGTATCATATCCAAAGTCCCCGGGTCTTGATGATTTGTCAATGGAGATGGATAAGGATGGTGCTTGTACTGCTGATGGTGTGTCGCCAGATGTTGGTCACAATGATCATGCTGGCATTGTTAATGATGATGCCTCTGCTAAGGGAGTATCAGATTCGAAGGGGCTTGATGATCATCTTGATAATCTGACAATGGAGATGACACAAAAAAGTGTTGATTCTGAGAATGCTAAGAAGGTGGAGATGGACAGCTGTGAGGGAAAGGGAGAAGCTGATGATGGAGATGACAATGTTGATGCTGTTGACGCTGCTAAGTTGGATAAACTTGGTTGAGAAGGTCGTAAAGGTATTTTTACTGTTTTGTGTTTGAATATTTGTGGTGTGGATTATACTGTTTTTGGTTTGTTTGTCATGTCTTTTGTAGTAGGTTGTTTTGCATTTGTTAGTAGTGTGGTTTACATATATCTGGTTTTGTTAAAAACTTTTGTGGTGTGGTTTCTGTAGTCTGCTATGGGGGATGTTCGTGAAGATGTGGTGGTTGATGAGAAAAGGAAAGAAGCTGATGCCGGTGAGGTGCTTGAGGGTGGTGATGATAGTGCAGATTTACCATTGAGTCAGCTAGTTGAGAGTATTAGGAAGAGAAAGGTAATTTGTTGTACAATGTTTCAGTTTTGGTTTGTTTTTTGTAGTGTGTTTTTCGCATTTGTGGTTTGTGTTAGTTGTTTTTTGTACTGTTTTATCTAATTTGTGGGTTGCTTTAAAAATCAGAAAAAATTGAAAGTGAAGAATGCAGGAGGCTCATCAGGTGTTGATGATGATGTGTTGAAGGGTGTTGTGTTGCGATATGCAAGGGATTCAAATAACTTGTAAGTTAATGTGTATAGATTTCATATATATGTGGTTGTTTGTATATATTTTTATATATAATGCTTATTAGTACTTTTCTAATGCCGACTGTTTTGTTTGTTATGGAATTATGAAAAATAGGAAGGAACTCCTTTTCAGTCGTGTTGATGGATACGATTGCTTGTATAGAAAGGATACAGAGACTTTGGCACATGGTTAATGTGTGAGTGTGGATGTTATTGACTGCTATGCTGCCTATCTGAATCGGGAGCAAGTGAGAAGCGGGCAACTGAAAAGATGGGTGTTCTATTCAGGGCTGGCGGTGAATTACATTTTCTGCTAGTTCTGGTTTGTTTTAGTGTTTTTGTGGTGTGCATTATAATACATCTGGTTTGGTTTAAGGTTTTTGTGTTGTGCATTATAATATGTCTGGTTTGTTTTAGGGTTTTTGTGGTGTGTATTATAATACTTCTGGTTTGTTTTAGGGTTTTTCGGGTGTGCATTATAATTCGTCTGGTTTGTTTTACTGTGTTCTACCTTGTAGCAAAAAGTGCACACGATAGTGAAAGAGTCTGGACCACTGCCTAATTTTTTTGAAGAGACTGACGAAATCATTACAAGTTGCAAGTGGATACCAGATAGTGTGGACTTCTCACAATGTGATTATGTATGTATTTTTTTTAGTCACATTTGCTACATTGTTTCATTTGTTTTTTTTCTTCATTGTGCTTTTGAAGTACTGACTTGTTTTTGTTCTGTACTATGCAGTGGATGTTCCCCCACTATTCTGATGAACACTACAGGATGTATGTAGTGGATCTGAAGAACAAACGGTATGATTATCTTGACAGCCTTTACCCTGATGAACTTGATACCAAGTTTCGTGCTGTTGCGGATATGGTGGTCCGCTATGCCACAGAATACATTCCTTCCTGTAGACAAGAGCCCTTCAATTTTGAAGAATTCAAGTGGGTTAGAATGCGAGGGATGAGACAACATGGTGGGGTTGATTGTGGTGTTTCTGCTATGAATTTTGCTGAGTTTTGGGAAGGCAAACTGGTGCCAGCTATGAAGAAGTGGCTAAAACAAATCAATCAGAGGCGGGATGAGATCACATTAACATTGATGCTGAACGAGGAGAACAGTTTACTTGAAGAGCTGAAGAAGACGAGTTTGGAGTTTGATCGCAAGGTGGACTAGCTGATTTTAGGATGCATTTGCAAGAACACTTTCAGATTTCAGTGTGTTAATATGTGTTTTAGTGTGTTAATTGTGTAGATTAAGGCTTTTGTGTTCTGTATCTGAAGTGTTGTGGGTTGATTAAGAAGATTTGTAGTCTTCTTCGTGTATGATGTGTATTATAAGACAAGTGGATTGTTTAACGGGTATTGTAGTGTGGTTCATAAGGTTTATAGTTTGGTTCTTTTTTCCCTGGGTTATACAATGTATGGTTTGTTTTAGTACATATGTGGTTTGCTTAATGAGTGTTTTGGAAAGTTTCCATATGTTTGTGGTTTGGTTTTGTTAAGAGGTTTCGTAGTTTGTTTTCTTCCTGTATGGTGTGTATTATAAGACAAGTGGATTGTTTAACGTGTATTGTAGTGTGGTTCATAAGGTTTATAGTTTGTTTCTTTTTCCCTGGGTTATACAATGTATGGTTTATTTTAGTACATATGTGGTTTGTTTTGATGTAACTGTGTTATTGTTTGATCAAATATTATCAAAACCTTCAACTGTTCATATTTGTCTCATAGTTGTCATTGAAATCTAAAAGTCTATGACAGATAAAAAAAACATGGATAACAACAAGGAGACTAATCACTCATTGTTGCTTTTGTAACGCTTGTTGGCAGCCTGTTCATCGATTCTTTGCTTTCTAGCCCTCTCCAGCGCTACCTCAAGTCCACCTCTTGGCCTCTTCTTTGATTTCCATGGGTCTTGTCGAGC